AAGCCCTCGAGTTCCTCATCTGGTATACTAGACTCTTTGCTCTTCTTCTTAGAGAGCTGAGCAAGTGGGTCGTATGTAGCAGGATCTACTTCGGCGTCGGCATCGGACGTGCTGGGAGTGGCTTTGGTGGGTTGTGCTGAGTAGTCGAAGATCGGGCCATCGAACCCAGTGACCCTGTTAAACAAGAAGTGGTAGATTTCGTAGTGCTGGCTTCATGTTAGCATATATAAAGAGGCACTTCTCAATATGATGCTTACATGCGGTAATATGACTTCACCTCTGACAAGCATCAAGTCATCTACGCTGACCCTAGCCCAATCTCTTCGACTCTTGTCTCCTCCCACGCCTAGCTCTGCACCCACCTTTCGGGCTTTGTCTAGAAACAACCATATCTGCTCGCCCTTCTTTATCCTGCATCTTCCGCCTGGAATATTGGTCCCATCATAGAAGACAAAAGGTATCACTACTTCGGTCGCCTTTACAGAGTCGCGCATGAGTATAAAGTCTTGCCGTGCCTGTTCTGCTTGCTGGGCTTCGCGTTGGAGAGCTGTCTTGGTCATGACACGGGGCTTGAGACCGATGCTCGAGTTTGCGCCGAGCTTCTTCTTAAACACCTTCACTTCAGCTTCTGGGACAGATGTTTCGGCGGGGGTGCTTTCGCGAGGGGTAGAGGTCTTCGAAGTGTTGGATTCGGTGTCTTCGTCCTCGTCTATGCCGAATGAGAGCTTGCCTTTACCGGCTACTTTGCGCTTCTTCTTGAAAACGGGCTTTGGCGTCGATGCCCTATACTTTGCAAATTAGCGAACAACCAATGAGCGTGTTCGCAAATTCGTACCCTTCGGCGGGGGTGTTTTCGCCTGAGTTGATTGCAGCGTCACCTCGCTCTCTCCTATCGAGCGCCTCAGCGCGTCGCTTGCGGTAATCATTCAGGTTGACGAGTCCGACAGTTTGCGCCTTAAGCAAATCCTCGGCTGTCGCAGCCTGGGATGTGAAGCGCGCGTTGCCAGATGTATCTGGGCGATCGCCGGAACTCGAAGCAAATCTGTCCATGATTGCAGAATGATGTGGGTTGGAGGATATGCGGTTGCCAGAACGTCGACGATCAATTCGCGCCAAGCCCCGGCCGTGGCTCGTCCCGTGATTGCGTGAACGCGACGCGATCAACCGGAAAGAACACTCGCCCCCACTCCGATAACAATCTCGCCCCAGCGCTCTAAGCCTTTACCGGACTACACACGACATGCACAGCGATGCCGCGCATTGTACAGGACTCAGATGAAGAGCTGGATGACGACCTCGAAGGCGACCTTGTGCTAGCCAAACAACCAGACGCGTCCACGCAGCTCCCCAGTAATGAGACCCACGGCACAGGATCCACTGGTAGGGCCGACACCATGAACCCGTATTCCGAGTTGAAAACGCTGATGTGTAACCCAGAACCGCTGAAGAGGGCTATTGAAAAGGCGCATCGCGAGCATCTTCAATCGCAGCCCAGCCAGGATGAGCCTCAGTCCTCAGTATCCTTGCCTGAGCATCCAACTAAGAAGAGAAAGACAGAAGCTGATCCTAACCCGCTCAAGCCGTCGATTGATGCATCGTTCAAAATGAGAGGACCAATCACCTATGGCAAGGCACCTAAATCTATCTTTGGTAGCTCTCCAGCAATCATCGCTCCACTGGACGACAAGGAAGGCACGAGCCTTGCTAATTGGATGCCGGACGCCACTATGCGCGAATACTGGATGAACCACGAACCAGCCATGTTTAGTGAGCCTTCGAGCACTGTTCCCAACGCTACGATGACCCAGCAACATGTTTTGGAAGTCCTGAATGCTCCGATGATGATGGGCCAAGAGATCGATACTGAAGGTCGTCATTGGGTCCCTCCGCCTGAACCATCGATACCTTGGTCAGACCTCATGAAGTTCACACCTGCAGAGGCTGCTGATCAGACTGAGTTATCGAATTGTGACCTACCTCCGCTCGATCTTTCATTAGCAACCCCGATTCGAACGACGCAGGGAGGCTATGAATACTCTGCATCCCAACGTAGCAGGCGTGGGTCTTCCGTCCGTCTGAAAAACAGTCCTTTGAAGAACGAAGTTCTGCATACCGACTTCAACGTAACTTCGGCTCTTGATTTACCCTCTGCCGCATCACCAAGGACCCAGAAGAGCAGTTCTGGAGAAGCAAAGGAGACGCCTTGCCGTTCAAAGTCACAACTAGTTCCTAAAGATCAACTTGATGACGACCTTTCCGCTATCGGGTTCCCCAAGGAGCATTACAAACCACGCCCCAGTCGCTCAAGATCACTCAAGGTCGAAGAGGAGGAACCTATTGACTACTCTGTCCGACCCGAGAAAGTCAAGAAGGTTAGTAGACGGCGGCAGACAACAGCTGCTGTCGATGCCAGTAATATCAAAACACCTGAAAAGGTACGACAGATTTGCGACATGGGCTTCACACCTACGACGACCTCTGGGGCTTTGAAGCGAAATAACGGTGACGTCATACAGACCATAGATTGGCTAGTCACTAACAATGTTGGTCATGATGAGCTTGCACCACCAAGTCCACCTAAACACAAGCCGGTCACGAACAAGAGTGAGGAGGAACCGGCGATGGACTCCGAGGCTATTCAAGACATAATGCGCGATCTGAACGAGTATCGCAGAGATGACACCCAGGATGCCATGCAAGACACGGTCCACGTTGCGGTGGCGAACGGTACTACTATGCATACGGAAATCGCGGATGACATCGCAAGACCCACGGTGACCGAACTGCGTTCCCCGACAAAAGTACAAGTGGTGATACCTAAGAAGTCTCCAGTTGCCACGTCCAAGCAAACCGCAAGTTCAGCCACAACATCGAAGAAGAAGGCGAAGCGTAGGAAAACCATGTCGGATCAGCCCGAGGGCGAGCAGACCGCAGCAAATGATACTGTGCCTGAAGCCATACCCGCGAAGAAGACGCGTGGTCGACCCAAGAAAACTGCACCTACTGTTGTGCCCCAGGAGCCCAATTTAGAACCAATGGAGCAGACTACGGAGATGGAACGACATGAAGAAGCTGTGCAAACCACCGAGCCTGAGGCACTTCCGGAAATAGCACGGCAAAGCTCAGGAGCTGCATCGAAGGAGAGGAAGCAGTCAAATTCGGCAGATACCCCAGATACAATGACTGCCAATGATCCCTTCCTACCATCGGAATCCTCCCCGGCTGCAGCATCAGCAACCCCAGAACTCAAAACAAAACCTACAACAGCATCGCCAGCCACTACAGGCAAGGTGCCATACCGCGTAGGACTGAGCAAACGCGCGAGAATTGCTCCTTTGTTGCGCATTGTGAAGAAATGATAGGGCAGTGCTTACTTCTCCTGCCGCGAAGACATAGTGATCATGACGTTGCACCTATCACCTAGCTATGTACCTGAACTTGATGATACCCACTTTTACTTGGCCTTACCTTCAATTTCCACCTCTTCGTGAACGTCGTATACAAGGACCAGCTGAAGTTTTTCTAGTGGCTCGCCTACCTTAGCTGAACCACAACTCAACGTCTGAGCAAACCAGAGGACGCAGCTATTTGGTCTCGACGTTCTGGGGCCAAAGCGTATCGGCTATCCGCTTTGTTGCATCTTCGTGGCGCTTGATCAATGCAAGACAACACACTGCTTTTCGCTCTATCTACTGGTATCCTTACCTTGACGAGGTTTTAAACCACTGAACATCGCATTTCATATGCTATTTGCTTGCCGGAGGTTCATTGCCGCCGGCGGCATTATCGATTATCGAGAGCGGAAGCCAGCGCTAGCTTGGACTTGGCGGTGGAAATGAAAGCTCTCAGGGGCCTTACAACACCGAATCGCAACCAGCGGACGACAGCCGGGGCGTTACCAATCCTGCACCCCTGAGCTTGGCGTCAGGCGTTCGTCCTTAGAGCTGGGAAAATGTGACTCGGAGTATCGTGCTGCGAGCGGCGCGCATGACGATGTGACCGTTGCTGGCGCGCTGTCGCATACCGGTAGTCCCCATACCACGGGTGTCGCAACAACGGCTGACAGAATAGACATTGCGAACAATGGTTTCAGTACCAGAAAACGGTAACAACAATGTGGGACTCGAATCGCGACTAACATGCGACATCCACCAACTTTACCGATACAGGTGATTGTCCTTCTGCAGAGCCATTCAACCACATTCTTGGATGATTGCCGACAAAGCCGAAAGCGAAACGGCCTCTGATTCCTACGCGAGACGCCATCGAACGCCACATCAAGCCATCAACGTGAAAACCACGATGTTTTTGTGACGCCAAGTATCCCCGCTAGCCTGTTATCGAGATAGGCCCCGCCGGCGATCATCCCACTTCAGTGTATCCGCGACGGGAGCTGGTCAGAACCAGCATCGCGTCTCATATATTTAGACCCCGGTGCCTTATTAGCTCGGTCACGACAAGAACAGGTCGGCTTCAGGCTCTATCATGCCTCTTCGAGATCGACATGATTATGGAGTTTGGCGCCTCACAAGCTTCCCAAGGCTGTAGGGCTACCAAGACGTGCAATCACGATGGGGATGTGAGAGTTTGCCGTATCACCTTACAGTGGCTTACACTAGGCGCCTTACGAATCTTCTCGGTACCATGCCGTCTCCACTGTCCCTTCGTATCCCACGAAAGTTTCCCAGGGCCGCACTCTTGGCTGCTGATAATAGTGTGCTGACTTCTTTCAGTTAGTGGGGCTCCACTCCTCGCAGCTACGCCACGAGTCGTCGCCCTTGGAGGTGCGTCTACAGGATTCTCTGTTATAAGTATATCGGATTTCTTCTCTTTGCGTTCTTTACTCGTCTTACTCGTCTTTGCACGCATAGCGACTGTCACTCGTTTACTCCTAACTAATTCTAATTGACTTATTATTGTCAACCACACTCGCTTTACACTCTTGCAACCTAAACCGAATACTACAACCATACTAGGACTGTAAAACCTAATTCGCTAAGATGCGTTTCACTCAAGTCGCTGCTGCCTCTTTGGTAGCACCGCTCGTTGCCGCTCATGGCATGGAGGGTATGCCAAGGATCGTTGGTATGCCTAGGCAGTTGAGGGCCAGCAACCCTTTCGCTGGTTTCAAGGACCATCATATTGCTCACCCAGATCCCATCATCCGCCCCCGCCAGTCCACTGACGGACGCTGTGGTCCCGACGGCGGCAACCAAAAGTGTGCGGACAACGAGTGCTGCTCAAGCGCCGGATACTGTGGTACTACCCAGGAACACTGCCAAGCGCCTGACTGCTTGTTCAACTTTGGACCTGCATGCGGTATGAAACGTTCTTTTCCATCTACTGTGATCAGCTTACTCATGTCACTGCAGATGCCAACAAGACCCCCGCTGGAGCAAGCACCCGCAATGACGCCCGTCCCCAACTGGGATCTATTCCTTACGGCGGCGGTGGCATCTACGTCTGCAACAACCCTGGAACCGTCGCTATCACCTACGACGATGGTCCATACATCTACACCGAAAACGTTATGGCTCAATTTGAAGCACGTGGTGCCCATGCCACGTTCTTCATCACCGGTAACAACATCGGAAAAGGTGCTATTGATGAGAACTGGGCTGGCGTCATCAAGAAGATGTACGACAACGGCCATCAGGTCGCTTCTCACACTTGGTCCCACCAGGACCTCAGCCTTATCACCAAGGAGGAGGTTTACGACCAGATGGTCAAGAACGAAATGGCCATCCGTAACATCATCGGCAAATACCCTACCTACATGCGCCCACCTTACTCTTCCTGCGATGCTGAGTGCCAGGAAGTCATGTCTGATCTTGGCTACGTCGTTTCCTACTTCGATCTCGACACCGACGACTACAACCAACTGACTCCGGAGAAGATCCAGGTCGCCAAGGACAACTTCAAGAACGGTATTGACACCCGCAACAGCGGAGACCCATACGACGGTGACAGACTCGTCATCGGCCACGACATCCACCAACTGACCGCCGAGAACCTCACTGCATACATGCTTGACTACCTCTACGCCCAAGGCCTCACGGCTGTTACCATGGGCGAGTGCCTCCAAGACCCCAAGGAAAACTGGTACCGCGACTCTACCCCCGCTCCCCCCAGCACTTCCTCTACTCGCACCTCTTCTGCCGTCCCTACTCCCACCGGCCCTACCTCCAAGGACGGCATGTGCGGCTCAACTGGCGGTGACCAGTCCTGCGTCGGCTGGGTCGGTATCGACGGTCTCCTCGGCGAGTGCTGCTCTCAATACGGATACTGCGGAAACACCGCCGACCACTGCCAAACTGGCTGCCAAGCCGGTTTCGGAAAGTGTGGTGCCCAGCCCAGTGCCTCTCCGTCCGCTTCTGCCTCCGTTTCTGCCAGCGTCACTGGTCCCGTGCCTACCCCTACCGGCCCTTCTACCACCGATGGATCTTGCGGTGCTGCAAACGGCGGCATGACCTGCATTGGCTTCAACGGCCCCGCTGGTCTTAGCGAGTGCTGCTCTCAGTACGGATACTGCGGTAACACTGACATCTACTGCGGAACAGGTTGCCAGGCTGGCTTCGGAAAGTGCGGTGCTCAGGATGTTAGCAGCGCATCTTCTTCTGTAGCCGCTAGCTCTACCCCAGCTCCGTCTTCCTCGGCTGATGTCAGCAAGGACACTGTCTCTTCTTCCACTGTCTTGAGCTCTTCCGCTACTGCTTCGTCCGATGCTAGCACCACTATCGATGCTAGCTCCAGCGCCAGCCAAGTCTCATCCGCACCCTCCGCTACTCCTACCACTTCTGGTGAGAGGTCTCGCGACGGCTCATGCGGCGGTGTCAAGGGATACACATGTGTTGGATTTAGCACTCTCGAGGGCGTAAAGTCAGAGTGCTGCTCCGCTTGGGGATACTGCGGTTCCTCCGAGGACCACTGTGGTGCTGGTTGCAACCCAATCTACGGCAACTGTCCTTCGGTCTCTTCTTCGTCTGTCTCCTCTTCCATCGCTGTTTCCAGCGCTAGCGAGAAGTCCGAGTCCACATCTTCTACCGTTGCTACGCCCACGTCTGAGGTCATTTCTTCATCTGTTTCTGCTTCCGCCTCCGCTTCGGCTTCAGAGTACGTTTCTGCATCAGTCTCTGAGCACGTATCCGCCTCTGCCTCTGCCTCTGTCTCTGAGCACATCTCTGCTTCTGCTTCTGCTTCCGCTTCAGTCTCCGACTACGCCTCGGTGTCCGTCTCCGTTTCCGAGCACGTCTCCGCATCGGCTTCCACTCCCGCATCTGAGAAGCCGGAGGAGCACGAGTCCACCTCCGTCTCTGTCTCTGCTTCTGCCACGGACTCTGCTTCCAAGGACAGCTACCCTACCAGCTCTGTCGTCCCAGCCTCCGAGTACCCAGCCTCCACTCCTGGAAGCTCCGAGACCGTCTCATCAAGCAGCTCAGTGGCCGTCTCGGCCTCTTCCGAGTACCCTGTCTCAAGCTCCGCTTCCTCTGCCTACCCCGTCTCCACCATGACACCCACCCCCGTCCACCCCTCATCTTCCTTCTCAACCGCCATTGTCCGCCCTAGCTCTACTTCCTGCTCCACAACCGCCACTCCCACACCTACCAAGCTCCCCGTTTCTTCAAACGGAAAGTGCGGTGAGGCCAACGGTGGCCAGACATGCGCTGGCTACAAGACGCTCTTCGGTGTTGAGATGGGATGCTGCTGCAAGCAGAGTGGACGTTGCTCCATTGACCCCTGGGCGTGTGGTCTTGGATGTGACAAGGGATACGGAAAGTGCTGGTTCTAGATGATGAGTGAGGTATTTGTTTCTGGACTTTCTTCATGTTCTGGTTATATCCTTTGGGAGGTGGTTTGTTGTGGTTTGCTTATGCAACATGTAGAATAGCAATACATGATGATGAAGATCTAGTGGGTGTTGTGCTGGAAATTCTTTTGATCATGGTATCGTGTCCGGTGAAAGTGACATAGTGAGAAACTCAAGCTCATTACAACACCCATAAAGACGCCCACCATTACTATACGCGCTACTATTCCGATGTTACGTCATCACATGACCATCGTCTAGAAGGCCGGGTGACCCGATCGTCCCGCTGACATGTGTTTGCGATCACAGAGTCTTATTGTCAATCCTCACTTCGGAGAAAAGACATTGCTTTTCATCCCTTACAAGGTTGAGCACAATCGGCCCGTGTGATCGGCGACCCCACACCCTCATCACCGGCATAAGTATCGTAGCACCCAACAAGTTTGAACAATCAAACTTTGTCAGATTAGATCACGAGTCGATAACGCATTGCATCAGCTTCGCCAGTGGATATTCATCTTGAGAGTAACCATGGCGCCGTCGTATCGGTTTGCGAATGCCTGGGAGTTCTCCCCACCATTCGAGGATGAAGCCGAGCCAGTTCGCGCTGTCAAGATCGCCCAACGGTGTCCCCAATCATCCGACGAGGAGGAGGATTATGAGGGCGACGATGACGCGAGAGATTCATCCGACGCCAAGTCCAGCAACAGCGACGAGTTAAGCAACGCTGATTCTGAAGAGGAGAACCAATGGCAGGCGAGCGAAGATGGTGAAGAGGACGTCCTTCGCAAGCCGTCTGCGTACTATCACCCGCATGCAGATCGCGTCTTCTGAGTTTTGACATCGTCACAGGAAACAACAGATCGAAACCGCCCGACTCGACCGAGAGAGAATCCGTCGCATTGCTAAAGCTTTACCCGATAGGCTCCCTCGAGAATTGCGAGATAAGATCTATAGACATCTTGTTAGCGACCCCGAAATGAGGACGAAAAGGCGTCAGTTCAAGGGTATTAGTGAAGTATCAGACAAGCAGTTCGTCAACGCAGAGTACAAGATCTTTTGCCCGTCTTACGTAGGCATTCAAGTTGCACGCGAAGCAGCAGAATCCTACTATGCCACCAACTGTTTTAAAGTCAAAACCGAGGACGCCTTCTTCCACGAAACCCATGGTCATAACCCCCGCAATTACGATATGGAAACCTGGTTAGGCTTGCCATCCTTGTCGGGATTGCTCCAGAAAGATTACTTTGGGCTGGGTATCCTACCATACAAGTCCATTCGGCGTCTGTGCATCCAGATCCAAGGCCAAGATTTGAGTCGAGGCATTTATCACGACGTTAACAACGTTCGCGCACCATATGATGGTTATCTCAGGATAATTAAAGAATCTACTGACAGAGAACGGCAGCAACTCGACAAATTATACGAGGATCTTGAGTCTGCGTTCTCGCTCCTGCCCGACAAGGGCAAGCTGGATATTCGCGTTTATATCGAGCCCAGTGAGCCGCAAGGTTATCCAAAAGAAAGGAAGAAGCTAGTCAGTGTCATCGAGGAGAAAAGTTTTGATATGCCATTCTTCTTGAACGTTGAGCGTGAACTTCTCAATGTACTAGAAGCCATCAGGAAGCCCATGTATGATCTCAAATACGCCGGAGCTCATGTCGCTATCCGTCGGTACCACCGATTTTTGGACAATCATGGATGGCTTCGGGACGATCGTGGAAACTTTTCTGAAATGGATGAATTTCCATTATTCGACGTATTAATTCAGACCAAAGAAGAGTGGAACAAGGTGCGTATATCCTTGACTTTGGGACGAACACATGCTGATAATCATGGAAAGGAGAAGGAAGAGCACATACACCAATGGGGACGACGATCCAAAAAATACCAACCCCACAGGAACTATATCGAGCGAAGCATGATTATTGGGCCCGGAAAGTTGTGCGAGGAAGTGTTTCTCAAGAATCTCCCACAGTTCAGGCAGCGGTGGGGTTATCAAGAATACCTGGATACGCCCATGTACATAGGGGATCTTCCACCAGGAGCGGACCCGAGTTATTACTCGTGTGACTCGGAAGACTCGGACCAAAACAAGACGAGGCAAAAGAAAAGGTGCAAAAGAGGCACCAATGGTTGCCGACTGCATGTTTTGGGTAGAACAACTGCAGAGCAATAGTCAATCAAAGTAGGGTCTGATTCAGAGATGCGGAAAGGAAAAAGCATGATGGCTAGCATTTCCACTGGATGAGCCTGGCCATTCTTCATCGTTCTCAAAACATTCTCCTCTTTCCTCAATGAGCTGCAACTCCCTGATGAGTTTTGATGTTCTTCACGTTCCATTGACATACACACGACGAAGACAAAGTGTTATAGTTCGCTGTATAATCTCGGCTTCTGCTTCTCGCACCAGAAAACCCAAGGCCTTATCATACGTTTCAAACATTGGCGCTTTATGTACATTTTGTTGCCCGCGGCACATTGGATATGCTATGAAGCTCTTCACTAGCTGCGCCTCCACTCTTCATCGAACTTTCGCACATTACATAGGAGAGACGCCGGAAACGTTCGAGGACAATATCGTGTATGGCTTGTGTCTTTAGGGGTATGCTTCGGGCGTGGGCCTCAATTTTCCCCCTACTCTCCATAGGTCCAGAACTCAAACCTATGAGGGGGGGGAGTGCCTCTCTGCTCTTCTCATCTCTTTGGGTGGTATTCAAATGCGCATTGACTCCCAGCTTTGTATTTTGGCCTTGCACTTCTTGGCTGATCATATGAAATTGTCTCAGTATGATGACCTCTCCGTCTTTCTCACATCCCAAAGCACACTCCATTTTACCGGAAAAAAAAACAAAGTCGTTGCAGGGAGGAGACTGGCTCTTCTACCAAACGTCGCTACCTGCAAGTTATGTCCGGCACCTCTCTTCGCGCCTTAAAATCCACGGCTGGAGTTTGTTATGAGAAGCGTTCTTCGAGTGCCACCCTAGTACGAAAGTCATCACAAGAGAGCCACATGTGCGGCACTTATTCTTCTTCCCCAGCTCTACACTTTTGGATTGTTCAATACGTAAAAGCGTCTGCGCTGCGCCCCACCTCCTCTCCATCAATAATATCATTTCATTCTCTTCTTAACAAAATTCAAAAACCAGACTACACATGGAGAAGGCGTTCGGTCTTCCAACACACACCAAACATATACATGTTTCCTCGTCGTGCCGCAATTTCCAAAAGACGCATCAGTGTGCTTCATGACGGGAAATCTCTGTTCAGAGTTTACACCACTTATCTAACAAAAACATGAGTCACGTTTGATGTGTGGCGCTTGCGGCGAGGTACACACAGCTGCAACCTAGCCTGAGCTTCTGCGTGTATCGAGAACTGGAAAGGTCATGGGTATGACGGCGCTGTCGCTCTTGGTGGAGCACTGCAATGGCTGAGATGGAGATGGCGATGATCGATCACATGTGCAGCTGTCTTCTTGGCCCTTCTATAAAATGATCTCTTCGGCAGCTGTATCCCTTCTTTCTACATCTAAACTCTTTCTCTTCTTTCACCAAAAAGCAATACGGTCCGTCTTATGGAGATTGCTCTGCCTGCTCCTAAAAGTGGACACATACACTCTATGTATCTGCATACCACCTTTTCTTCAAAATCGCGACCATGGTCTGGATGACGGTGCCTTCTTTTCAAGACAACGTTGCAACTATTTGTTCATTCAAAAGGACAGAGGCACACATACATGTTCGGGTGCGGCTGTCGCATCAATCTACTATCAAACCTCCTGTGGCGGCACCTCTTTTCTTCTTCTTTTCTAAAATCGAAATCCATCTCTTCTTCCAAAACGACGCCATACAACCTTTATGGGGACTTCGCCTCTTCTTCCAAAATCACCAAGCACTAGCACTATGGGGACTGCGCCTTTCCTTCGAAATCACGACTACAATATTGACATGTGTGTCTTTCTGCACTGTCAAGCTTGGGCACGTTAGGAGAATAGCCGTCGTTGCTCGCTCACGAGATCTATGAGCACAGATTATCGACGGCCAACCACGAAGCTCCTACGTGTGATCTTCCCCTGGCTCTACTATAAAACCTGTCTGCGGCTGCAGTACTCCTTCTTCTACACCCATCTTCTTCTTCATTTTCCCAAAATAGGATGGAGAGTGAAATGGAGATTGCGCCTGTTGCTCCAAAAGTAACCACCGGACCCTCCTATGTGTCTCTCTCGAAGCACCATATCGAACTTTGGATGTTCTAGGAATTTCCCACATCCCCTCTCATGAGAGCGCCACCGCCACGATTGCAGCATATAAAAAATCTCCGACTGGTCGACCACTCTTCCTACATCATCGAATTTCTTCTTTTCTTCACAAACGTTAAGCAGTCACCGACATGAGACCGCTTCTCTCTCTTTCTCCAAAAGCGCGATTCAACCGTAATATGTTCCGGACCTTTTTCCCGTCTCCCGACCAGGCCAACGATCTTTCAAAACATTACGCACTCTACTCAAAAGCTTCAACATTCGCTTCTATGGGTGAGCGCCGTCGTCTCGCAACTCCTATAAGATCCTCAACTGGCGGACCTTCTTCCTTCAACATCAAGTTTCCGCCTCTCTTTTCCTAAGAAAGACAACCATTACCTACTATGGAGACGGTGCCGCCTTCCAAAACCTTGTTAAGACAATCGATGCGCCTGCTCTGGCCTCTTCTTCTTTGCTCAATACTCAATGTTCAAGTCCACGATGAAATGACTAGAAGCTTCGCGCCGAGTTTGACATGGCGGGAACCAACTTCAAAACATATCTACCTGAGTCCATGAGTTGGGAAACGGCCGCGTTCAACAAAATGTTCGTCTTCGCTGTCCTGCAACTGCACTATCGATAGGATGGAGAGCGGGAACAAAAGCATGAGCAAAAGTGGCGATGGGATTTAAAACCGCATTCATCGAATAAACTTTCTTCTTCCCTTCTTCACTATAGGAAGATAGGTGTTATCTCACAAAAAAAACTTGTACCACAAGATGGTTATGCGCGCCGAGCACCAAAAACGCAACTACTCGATATCATGGTCCGACGGACGTCAGTATCTGACACCTGCCTACGTTTACAAATTCCTCACTGTACACAACCAAAACCGTCTATCACCTTCACCTATGACCTGAGATGACGAAAACGTCGCGACATTGTACCATTAGACTTTTGTGTGATTCATAGGAGAGTGTAACACATAAGGATCATCCCATCTCACACCAGCCAACACCTCCGCACTCACATAACAACAATTCTGCCAAAAACTCCATCCATGATGCGCTCACACACACACAAAAAACACCAAAAAACGCCATTTTGCTATGCCAGTCACCACCACCAACTCCATGAACCCAACCCGTCCTCACAGGCTCCTCTCCTACACACACCCTCTCTCTCTCTCACCCATCACCAGCAAAATGCAAATATCACAACCTCCCCACCCCCACCCTCGCTCCCCAATCCCCACGATTAAACCTCTTCAAATCCCCCCCAGCCCTCCTAAACCTCTTCATCTCCCATTTCTTCTTCTTCTCAAACTCTTCGCCCGCCAGTCTCTTCCTCACGAGTGACTTTTCCACTGTATTACTATGATCACCGCCACCACCAGCAGCAGCAGCAACAGTAGCATCGTGCAACACAGCCGCGTCTTCCCAACTATACGAGAATTCCTTGATCAAAGGATGAGTTTGGTTGTTGAGTTGGATAGCCGAAAAAGGGTTCTTGTGGGAGAATTTGAGCAGGTCGGGGGTTTCTGTTTGCTCTGTTACTACCACTGCTGTTGTTGTTGTGGTCGTCGTTGTCGAGCTGAGCTTTAGACCATGTGCGTCACGTTTCGACGTGACGGTAACAAACGGAGGACCATCAGCGTCATCAACAATAGTAGTGTGCTTCTCCTCTTCCTTGTCGGGAAAGGGGTTCGGTATACCAGGCGACGTCGGCGTTGGGGTATGCGTACCACCAAAGACGCGTTTTGGAGCCGTATCAAGCCTAGTAAGCCCTTTGATGCCAAAGGCGTTGTTCCCTTTACTCCTCGTCCTTGCATGATGATGACTGCCACCTCCTCTTGCTGCTGTCTGGTCGCCCCCGGGCGGCCCAGGTATCCAGTCTTCCTCTGCATCACTATTTTGCTCTCCCGGCATGCCGGCACCGCCTCTCCGTCGCCTGTTCTCTTCGTCTTCACTCGCTGGGCGTTGCAACTTTGGTCCCGCAGGCGTCATCTTGACGCGCTCCTTCTCCTTGCCCTTGGACACTGGTTTCGCGCCACGTTCCTCGGGCGACGTCTCCTTGTCTTCGCCCCTCATTTGCGCTTGCCTGACCTCATCGGCCATGTCCCGCGGCACAGCAGCATGGATATCCGTCATGAGCTTTGCCCGCCTACAGTAACCCTCCCAGTCCTCGACGGCCAGTTTGCCCGCTGCTTCGTTGAGCGCACTCGCGGGATTCGGTTGGATGAGTAGACAGGATATCGTAACGAGCACGTCTCTCAGCTTCAAACTACTACTCCAGTCCCGCTTCAGCGTCTCCACACACACGGCGCCCGTGGCCTCGTCAATGTTCGGATGCCATAGTCTGGTTCGGAACTGGGCCGTGGGCGGGGCGGCGGGGTAGGTAGGTGGGATGTCGAGGTGCAGGCGCCATACACCGCCCGAATAAGGTGTTCCGACAGGGCCTGCGAGAAGGACGTCTAGAGAGGTGAGATCTGCCGAGTCATCCGCGCCTGGAGGGAACAGGTAGTTGGGAGGAAGGCCGGCGGTGTGCAGGGAGCCGTGGTCGGCGGCGAGGCGGCGCAGTGACTTTGAGTTCTGAGTGTTTGTGTTAGTGGAGTGCGTGGGTACGCGACGGGACATGCGAGCATCACCATGGCTATATGCTGTAGTAGGAGCACGTCTGTGTAGGTGGGAGAGAGAACAAGGCGTTCATTGCGCTGTTGTATAGACCATCTGCCGTCTTTGGAGTGGTGAGCAGTGACGAGTCAGGCCTGCTTTCTTCCAGCGGTTGCCATGCACCCACACGTCGGTCGCGACGCCCCGCAATTCGCCCATCTGAGCGCGCCTTAGCGCGTCATTTCCACCTCCGGCCTCCTCACCCATCAACCTCAAGCCATGCATGATCAACACTCCAAACAGCTACTCTGCGTAAAGACGTCTTGATATCCATCGTATTTGCTAGCTACAGCCATCCATTCAGAAAGAAGAAAAGAAACGACCCTTCCACATGCAGGTCACGTATAGTCTTACATCCATCATTCCCTCTAATACTCCCTAACAAACGCCATGCTATAAACACCCCTACAAGATGTCCATCCCATCCTCCGTCTCCACAAAAGGAAACTGCCCACTCTCAATCGCCGCCACCCGATCCAACTCCTCCTGATACTCCTTTCTCAGCGTATCTAGCGTGACAATCTGCCTCTTGAGCAACTTCTTGCCCTGTCCAATCCCCCAATTCAACCCCCCTCCTGCACCACTACTCTCCAACCTCTGCTCAGCCAATATATACGCATCCTCCTTGCTGACCGCCGACAAGGTATTGATAATCATGAGGTAAATCTGCGCCAGGCTTTCATCAGCCGGGTCATGGATCTTGCTACTTGTCGTTTTGAGACGTTGCAGCCGCTCGTGTAGGATAGACGCTGCGCCGCGGAAGTTGTTTCGGCTGATGCGGAACGAGTAGAGGATTTGATGGTACGGCGGTCCGGAAGCAAGGTTGAGTGTCTTATGGCAGAGAGAGGTGAGGATGGTGTCGACGGCGTCGGAGAGGCCGACAAAGGGGAACGTGAGGAGGGTGCGAGTTTGCGAGGCCGTGACCATGGTTGTGATGAGAGTTTGAAGATCAGACGTTTTCCTGTGGGGAATGGCAATAGTCAGTATAACAAGTCGGACAGTGGCAAGACGGGTAATTTGACGTACAAGGCTGTGTCGCTATGCCTGATCAACGCAGAGTACGCATCATGGAACCTAGCTGTCTGTATTGAAGCGGTGAAAAGCCGTTGGAGCAGATCCGTCTTGAGCTCCTCATCTTCCTGGCCCATCAAACATCGCAGACCGAGTTTGGCAAAATCCGCAACGTGGGAATATGCCTTGGCCTTCTCGAACAGGCCGATGACGTGACTGTAGTAGCGTGCTAGGCCTTCGGAAAACGAGTTTCGTTCGACTTCTGATACCAGGCCTGCTGTGTCTTCTTCCGCGACATCGAACATTGGACCGAGGGCTGTGCAGATTAGTGGTCTGTTGGCAAACATGCATCTAGTAGACTTACCCATAGTATATGCAGGCTTTTGGAAGCATAAAGACGCGAGCGCACTCTCACCGAGTGCAAGGTGCATGCGCCCCTTGAGATAAGAGGCCCAATGACCTTCTGGAAGGAACTTGGAAAAGTCCATAGCGAGGTCGTACTCTTGCTGTGCTAGAAGGAACCCCATAATGTCCTCCACGACATTCTCAAAGTCGTGTTCCCTGAAGATGAAAGACAACCAGCCCCGGCTCCAGTGGGTGAGTAGACCCGCCTTCGTATCCTTTGGTAGCAAGACCTCAAAGGCGCGCAGTCCGTAAATGCCCTCGAGGACTGTCTGGGTAATAGGTAGCTTCTGGGTCTTGTACGTCTCGCCTAACATGCGATACAGTTGCTCTGACGCTTGACCCGTCATAGACTGGTGAGCCCACACTGTGCGAGCTAACCAGGACACCACCATACAATCCTTGTACCGAAGCAAAAGCTCTGCAAAGACTTCAGATGCATCCCACTCGTCATGTGTTTCTCCCTCCAGCTCGATGAACATGAACAACAGCAGCACAAGCAAGTCCAATAGGGCATTATGGTCGTTCTCAAGCGTTTCCTTGGAGACTGAAGATAGCGCACTCAGCCCATATCTTGCGATTTGCTTTCTCGACTGAGGTCGGCCATCATGTTCATAGTCCAGTTTCTTGATAGCTCGGAGAAATGTCTCAGTGCCCAAGTCCTTCACTTCCATACCAAGCTCTTCGACAAGGACGGTGACATCCTCGTCAGTCACATGCTGGGAGAGTTCGCTGTTAACCTCGATCCATTCCATGCGATCCAAGATTGTGATGTTCCGACTCTGTAGTAGGTCCATCTCCATGTGGCGTTGTACTTGTTGCTGGACAAAAGATGGCAGTCGTTGACGGAAGGAAGCTGCGGCGTTCAATAAACGTGCCACATCGCGAGACTCCGAAGTATCCAGGGTTTGCCGTAGGGGTTTGCTCAGCACGCGCTGGCTTGAGATGGCAGCTGCGTTGAGTGTAGTGACTTCTGACTCGCTGCAATTCCTAATCGCAGAGAGATGGTCGCTCAACACTAGCCACGGCCGGTCGGTAGCTCGGTCGTAAACGAGTGATAGCGATTCTCCCCTTCGCTTATGTAGATCCTTTACCAGACTCCAGTAAGCCTGCCACTCTGCTATTATGGCTTTGCTGAGATCTTCTGTTTGCGGACTGTGCTCGACTGCGAGGGTGACAATAGTGGCGCTTAGACGCTCTTTCAAGCTGCCCCGATTCGACGATCGACTTGACCGCACCCGCTCTGAACCTCTTTTGCAGATGAGCAGCGCCGTCTCCAACGTCGCAATCGTGAACCGTCCGGGATAGAACAGGAAGTCAATCCATTGATCAGAGACCTCCTCGTCAGGCTCCGACTCTCGCTCGCTAGGATTCGCAGGATTGATCTTTAGTGCCTCGACGGTCAATGGGCCTGAATCAACAGACACCCAATCGTTCTTCCAAGTTTGTGTTCGTTGGTCGGCAAAATCAGTGAGGTCGAATTTCAATGAGTAGACTTTACTGCTCGGTCCTGACCTAGCGCGTATCCAGATCTCCGAGCCCCTCCACCCAGGTCCTGGGATTACGTGGAATTCCTCTAGTGTCCATACAGTCGTGTTCATGAGTTCGTCAATCGGCGGAATGAGCTCCGAGTCCTGCGCAGCATCGTAGAATCCATGGTCCTGGTCGTCCGCGTCCCGCACGCCCCAGAACTTGAATTGATGCTGCTTCGGGGAGTAGGTGACGATGTGATACTCTGCGCCTCCCGGCCCCCCAAGACCGTCCACAACAGTCATGAGCATCGACTGCGAAGGCCCAATCGAGTATGAAGCTTGTGACTTTTCCAGTGCGAAGTCGTCGGCGCCCAAGAGGTCAATGTGAGCACCTGGCTTGCCCGACTCAATGTTCCACGCCCTTATCGAGTGATCCAAACATACTGAGAGGATATGTTGCTTGTTCGGTGATATCGCGACCGCAGCGGCAGCTGATACAGCAAAGTCTGCGTTTTCAAACCGGACTGTGGGCTGCGCTTTCCATGACAGAAGACCGCGTACCGACCAGTTACTCTGCTGGTACCGGGCCCCGTCCCACGTGTTGTTGGCCTTGTCCCAAATCAGACGGCAGATGGCCCCATCGTCAAGCGTTACAAGTAGCTCCTCTGCGCTTTCGGCGACCAATCTGTAGGGTATGCGCCCGCTGAAGAGGGCCGGCTCGAACCTCTTACACCACGTCTCGGGTTCCTGCTCCGAGGCTGCGGGAGTGGAGAAGAAGTCGCGGTGGAGAGCCATGGTATAGAGCTCGTTGTTCGTCGTGATTACGAAGACGCTCAATGCGTCTCGATCAGCGGGCTCAGCGAAGGCGACGCAAAAGGGTCGAATCTCGGCGGGGAACTGGAAGAGGAGCGTGAGGTTGGCCTCGAACTTGTCGGAAAAGTCGTGGTCCAAGTCGGTGGACTGTATCTCCAGCATCTTTCTGTTGTCCAGCACCCGCCAGAGGAAGCTTCGCGGGTATGCATGGTGTTGCCGAAAGTACATGGATCCATCTGTGGCTAGATGACGCCTCGTGAAGGCCTCCTCGTCTTTGTCTGCATAGTGCTCTGTAATGAGACTGCGCTTCACCGTGCCTCGGACCCCGAAAGGAGCGTGTGTTGGTATCGAAAATACAATTGTCGAGCCAGGATAGGCGGGTTCAATGTTCAATCGCGCCTCTTTGTAGAGACATGTGCCTCCGTTTTGAACCATGGCGATCGCATGCGAAAGGGACCCGACTGTCGTCGCAGGAGTCGAGGAACGGTGGCGCGCGTTGGGTTGGAGTTGCAGCTGTCGGCGCGAAGGTAAAGCTCACAAAAACAGTCGCCGCGGTGCATGCACGAAGCTGTCTGGCGCACGCGTGCACGGACGCGGCTTTGTCCTTCACCGCAGATCACCTTGACGTTTCTTGCAGGGGGGCTCGCATCACGTAGCACGCGAGAGAAGTGGACAACCATGATGCGCTTCGCTTCACGTTTTGTATTAGGATATCATACGCATTGCATAAACATAAATCGTCCACGATCAAACACATCTAGATCGTCGCCGCCCCATTACGCCTTGCACCAGCAATGCGAATCGTGGCCGAATCCCCTCCATCAGCCTCATCATCTATTAGCCCTCTCCTCGAGGTCCTTCTCCTTAGGATCGCCGATGCCGTCTTCGTTGATGGCGAACAGGCAATCGCTCTCTGGCAGACATGGACTGTCGTAGATCTTGCAAACACGCGTTTCTCCTCTGCCCTTCCTCAAGCTGAGGCGCGTCGTACTTGCGTGCGCAATGATGTTTCCTCCGATAGGTTTCTTCGGATCTGGGTTGAACATGGCACTTGGCCCACCATCCACTTGTGCAACGACTTGGTTGGTGATTACGACGGCAATACCAAACTCATCCGCAAGCCGTTGTAGCGTGCGCATGAACTTGGCCAAATGTGTTTGCCTAGCCGAAAGCTCTCCACGCCCCGCAAAATCCGTTCGATATAGTGCGGTGGCGGAGTCGACGACGAGCAATGAGAATCGTGTCTCCGTCATCATCTGGGCGGCCTGGTTGAGAAGCTCCAGCTGGTGATCAGAGTTGTATGCGCGCGCGTAAGCAACGTTGTCTAGAACTTCTTCCCCGGAAAGTCCGAATCGATTTGCCACAGCCAAACATCGTACTGGTCGGAAGGTGCCCTCGGTGTCGATGTATAGGCACTTGCCCTCACCACCGCCCATGTCGAACGGCAGCTGGCAGGTAACGGCGAGTGTATGACAAATCTGACTCTTTCCCGTTCGAAACTCGCCAAAGATCTCTGTGATCGAGCCAGTCTCAATTCCACCTGCCAGAAGAGTGTCCAGTTGTTTTGAGCCGGTCGTGATTGAAATGAGTTCGCTGCGGCGTGAGTGCATCTCGGTGGCCGTGGTGAAGCCCATAGGTACAAGTTTGGAGGCTGTTCAAGTAAGCAACAGGCAGTATAGCGGCGTCATTGGTGCTTACCTTCTGCAAGTAGTTTTGAGGCCTTTTGTTCTGAGATGCCCTTTATTTGCTCGAGCGCTCGCCGTGGCCTATCTGTTGTTAGTGGCGGGGCTAATCTACACACAGTGGCTGACATACGTATAGGCAATTGATTCTACGGTGTTGAAGCCACCCTCAACAATCAATTTGATGTCGCGTGCAGTCAATCCATTGACTCCCTGAGATCTCGTCAACGTCCGCTGCGCGTACCAAGTCAAGTAAAGCATACTTCAAGCGCAGACACCGGAGTGGGGGCACCAGGGCCACCCATGCTGCTATCATCGAACTGCTCTTCTTCGGCACTCATTTTGGCGGATATGGGACGGTAAAAAAGTGTGAATTAGTCGTTGTACTGGAGTCGAGTGTGAAGTGTTCAAGAAAGAGGGATGAGTGGCGACCGGGCATCTAGATCAGGCGCGTCTGGCTAGCGCCAAACGCGTCCTCACATGACGCTGATAAATCGCCACAAGGCAGGCGCGCAGGCTCCCACGGTCATGTCCGACGTTACTCCGCAACACCAAAGACGCTTCACGCACCGACACTTCGGGTGTATGTGTAGTCACATGTTCATTCCTTTCTATTTCATGGTATCATTGTACGTAAAGACCTACTCGTCATCGCCAAAAAAGACCTTGACTGGTAGCCAGGCGTCACCACAAACCTTGAAGCGCTCAGGCAGCGAGCTAATCTCCTTCATCTCCTCGTCAGTCAGCTCCCAGCCGTCAAGCTGGAAATTGCCCTGGATGCGAGATGCTGTGACAGACTTGGGGATGACGCTGGAGCCACGCTGCAGACCCCACATGAGCAAGACTTGCTGGACAGACTTGCCTTTGTTGTCGGCGAGCTTCTTGAGCTTCTCGTTCTTGTAAAGAGGTGAGTCGGTTGATCCGAGGCAAGAGTAGGCGGTGGCGTGGATGCCCTTCTCCTTGCAGTAATCGAGGAGCTTGGGGCTGGTCGCATTGTCAGTTTACACATACATGAGTGAGCTGCCAACACATGACTTACGAGGGGTTGTTGGGGTGGAGCTCGATCTGGTTGACGGCAGGTGTGGTCTTGAAGCGAGAATCGGCAAACAGCTTCTCGAGGTTCTTGATGGCGAAGTTGGAAACACCAATGTTCTTTACGCGGCCAGACTCGGGGAGCTTCTGCATCTCCGCCCAGGTGTCCTTGAAGTCCCAGTCGGGGTAGTGCTTCTTAAGATCATCGGGGTCGGTGGAAGAAGGCCAGTGCTGTCACCGCGTCAGTGTTTAGTCCAATCGGAGAGTATACCTTGATGTTGAGCAACTTACCATGAGGTAAAGGTCAACGTAGTCGAGACCAAGACTGTTCAGAGAGCTGGTAATGCCCTCTTCAACGCGCTTGTGCCATGGGTTGTCAAGCTTGGTGGTAACCCAGATCTCCTCACGGGGTACGCCAGAGTCCTTGATACCCTCGCCGACCTCCTTCTCGTTGCCGTAGGCAAGCGCGGTGTCAATGTGGCGGTATCCTCCCTGGAGAGCAGCCTTGACGGCCTCGCGAACCTCACCAGGCTTTGACTGCCATGTGCCGAGACCGACAGCGGGAATCTTTGCGCCAGTGTTGAGCGTGAAGTGCTCCTTGGTCCAGTTTTTGGGTGCCATTCTTGCTAGGGTACGAATCATAAATTGTAAGGTAAAGTTTGAGATGTAGGAAATTTGAAAGAAGGCAGGAATGGCAAACTTTTGAAGGGTGATCTGGAGGGGCAGTGCCGACGCGTTGTGTACCCCTCCTACGTCAGGGCCATCTTTCATCCAACACGTTGGTATCTGTACCGAGCAACTTTAAGCACCGGCATAAAACCTCCACGTATCAGGACGCGATTTGCCCGCGGGTGAGGTTAAACGGGTGGGGGGTGGAGCGCTACCCACCTGGCGCTAGAACCCAAAAGGAAGTCGGAACAGTACCATTTTTTGGCGTTCTGCCGTTGAACATTCCCGCTTCCACTGCACCGCCATCAGCAACCTGCGCTAGCCGTATAAGTGTGGACCGCAATGTCTTCAGGATTCGTCAGTGGCGGCAAGGCTGGTGAGGAAGTCGAACGCGATGATGAGTGGAAAAAGGCCCAGCAAGAGATTGAGGATGCGAGACGCGCCAAAGCCGATCTAGCGAAGCAGCAAGACGGGAAAAGTCTTTACGAGGTCTTGCAAGCCAACAAAGACAAGAAGCAAGCTGAGTTTGAAGAAAAAGCGCGGTATAAGCTGCATGTTGCTCTGGACGACGAAGAAGCCGACTACCTAGATTCGGTCTTGGAAAAGAAGCGCCAGGAAGAAGCCAATATAAAGAAAGAAACATTTGAACAATTAGATTTGTTCCGCAGACAGCGCGAAGAAGCCGAGAGGAAGGCTCGGGGTCTCGAAGAAGAGAGCACAGAAACACCTCAAGAGGAGGATGCCGGCCAATGGGCGGCAGTTGGACGAAAGAGGAAGAAGGGTACTGAAGCCGGTCTGCTAAAGGGCGTAAAGCTTAGGAAATCGAGCACCGTGCCTGAAGAGAAGAACAGCACCAAAGAAGTAAAGGCTACGAAGCAGTCTGCGCCGGATGTCAAAACGAACACACCTTCTACTACGGGCGGCGGTAAAGGCGTAAAGAGTCCCGCGACATCATCCGTGAACGCGACAAAGCCACCAGCAGGGCCACCTTCCTCCAAGCTCGTAAACACACTTTCGCTTGGGTTAGGCTATGCATCTTCGGATGATGAAGATTGAGCCTCTATCGAAGGCTAGATGTCATTCTTGAAACGAGCGTAGCCCACTTCAACAAAAGGATTTTTCTGGAAAGAATCTTGCAATTCCTGCGCGACACGAAAACAGTTGCGATTACGCAGGTACTGGCGCACAAGAATTGAGAAGCTTCATTTTGGCCGAGCCCAACATGTTGAAACATGAAAAATTACTTGTAAAGCGTTTGTGTCGGCGCTTGGCACCCTTGCGGTTTGCAACTATATGTTTATCAGGACGACATCCTGGGCGTTGGGCATCACTTCACAATACGCGACGTGATGATGTCATTGGCCAGCCGCCTGGGTGATGCTTACCTGTTCCTAGCGACATTCTGCGAAAGCAGTTTCCGCCGGAACTGACGATCAACTATCCATATCATCAATCAACGTTCATTCTCGAACTGCTTGCAACTCGTCAAAAATGCATTCGTGATTTTACTTGACATAAAACAACGCAACTAACAATCTGGCATCGCGATCTGAATGTGCAACGTCGCAACAACATGGCACACCAACCCACCAACCACGAAGGTTCTCCGCTTCTCCATGACAACAGCAGCTCTCCAGGAGACGACGAAACTACCCGTAATGTCGATGAAAAGATGGATACGCGCCTGATGTTGAAGATTGCGGCAGCAATGTACTCTTTCACCACACTCGGCCTCTTCAACTCCTCAATCGGCACCGTCCTCCCTCTCCTCTCCTCCTATTACCATCTCACCGACCTCCAAGTATCTTGCATCTTTCTCGTCCCGCCCATCGGCTATGTTGTAGCAGCACAGTGTAGCGATACCGTGCATCACCGCTTTGGTCAACGAGGAATCGCAGTTGCAGCGCCTTTGTTACAAATCCTGGCTACGACGATAGTAGCAACGCATCCGGGGTTTGGGTGGGTGCTAGTTGCCTTTATGTTCCAGGGGCTGGGAACGGGGCTGCTGGATGGGAGTTGGTGTGCGTGGGCGGGGAGTATGGAGAAGGCGAATACTGTGAGCGGGCTGTTGCATGGGAGTTATAGTGTTGGTGGGGCGATGGGTCCATTTATCGTTACTATTTTGATCACCAGGCACTTTCCGTGGTGGACCTGGTATTCTATCTTGGTGAGTTCCCTGAATCCAAGGTCTTTCACTTCCTTGACTAATTGTTGTAGGCTGGAGCATGCGCGCTCTCTTTCTTGGTTTTAGTCATGGCATTCCGTAACGAAACCGCATCCGTCTACCGTGAAAGCAAGCAGTCGAAAATCAACGATTCCAAGATCGACGTCAAGGCCGTGTTCAGATACCGAGCTACTTGGTTCTGCGCAGCGTACTTTCTCACTTACGTTGGTATCGAGACAGCGATCTCGGGGTGGATCGTCTCATTCATGCTGCGCAGCCGCCACTCAACCGCTTACGTCGCTGGTCTGTCTTCTACGGGGTACTGGATTGGCATGGCTGTTGGACGACTCACGTTAGGTTTTGCAACAGATAGAATGGGGGTGCGGCGCGCGACTGGTTTGTACTTTGTTCTCGCTATTGGGGTAGATATTCTCTTCGCTGCTTTGTCATCTGCAGCTGCTTCTGTGGCGCTGATGACAATGCTAGGGTTTATCATGGGTCCGATGTTTCCGTCAGGAGTTGTTGTGCTTACACGATTGTTGCCGGCAGAGTTGCATGTTGCCGCTGTTTCCTTTGTGGCTTCTCTAGGTCAGGTTGGAGCAGCGCTTTCACCGTTTGCTATCGGTGCTGTTATCGACGGCATGGGTATTGGTGTCTTCCGGTTCGCGATAGTTATCGAGACTGTGTTGGCGTTGCTGGTATGGGTTGCTTTTGCAAGGCTGCGTCCCGCTTTGCAAGTTGTATCTACTGCGCGCCATGAGGACTGAGATTATGGGACCACTGCAGCGCTATGAAGCTATTGATCACCGTGTCAACATAGTGCTGTTCAGATGTAAAAGCGACAGCCAGACTAACTTCAGCTTTGATCTCTCGCTATATTCTACACAGGGATCTGACATGGTCATATTAATACATCCTTAGTATGATCATTGGTATGTTTTTAGAGTGATTCTTTTGTTACGAGCGACTTAGAAATAACGTCATCCGTCATATTTGCTTCCCAGATGAATTACCTAGGCATGCAAACAAGTCTTCGAGTTGTATTGATCTTACCAACTCCCAAGCCTATCTTAAGATAATGTAAGTCTGCTTCCTCTAAGCAGAAAGAATGTGCTTCGCAGTGCTTGAGAAACGCTATGTAGGTATTTTGTAAAGATTACAAAGAGGGTCGGCGAACTCACATAACCCGACAATGAAGTGACAACTAGAGAATCATAACCTCACTACAATCCCGAGTCGTGGTCAATCGAACCCAGGGTCTCAACCGATGGGGCGGCCGCGAGATGAAGCGGTGGGGGCCTCGCCCGAAGGACGAGGGGCGTTTTGGCGCTAGTAGCCCAGCTAACCCGCGCCGCACCACGCGTACTTTATACGGCAGACCGTCCCTTCATCCTTGCATCCCAAGGTTTGATAACTCAAGTCTGTCCTCGTCGCTGCGCTGTGACAACCTCATGGGAGCCATCACTCGTGTACCTTGATGGGTGTATCGCAGACACAAAAATCACACCTACGTTGTATGTACAAGCGGTACGACTTCTTCGCTTGCGATCCATCGCATAGTTCACAAGTCGAACATGCAGACGATCCTTCCTGCGTCCTGAATTGGTAACAGCTCCGGTGCCTGGGAAACCCAAGTGCGCTAGACCAACATGCTTCCAAACGGAGTCGAGCCGCGGAGGCAATACTTTATGTCCGTCCGATATTCTTCATAAACATCAGCATCCGCCTGTCTATCTCGTTCGTACTTAGCTATTGGCATCATTTCCTTAGACCCAGCATGGTACTTTTAGCAGGTGTTGCGGCTCTTCTCTTTGCTGCACCGTCAATTGCAACGGGAGCAGCCAAGAGCCTCTTTGGTGGTGAGAAAGTGGCCTGCTCAAAGTTGAAGGCCAAATACCCTGAAAGCACCTTTCTACCTGGAACCTCGGGCTACTCCTATGAGACGCAAGAGCGTATGTGTTTACAATCAAGACGCAAGCGCGATATTTGCTAAGAATCCACAGCCTATTGGTCAGCCACAGTCTACAGCAGTCCTGCGTGCGTCTTCGTTCCTCAAAATGCCCAACAAGTTTCGTACGCGGTCACTACGATGACACTCACTCTCTCAAAATTCGCTATGCGAGGAGGAGGACATATGCCAATACCTGGCTACAACGGAATCGACAGCTCCGGTGTGTTGCTGTCTTCGTCCAACTTGACGACCTTATCTCTTTCGACAGACAAGTCTATCGTCTCCGTTGGTCCCGGGAATAGGTGGAGGGACGTCTACGCTTATCTCAAACCGTCCGGACTCGCGGCTGTTGGAGGTCGTGTGGGCCACGTGGGTGTTCCTGGTCTGCTACTTGGCGGGGGAATTTCGTTTTATTCTTCGGAGTATGGATTTGCTTCGGACAACGTTCAGAAATACCAAGTAAGTTGGCATCATCTCTTAAGTTTAGCTCTGATCTGACAGCGATAGTGCGTGTTGTCCAGCGGACTTATCGTTGAAGCAACAGCGACGAACAAGTACTCTGATCTTTTCTGGGCCTTGAGGGGTGGCGGAAACTCCTTCTGCATCGTTACACGATTCGACCTACGACCAGTAGAGGGTAGCGATGTTCACGTTGGCATCGGACAATTTGACCAGTCGCAATCGAAAGGCTACCTGGATGGTGTTTATAACTTCGGGAAATACGGCGGCATCGATCCCAAGGCTGCCATTATTCCTACGATCCTTACCTTCCCTGCGGCGAACATGACGGTTTATGCGGCTGCTAAGTTTTACCACTCCACTACTGACAACCCAGAAGTGTTTGAGAACTTCACTGCGCCAAAGCTCACCCCTGTCGCCGATTCGTACGCACTGCAACCACTTTCGGACTACATCTCAGCTACAGACGCTCTTCAACCATTAGGGCTACGCCAGGAGTTCCGCACTCTTTCGTCTGTCGTCGATCGAGACGCTGTCCAGCTCATTCACGACACCTTCATCTCGGGCGTCAATGCCAAGCTGCCCAGTGTTGGCAACCTCCAGGCTTCAATAACCTTCCAGCCTGTTACCAAGGCATTTCTGTCGCACAGTGCTAAGACTGGTGGTAACCCTCAGGGCGTGGATGTCTCCAAGGCACCTTTCTTCTGGATGGTGGAGAACTTCACTTGGACGTCAGCAAGCGATGATGTCAAGGTACGCGCTGCTGCTGATGAGATCACAGCAAGCATCAACGGCTTGCTCAAGGCAAAATCATGGAGCGCTGATTACCTGTACATGAATGATGCTGGAAAAGGGCAGCCCATTTTCCAAAGCTATCCGGCTGCCAACTTGAGAAGGCTAAAGACTATTCGTACAAAGTACGATCCTCTTCGGGTATATACCAACCTGATGCCTGGTGGCTGGAAAGTCGCCGATGCATGATTGATCAATTCGGGTGCGCTATTTACAGTGTTTAGATCCTTTCGCTACGCACATTGACCAATAAACATCGTTTGGCCCCTACCAGCGCAAGAAGATACGTCTTCTTTGTGATTCTCCTTGTGACCGTGGTCACAGATCAAGATCATATGCCCTTTGAGGTTCATATCGTCGTTTATCTGCTTGTATCGCGCCTCATTACCAACCTGAACATGTTCCCCTCGATCGGGCGAGTTTGTGCGTCATTCGCAGACATGTATTCGTCCGGAAATTCGGCGTACCGGTAGCGGGTACGAATTAACTGTGCCTCACCTTTGCCGGGTGGATGAAAAGCTTGAGCGCGAAGGAACGCGAAGGAAGGGGCAGCGTAACCGAGCCGTGTCCAAAGGATTGGCCCAGCCTCCCGGGAACCTTGATTTGCTTCCCGCGAAAATGGAAATCAGTTGTTGTAACGGAGCTATGACTTCAATGAGCAAACCCCGGCAGCGATAAGATGATGTCTCATTCTCGGTTCCGTTGATTTGTCGACAGCCCCTTGAACCTGTCGATCCAACTTCTGATTTCTAGGTCATCTTGTTGTGTGTATGCATGTTGGAAGGATTGCGCCGTAATTTTACCGTCTCCTGTTTGAACCGTTGTACTTCCATGTCTGGAGGGTATCGAGGCCTTCTGTGGGGGAATTTATAGTGGCTGCCAAACGCATGTGGACTTGAGACTTGAAGGGCTGACATGTATCCTGGGTCGCGGCCACGGTACTTACCGTTCCATAGGATCTAGTTCGCATGTCCCTCCCGTAGACAAATGTCTCTTAAGAATTGATCGTGCCAGTCACAGTGTCATTCATTCCACTCTGTCAATAACGAGTAACAGCCAAAATGACGTTGAACTACACCGAACTTATGGTAAGTCAAACATCAATACATGCTGCAATTTTAACATAACACAGACGTTGATATGGTGTCTGTGGGGTGGGTCATTCGTCTTCACTGCTCTGAGAGGTTTTCTACGATGGAAGTCCCAACACCGGCTGTTCGCCGACGATCACTTCGTCTTCTTTGGCTTGCTATCTTTGACGGCTCTCTCTGTGGTTATCACACGATTGCTACCGCAGTTTTTCCTCGCTCAGGAATACTCAAAAGCAGCTATAGCAGATCCAAATACCCCAATGCCACTACCACCGGACGAGTTCGTCGAAAGGACACGCACTGCACTCAAACTCATGTTCAGCCAGATGCTTTTGTTTTGGACAACCCTATGGGCTGGTAGGTTGAGATTGCTAGGACGCTGCCGGAGAATCTTGTGCTGATATACATATCTAGCCAAATTCTCTATCCTGTTCTTCTTTAGGCGTTTGGTCATTGGACTACCCATATACATGCGCGCTTGGTGGTTATGTTTTATATTGGTGCTACTTCTCTACCTCGCATCAATCGCCTCAAACTTCTTGACCTGCCGTCCATTATCCAGATACTGGAGCGCGAGTCAGTATCTCATTCCAACGGGTTCTATATGACTTTCTAACTTATATAGCTGGGTGTAGCGATCCAGAGGATCTCATCCGAGCCGATGCCTCCATCAAATTCGCAACAAGCGCAGACGTCGTTGCTGACGCTCTCATAATGCTTCTCCCTCTTAACCTGTTGCGCAAACTCCAAGTTTCAGCCCAGCAGAAGTTTGGACTTGCTATTATCTTCTCACTCGGTACCATCATCATCGCCTTCGCGTTCGCACGGCTTGCGCAAGTCACAAAGGCTACTTCGAATCCCGACCCAGCCGCACTTGCTGATGGACCTGTGCTACTGAGTATGTGGAGCCACATCGAGTCATCCGTATCTGTCATAGTCGCTACACTGCCAGCGTTCAGATACCTATTGAATGGAACAATGGGGCGCACTCGACCAAGTCCATCTGCACCACCAGTATATGGCTCTGCGGAGCCAAGTGCGTCAGGACCGCAAAGCAAGGCCCGCCGTGTATTCAGTGGACATAGGTGGAGTCATAACACAGGCCTAAGATTGCCGAGTAGTGAACAGGGTAGAAAAGAAAGTAACGATTGGGGCAGTGAGACCGAGTTGAGACCTATGGCTGGAATTGAGAAACAGGTAGACTTCACTGTTGAAAGAGAGTTGGCGATACCACAGCATCATTAGACTTGACAACCAACTCTCCAAGGACTACGGGGTCAAACTTGGTGGACCTGAAGATCGAGATGTGGTGTCAGATGCTTCATTCATAACATAATTTACGTTATGACATGCTTTCCGGTATCTCCAGACACGCAACAGCTTTTGAGAACTTATTGAAGACTGAGAGACCACTGCGTTCAATTCCAATCAAGGGATAACAGCGTTTTAAGAAAGTTGAGTAGTATCATCAAGAAATTTGGCGATTGGCATGTCACTGATCCACTCAAAATTGGAGTTTGGTGCAAACGCCATGCGGAAGTACCCCTACAAGGAATGAAGTGGCACTCATTTCTCTGCTTCGCCCATTGTAATTGATACTCACTCTGTTCTCATTCCCCCTGGCCTTTCCCGCCCATTGAGTCATCTCAACAGCAGGCGCGAAAACCTTGATTTGTTCAATCAAGAGCCTCTCAGGACGCAACTTTGACCCGATGCCTGGAGCATGCTTCATCTCTATATGCAGCGCACTGTTCCGTCGTTGCGACGTTGAGGCCTTGAGACTAGGGCGAGAAGCCGGTTAAACGTATCCAGGTAGGTTACAGTGCCCCTTACCCAAAACAAAACAAAAGGTAGATAGACGAAAAAATAACAAACCCTACCCTAAAGTCTTCATTAGCTTATAACGAGAATACTGGGGAAGGTTGAAAACATTGTAGTCTTCTAGGCTCTCTATTTTTATGTACACAGCACTTAACATGATTTATTATAGTGGGATAAGTGCTGAGCCCTATTTCACTAGGCTCTAACGATCTTGAGTTCCAAATCCTGAGAGCCCTCCATAGTCTGTCGACAAATCAATATACCCGAAGTCGCCCGTCGAGAACATCGAATGAGCGTCTGCTTCTTGCTGCTGCTGCTGCTGTAGTAGCCAAAGACTGTCAGCGCTAGGCATGAATGACTGGAGGGCAGATGACGGTGTTTGCGGCAACAGTTGGTTTTGCACTTCGGGTAGTGTGAATGTGGGGTGCTGGAGGTTTACTGTATCTCGAACAGATGGAGGAAACTCCACTGGTGTTGGAGCTGGTGCCGGTGCTGGAGTCGTAGGTGCCAGAGTGATATCAGTTGAACCTGGTGCAGGTCCATGATCCTCCGGCGGGGAAAGTCTTTGCCTTTTTCGTGAATTTCTCCTTGTTTGAACAGACCGGTGTCTTTCGTTAGCTTGGTTGGCACCTAGCATTTCTAAAGTATCGAGAAACACGCGACCTATGGCGTTACGCTGGTCATCGTCGAATTGAGGAAGGCACCCTTCTATTCTTTTCTGATCGAGAAGCTGCATGAATATGCGGTGGGCATCAGCTCTAGGTCTCTCCTCAGAACCTGCTAGACGTTGTGCCGAAATGACTAGAGTAAATATAAGATTTGGAGCGTCTCAAGAATAAATATCAGAACCTACATGGATTTCTCGGAACCTCATCGTCCGGCCGCAACCTTTTGAAGATCAAATACCACTTCCAAAGTTGAGACCTGGCGGTCTTCTCGCTCGTGTTAGACCCGTTTATGTAAAGCAGCACATTGCTGTCCACTCGTTGCTTCAACAGCGCCATAGTTTCGCTATCGTGAAAGGCTGGCATATGATCCCCCTTTGTCACCTTATCAATGCTTTTCCTGAGATCGTCGACGGCTTCCTTACATTCAAGGGATATCCCGAGTCTATTGGGTTCCTTGTTCAATTCCTCTAGCTCTACAGAGCTCAATGCTCGACAAGGTCCTTGCGGTGCGACGTGTTCATCCAGAAGTTGTTGGGTAATAAATAAACGTTTACACCGTTGACAAGCATCAGATAGTCGGTGGTTTGGAAGTTTTCGATTTTTGCCCCAAGCATGATCACTATTGAATCAATCAGTGTCTATCTATGGATAGCAGAGGGTTTGTAGTCACTTACTTCCACAAGTGCCGTACTTCAATTGACATCTTGACATGCTTCGAAGTACAGGCTATACCGGCGGCTGAATACCAGCAGATGAGGGGAAGGGGTTGTGGATCGGAGGCGAAATTTGGGCCCATTCCATCCTTAATCCCCAGAATTGGATGATTACTGTTATTTGATGCCCCTATTCCAGAACTTGGTGAAGTATATCCGTTTCCTTGAAGGCCATTTCCCCCAGTACAGCCAGATGTAGACGACGTAGGGGTATCGCTCGTCGTACCACTGGTAGTGCTTCCACTGTCCGGAGAGTCGCTGCACGGAGAAGAAGTATCTCCTTCATGACCGCGGATATATGGGAGGAAGGAGGGCAGTGCATCAGGTTGAGAGCAGTTCCACGTCGTGACGTTGTCACACTCACCGTCACTGTCATCTCCTTCCTCACTTGAGAAATCCCCAGAGCACTGGGATGTATCGTCGTCAGGATTGTGCCTCTTCTTACTGCTCATGTCCGGGTTTCCTGGAAATGCGCTATAGTTGTCAGAGCTCATGGCACGCGAGTAGATATCGCTGCCAACACACTGGTTGCTCATCCGGCTCCCCTGACGATGTAACTCTGGCTTGACCCTTGCCTTATCCGCTTCATCGGAGTTACCATGTCCTTGATAGTCCGTCAGCTTGGCCTCGTATTTGCTGCTGGGATGGGCCTTGTCTTTGCTATGTGGCAAAGGCGAGGTCTCGCGTAAAGGGGCCTTGCCGAGAGTGCTCTGCAGTGACTTTGCCATTCTATTATCTCGGGCTTCAGGTTCCTGCTGAACATGTTTCGTTGTCTGGCTACCGATATAGTGTTGCTTGCGTTTGTGACGGCGTAAATCGCCTTGACGAATGTATGATCTGTCGCACAATTCGCAAGGCCAGCGATGCCTATCGCGTCGTTTCGAGGGTTCGCTTCTCGTTTCTTCACCTCCTCCATAGCCGATGTTCATGGCGCTGCTCGCTGTAGTCATGGTGCTACTCGCTGGAGTCTTAGTGCTGCTCGCTGGAGATATAGTGCTGCATGATGACAGTTCCGGAGTGGCCATATCGCTGGAGTCCGAAATACCACGTATACCCGAAAAGCCCTCATAGGCAGACATATGCGGAAACTGCCCCCATTTATCCCTTTCCGAGGATGAGCCATGGAGACGCCTGTCCACGTATCCCACGTATCCCCCATAGAAGGACTCTTCCTTGTTCGGCCAGTCGTATTTGATATTGGTAACAAGTCCATAATATGACAAGCCTATCTCGTCGAAATCCTGAGGTGTACGCGCGGTAAAGAAATTGTCCTCAGGTAGATAAAGGATACGGTGTGGACCAGTGGAAAGCCTTGAACCTTGTGCTGCTAGACTAGAAGAAATATCTGGATCTTGTGGTGTTGGATTACAAGAACTGTCTGAATCTTGTGTTGTAAGACTATCGCTCCAGCTATCAAGACCAGGCACTTTATGGGGCAGCGGCGGTAATAGCAATTCTAGTCGATCTGGGTACTCTGACACGGAAGCGGATGGCGGTGCCATCTCCTGGTATTTCGGCTAAGAATGCCCGCGAAGGCGACGTGGGGTACGTAGGAAGCGATTATGGCCAAATGAGTGCAATGAATACTCCAGGCTCATCAGTTGCGCGATTCGGAACGGTGGAGAAGTGCAATTCGGATTCGTGAGACTGGCGCGTCGGCGATATCAGTAGGCAGGCAAGAAAGGTCGAACAGCCGGGCGTCAGTCGACAGGCGGCGGTTCACACTCAGACCTGGGCCAGGTAGGAATAGAGGATATGGCATGGTGAGGGCGGGCGAGGCAAACTAAGAGGGGAGAAGAGGATGCGACACTCAGCAGGCGCGACAGACAACAGGCGCGAAGTTTCGCGGTGGGCGGGCATTGGTCGAGACGGGTGCACCCAATGAGTGTACGTTACAATCGTACTCGAGCGCCACACATGGCTCAGCTGTACCCCCAGACCCCGCATCACGTTTCAGGGATCAGCCACACGATCCCCGCTTACACACACACTTCCGCGACACTTCGCGCCTGCGTTTGCGCTGTTCGAGCTCTCGGTGCTCATTCATCTCGCCTCTTTGATCCATCACAGGTCTCGCACGTCGTCCAAATGTAAATCGGTTCCCCCTTCTTCGCGCCTCGTTTCGCTCGCGTTCGTTCTTCTATATCTCCTCTCGCGAGGGCTCCATCCCAACACCACGAAACGTCGCAAGTCATGTAGGTATCCATAAAAACACAGTGCCAGAACCATGGTTCTGCGCCCTGTCAGACCAATTCTCTCCTCCTGTCTATCATCGACTTTCAAACAAATACATCGCCTTCGTGATCTCATCTCCCCGTGATTTCTTCCAAGCCCCTCATGGCATCGTCTTCTTCATCCTCGCCTGTGGGCCAGGGATTGAATCAGCCCCAGTCCGAGCACTTTGAGTGGCTCATCGTCACCGGAAAGAAGCGCGGTCATGTCATGAACAGCGTCGAGATGCACAGTCACATGACCGGTACCACCGCTGTGCACGCCATTGGAAAGGCCTACAAAGACACTAAACCAAGCAACTCGTGGTACCACTCTCGCGCTGAGCTCGAAGATGCTGTTTTGTCGTCCGTAAGTCTGCTCCCCTTCCACACTTCGCCGATACTCCAACAACCTGCAACCATCCTTTTTGACATACAACTAGTCTTCCGAAGCCTGCCCACGGAGCCCTGACCTTCTATTCCAGTTCACTGTCAACCCTGATCCAGAAGCTCAAGACTACCCTCGCACCGTCATCCTCAAATCCAGCACCCCACTCCTTGAGCTCACCGAAGCCTTCCATAATCCCTCTCTTCTGAACGGCACCGACGCCACTCTCATCCGCGAGAACTCGCAATTCAACCCCGCAAACGGCAAGAGCCCCATCGACGGCCACTATCATGCCATTCTGATTAAGACCAAAGCCAGTCGCTGGCTCATCGCGGCAGGAGTGGCCGGTACCATCGTCGTTGCGGCGGTGATTGGGTCTGTCGTTGGGTACATGGTTGGGAATGCTGAATTGGGAATTGCGGCCGGGGCGACTGCTATCGCTGTTTTTGCCTTTATTCAGGGCTGCTTGTTGTTTTTGAAATAGGTGGGGTGATGTGAGCTTTGTGCCGTAGTAGGGCAAGTTCGATCGGCACCAACGATGCTGTACGGATCGGTAATAGACTTGTTGACGTCGTATGATTCGTACTACCCTAGTGAGTTGACCGTAGGTAACAGTAAATCTATCGGGCTTCTATGCTAGCTTTATACTACTCTAGTAGTTCTATTGCTCTTGCTCGTACTTCGCGCTATTATTACAGTCTCTAACTATTGCTTGCGCCACGCTAAGCAGTGCGCTACAATGACGATTAATAACTTGATTAAGAAATTCGGCAAATAGCTCGACGTGCGACCGTTCCACAGAAAATCGGCGTTTGGTGCATCACCCGCATATTTCGCGGACCGGTTATACGTCCTTTTCTGGAACCCCAAGTGGGGCGAGAGTCCTAAGGTCCCATGGCACCGGTATCAGTAATCACACACTTGCCCAACGCCCGCTAGGCGACCGAAGGAGTTTGAACAGGGAAGATCTTTCCGACAAGCTACAACAAATAAATCTGGTGAGGGTGACGATCGTTAGCTGCAAGCTCGACTAACGTTCCAAAGTCTTTGGATTGGGCTATTTCTCTCTACGAATTCATATCTTAGCTCACGAATTATGCTTTCCTCATGATATTTCCACAATACTAATCAATGGCAACTTCTACTCCGACACTCTGAAATGTGTCTGAACAACCTTTTTACCGTCACGGTATCTGTCCAACAGCTCATTGACCTTTTCCGCATCCAGTCCGTCAATGACTTGGTACTTGAGTGGCACCACACTTCCATCCAGCAGGTACCCTTCCAGCCTCTCCCAAAAGGGGCCTACGATATCTGGTTTCAACTGCGAGATGCCCAGCACATTCTTCAACTCATATCCAGCCTTCTTTTCCCCAACAATCTTGGTCTCGTCGACCGTTCCCACCGAAGAACGCAAGCGCGCGAGCTTGCCCCTCTGGGAAGAAGACAAAGCACTAATACCGACATGTTGTCCTTCGGGAGGATTGATGGCGTCAAAAACATAGACCAGGTCGTCGCCGACGACTTGTCTGATGCGATGGAGGACCGCGGCATCGCCACCGTGTCGGTCCAAAACGACTGTCGCACCCCACTTCTTTAGCTCCTCTTCTTCTCCCCCAACAACGACTATCCGTCCTATACCCGCCATCTTTGCAAATTGCACGCCGAACCTACCACAGTTACTTCCACCGCCCATGATAAGAAGTGTAGTGGCTGCATAATCAAACGACGATCTGCTGCTGCTGCTGCTCCAAGGGGCCGGAATATCCAGACCACTAGTAGGGTCAAACAGGCTTATAAGTGCAGCCAGAGCGTTTGTAGGAAGTGTAGCAGCATCATGATCAGAAAACGGGTGCGGTATTCTTGCCGCAAAATCTTCCTCAAGGACAGCAAATTGCTGCAGTGCTTTTTGCTCGTAGGCCAATTGACTCTGGCTCACTACTCTGTCGCCCACGCTGAACCTGGTGACTTGCTCTCCAATCGCCGTCACGACTCCCGTGATGTCGTTGCCGATGATGGCGGGTAGCGAGTCTTTTATGAGCAGCCCTGCGTCCCGCGACTTCTGGTCGTGAGGGTTGAGGCCGGCTACTGTGACGCGGATTTGGACTTGTTTGGGTCCTGGGCGCGGGATGGGCCAGGATGGTGTCGAGGTTATGCGGCCGCCAATGCTGGAAACGATGAGCGCTGTTTGGGTAGTGGAAGACGAAGACATGGTTGGACGTCTTGCGAAAAGGTAGGAAACCGCAATGAAGGATAAGATGAAGAGGAGAGTATGGTTTCTTGTGAATCCCGCCTGTCGCATCGTGATCTGTTTAGAGAACAAGCGGGGTCGCTTTTTTATACTCGATACAGCTGATGTTTAGAAAGACGCCCGGCGTGAAGGGGGGTTAGATTGCTAAGCACGCTTGATTACGTGCTCGAGCTAAACAACACACGATACCTGGCATGATTTCTAAGCAACGAAACGATCAAAGTACAGTGAAGAACTTGAATTTCCCATGATGAATCAAAATATTTCATCTTCGCTAACCAATGTATGCTTGCTCGTCTCGCGAGGGTATAGTGATATAACGAACGCCATAGGAAAGAAAGACATAGATGCAACACACGCTTAGCACATCGGCACAACTCGCCAAACATTGCGTCCGAACATCTAAGCTAAGGAAGAGGATAGTTCGCGATGAGAAATCAGAGCCGGCTGATCCTGCGGGCGGAACGCTATTGCGCCAGGATCTTGTCGACAGCAGCACCAGCCAGGATCTGAACGTCTTGTATGCTTCCCTTGACGTCGATGATCTCGACATCCTTCAGCTGCTTGCACTCGGTCTCGTCAGGTTCCTCAAGCGAAGCGAACTGGCTCTCGACCATGGAGTCCTTCATGTAGTGGCCTTTCCTGGCGCGGACGCGGGCGATGAGGGTCTCCAGGTCGGAGCGGAGATAGACAAAGTGTACATTGGCATTTGGGTCTTCGTCGTAGAGTCTGGCTGTGCGGATGACGTCGCGGTACTTCTTCTTGAGCGCACTGCAAGTGACGACGACACCCTTGGCTCCGTCCTTTAGTTTCATAATAGCTTGGTCTCGTAGAAGAATGAGCCAGTCCCAGCGGTCTTCGTCGTTTAGAGGAATACCGGCGGCCATCTTGTCAATATTTGCTTTTGGGTGGAACTACGAAGACGTCAGTACATGGTGAATACGCGATGGGTTCCAACTAACCTCGTCGCCCTCGATGTAGTCAAATCCATAACGATCTGAAAGGTGCTTCGCAACAGTGCTCTTGCCGCATCCTGCTGGACCAGTGACTATGAGGATGTGGTGGTGGGTTGAGATTGTCATTTTGTCCGTCTCGGTAGTGTTCAGGACAGACATTGACTTTGGTGAGCCTGTATTGGAAGCAGGCGGAGAAGGCGGTGATACATATTGTATGGGCTTTGGCTGCGATGGATCCACGGTTTGCATCATGGTTGTAGAGTGATTGAGTCAACCGGTTTGCGGAGAGTAGTGTTTGTAAAACCTGGGGGGTTTTGTATGACGCTAGTGACTGAGTTGGGCTCACAAGGACGTTGGGGTGGGTGCTCGGCTGGGTTAATATACGATATTGCGATACGGGTGAAACGAAATGTATGTATGCAGGCGGTAAGCAACTCCGATGTTTGCTGGGGCCTGGTGCATTTAAGGCATCGCACCTGGGGAACACGTCTGGAAATTTCTCCCGCAAGCCATGACGGCAAGGGCAAGGGTGGGATGCGATGGAACTTGTCGATGTTCTGGGAGCCAAGGCACGATGGCACGCTCCAAAAGAGAAACAGCGAATGGCAAGCAAAGGCGTGCAGCTAGCCTCAGTAACAGGCCCAGCCGGCTGTAACAGCCGCGAAGCCGGGCCTGGAGAGGATGAACTTCGGCGTTTGAAAGTGGACCTGTCGCGTGTGGGATGACGAGTAGCGCATCTGCCTCCCCGCATGCCGACCCCAGTCCTTTCTCAGGTACTTATGCATCCCACGCGCCAATGGTCACGACGTGCCACAGCAGGATTGAGCTCGAGGCGCCAGGCAACTGCATGGCGCTGTGGTGAGCAGGCTGCGCTTCGGCCAGGTGTCTGGCAGCAAAAAATAAATCTTCAGCTCACCGCTTTGACTCGCGGTACGAAGCTGTTTGATAATGGCGCGTGGGGGTTAGGCGAGGAATCTGAAAGGACTTCGGGCCGGTGAGGATCGAGGCTGCGAACAATGTTTGGGGCGGGATCCGGCAGACGCACGGAGTGGGTGCTGGGTATACATCAGTCACAACGCATTCGCCTTGTGCAGGTGGTCATGTCCGCCCACTTCGGAACGGCAATGTGGAGGACCATGTGAGGACCATGTGAGGACCATGTGAGGACCATGTGACGACAAACATGTAGTGAGACGTGACGTGGATCCAGTCAAGAGGAAACAAGGATGGGTGTCGATATGACGAGGGCGCTGATGATGAGGAGGGATCGGGGGAGGCGGGGCAGGCTGGCGTTCACGTGACGGGCTCAACGGGGACAAGCGCGTCATCAGCTCCTGCGACGGCATCTGGGGCGCAGCTCTCCACGACCATCCGAAGACGCGCCAACACACTGGGACATCTCGCGCATCGGGACAATTCGCCAATGTCGTACTTCTTCTCCACTCCCGTCGACATCGACATTGTGCTCGAGGACCTCGACGACCGCTCCGCCGTGGATGTGAAGCTGGACAAGAACCGCAAGGAAAAGGTGCCGCTGTATCTGGATGGCGAATCTGTCAAGGGCCAGGTCACGGTAAGACCCAAGGATGGCAAGCGGCTGGAACACACGGGCATCAAGGTGCAATTCATCGGTACCATTGGTAGGCGCCAACCTCCCTTGTACCCAATGAGGTGCTAACATGCGCCAGAGATGTTCTTCGATCGCGGAAACCACTACGAGTTCCTCTCCCTCGGCCAGGAACTAGCAGCCCCCGGCGAGCTCCAGCACCCGCAGACGTTCGACTTCAACTTCAAGAACGTGGAGAAGCAGTACGAATCATACAATGGCATCAACGTCAAGCTGCGCTACTTTGTGCGCGTCACGGTATCGCGGAGGATGGCCGACGTGGTTAGGGAGAAGGACCTCTGGGTCTACTCGTACCGCATCCCGCCCGAGACCAACAGCTCCATCAAGATGGACGTCGGCATCGAGGACTGTCTACACATCGAATTCGAATACAGCAAGTCAAAGTACCACTTGAAGGATGTAATTGTTGGCAGGATATACTTCTTGCTTGTCCGGCTGAAGATCAAGCATATGGAGCTGTCCATCATACGGAGAGAGACAACGGGAGCTGCCCCCAATCAATACAATGAGAGCGAGACGCTAGTGCGCTTTGAGATCATGGACGGCTCGCCCTCGCGAGGTACGCACAGCTGCGCATCTGCAGTGAGCATGACTGACAAGACTCTAGGTGAAACCATACCCATCAGGTTGTTCCTTGGTGGCTTCGACCTGACACCCACCTTCCGCGAAGTCAACAAGAAGTATTCCACTCGCTACTACTTGAGTCTGGTACTCATCGACGAAGGCATGGCGCACCCATTTACATGCACAACTGTGACTGACCGACTCTTCTTAGATGCCCGCCGATACTTCAAGCAGTCCGAAATCGTCTTGTTCCGACAGGCACCCGAAGGCCTGACGTTGGCCCAGGAGCAGAACAAGCTGATGGCAGTATCATGAGCATCCGGATCAACGTGACCGGCAGGAACACTTGCGAGTTGGTGTCGTTGGACGGGGCTTGGCTAAAGGCTTCCTGTCCAATGACTATGAGAAAGCTCGGACCTCTAATTTGAGCCCGATATGTACTACCACACCGCGGCGGCGGCGGCGGGAGCTTACGCAGCCACTGGAGCTCTTGCAGCGCATGGATGTTGCATGTGTAAGTACAGCAATGTAGCAGCCCAAGGATGGTAACGTCTCAGGACAATCATCGGGTAAACTTAGTAATGTTGGCCGAGTCTCCACATAACGAAGAAATAGCGCGTGCGCCTGCATGATCGTGGTGACAAGGCGACCTCTCCATCCGTGTGCACCCAAACGCTCTATTCATCAAGTGTGGCTGGTGTGATGTTTTGAGAACAACCCGTTAGAGTCAGTGTCGCCGCTACTTCGCACGGGTCGGTGCGGCTCTTTGAGCCTCAAAAAAAGCTCATTGGCCCTGGTGGCTCTCGGGTGATCTGCATCTAACATTCCCTTCGCAGTTCCTGCATCCCGTCCCTACTACACTTTTTTGGCGACTTTTGATGACTCTTTCGCTCACCGGGTGCTTCAATGTCATTCCATCGCCATACCTGTGTTAACAGCAAAGGTTGCAGGTCCGCGGAACGTCCGCGCGACCCACTATAAAGATGCCGATGTCCAGCAATCTCACGATTCACACGACGCCACACCTTACCGCAACCCTGAAGATCGTGATGAAACCCTTCTTATCAGGACGTGTCCACTAAAACCTGGGTACCGCAAACGGTACATATCCACTCAATGTGAGAATCAACTCGAACTATTGGCAGGAACAGCACCGCGTCAGCGAGAGTCCTTCCGGAATACTGGGGGCGTGGGCGAACTAGGCAAAAGCTTCCTTGCAAGTGACGTTACGCATCGAATTCTTCACTTTCCCATGGCTTAATCGCGGACGCACTTTTTTCCCATCTTTTCCATTTAGCACCTCCCATGCCCCTGGTTTACTTCCAAGTTCCCTACACATCGGATATAAGCTTATTGGGTAGTTCTCATCCCGAGACATGGAGGAGAAAGAATACAACAACAAAATGGCACAACAACAAAAGAACCAAGCCGAAGACAGTAAGTCATTCAATACTCTCCAGATCTGTATGTCCTAACATTACGCAGCGCAACAACAGAGCGATGCTGCGCCTCAAAGACCAGGAGACATGTCTGAGCGGAGACAGCAAACTACGGCATCATACCAGCCACCGGGTCTGCAACAAAACCACTCCAGTGTGGGAAGCATAGCGAGACGTGAAACTGCCCACTTGGAGTCAAGACCTGAAAATGTGCGGAGCAATACAACTCGTCTAGACACACGACCCGACAATGCGCGCAGCAATACTGCTAACACAGGCATGACACACATGGGCTCTATTCGGAATACGCCGACCGCTCGAAAGAGCCGGGCAACTCGTGAAAATGTCAGGCAAGAACCTCCTCGGCGACCTGAGAAGAAGCAACAGCAGGTCGTGGACGTTGACAATGACTACTTTTCGTTGAACCCGTGGTACAATGAGCAAAAGTCAAAACCAGTCTTTGGTTTGGGTGCGCCTCTACCACGCACTGTTCGCAAGGGTATGTGGTGGGGAAGGGGTGACCTGCGCAAGTCTTTGTACAAGGTCGACGACCAGGATGCAGAAGGCGTCGCTCAGCAAGACTATGCAGATGGAAAAGGTGAGTCTTCACGGACCATGTTAGGTTGATCCCCAGTGAGAGTAATGATTCTAATCAGACCATGGACAGTTTTGGAGGAAGATTCAGAAGACTCTGAAGTCACGCTCGGCGGTGGACAACGCCCGCAGCCGGGACGAGATCCCTCTCAGTTCCAGACCACTGTTGACGGACGCAAAGTCAACATGAGACGCGTGCCAACAAGTGAAGCTGACCAGTTCCTTGGCCGCAATCGCGGTCAAGACCCCGGCAGCCATGAGCATCATGATGGTCAAGACCGTGCGCCTATTAACGAACACGGTTTGGATTACGCTAATGGACGTGGCGACCGTCAGCACTTCGGTTTGCAAGACGGACTGCCACCACTGCAGGAGCATGATACGAATGCTACCTCTCAAACCAAGCAGGAAGAGAAGGAAATCCAAGAACGAGAAGAAGCAGCAGAACGCGAGTTCTACAATCAGTACCGAAACCCTATCGCTAGGCTTCGAGCCAAGTATCCCCAGGCGCCCGCCGAGTTCCTTGCAGTGAGTTCAGCCATCTATCATGACATTGATCTCGCTAATTCTAGATAGACATTCGTTTACCTCCTCATTGGACTGTGCGTCAACCTTTCTGTCGCCACGTCCCAACAAGGCACCGGTAGTTTTGAAACCCAAGCTTGGGGATGGGGCTTCGCAGTCATGATTGGCATCTACCTCGGCGGTGGCGTCAGCGGTTCGCATCTCAGTCCCACAATCTCCATTTCTTTATCTGTCTACCGTGGTTTCCCCTGGAGAATGGCCATCGTCTACATATGCATGCAACTCCTCGCCGGACTCGCTGCCGGCGCCGTAGCATACGCGTAAGCAGTCCCACAACTACCTCCAAATTACCTGGGTTTGCTGACAACATGACAGACTCTACGCAGACGCCATTCACCAAGTCGATCCTGGCCTGACCCTCGAAATGACAGGCAAAGCGCTCTTCCCCCAAGGTCCTCTGTATTCCACCGCCACCGGTTTCTTCAACGACTTCGTCTACATGGCCATTTTCGTCTGTGTCATCTTTGCGTTGGGAGACGACCAGAACAGTCCTCCGGGCCAAGGAATGACAGCCTTTGTCGTTGGACTCACCGGCTTCGTCACCATGGTTGGGTTGGGTTACAACACAGGGTTGGGTATCTCGCCTGCCCGTGATCTTGGTCCAAGACTCATCGGACTGTGGGTTGGATATGATTCAGCGTTTGAGAATGGGTATTGGGCATATGGAAGCTGGGGCGCAAGCATTGCAGGCGCGCTGTGTGGTGGTTTGATGTATGACATTTGCATCTTTGTGGGTGGTGAGAGTCCGGTTAATTATCGGTGGCCGCAGCCGGGGGATATCAAGTGGAAGGCTATCGAGAAGAAGAATCATGCAAAGGAGCAGGCGAAGGATCAAATCCAGAAGGTGGCATGAGTAGCCCGAGAGTAACTTTGTAGTAATTTTAGAAGAGAATACGCTGGTAAATACACTATCGCACAGGTTTTCATGTGGAAGTATCTCGGTTAGCTAATATAGAGGGTTTGTTGTGGCTCCGGGAATAAAGCGGCCGGAAACAAAACCGTGGCGCGTCATATCCCAAGCGCAACTCCGCGACTCCATCATTGGGCATCTCACGATACTAGGTTTGACAAGGAAGTCATCATAATGTGATACGCCATCGGAAGCTGCACCCAACGACGACTCTGTCCTGCGTACAAGCTTTCTGGCAGTGATCTGGGATGCCATTCCACTGTACCTAAGCAACCACATCCCGTCGCACGTCGTTCGGCGTCATCACAGTCTCCATAATATTATAACACCAAGCAAATATCGTACCGTTTCCGCAGTCATCACAACAACTGGCAAAATAGTTCTAGATGGGCACGCCACCATCGGAAAACGACACAGCAATGTCGTCGAAACCAGAAGCCCTACAGCAAGAGCAGAAACAACCAGATGGCAAGATCGGCATACGAGAACGCCTGAAGCACTTTACGTTCGCCTGGTTCCTCTCCACAATGAGTACGGGGGGTCTGGCTCTAGCCCTCGCCGATACACCGCATCAATTCCCTGGTAACCCCTCCCCCCCCCATCCCTATTCTCCGCCGTTCTCCCCCGTGAGAACGAAGCCAACTGACATGCCCCCACCTCGCAGGCCTCTACCACATCGGTCTAACCATGTTCTTCGCCAACATACTACTCTTCCTAGTGCTCTGCACCTGCACAGTCCTGCGGCTCATCCACCATCCCACACACTTTGCATCCTCGTTCTTGCACCCACAAGAATCCCTCTTCCTAGGCTCCTTCTGGCTCTCTCTGAGTGTGATCCTGGCTGGCATCCAAACCTATGGTATCACGCACGGTCCTTCTTCTTCTTCACCCTACCCTTGGCTTGTCGACGCTGTGCACGTCTTGTATTGGATATACGCTGCTTTGTCTCTGGCGAATAGCATATTCCAGTACTGGATCCTTATTGCGTATAGTAAGCTAAGGCCGGTGCCGTACTTGCCTAGTATCTTCCTAGCGGGGTATTCAGCCATGTTGACGGGCACGGTGGCAAGTATGGTTGCGGGCACGCAGCCGGCCCATCGCGTCATGGGGGTCCTGGTGAGTGGGATTGCGTATCAGGGGTTTGGATGGTGTATCAGCTTCATTGCTGTTGTGTCGTATGTGAGGAATATGTTGGATCATGGGTTTCCTTCTGCACAATTGCGTCCGGGTTTGTTTATTCCCGTGGGGAGTTGTGCGTATACGATTGTTGCGTTGATTGGTCTCGCAAATGCGGTTTCTGAGGATGCAAGTTACTTTGTGAGACATCCTGCTGCGCCGGAGATACTACGCGTCCTAGCGTTATTTACAGGTATCTTCCTGTATGTGTTTGCTTTCTGGCTTTTTGCCATTGCGCTTTTGGGGAATGTCGGTGTTGTGGGTAAGATGCCATTTAGTCTGACGTGGTGGGCTTTCATATTCCCGAATGTGGGGTTCACGCTTAGTACAAGTGTGTTGGGTAGAGAGCTGGAGAGTGATGGCATACTGTGGGTAGCGAGTGTGATGACCGCTCTACTGGTAGTGATCTGGTTGGTGACGGTCGTGGGATGTGTCAAGGCTGTTTGGAAGAGAGAGATTGTCTGGCCAGGGAGGGACGAGGATAAGAATCGTTGACTACGGGAATCATGGCCAGTACCGAAGATGATAATCAAATTAACGATGATTGATCTGATCCGTCCAAGAGACGAAGCATTCAGCTACTCTACCACGTGGTATGGATATTATCAGCGCCACGGAATAACTTACGAAACGTCGTGCAACAAGATGAATGACGATTTTTCGAAAAGCTTTGCTCGAACCCTTAGTTCCTGAGAACCTCGGTTACGTTATTGGTTGTCATCTGATCAAACATGGCTCTACAATCCTTACGGTCACTTAGTTCGTTCTGCAGGCTTGGTCTCCTCGAACAATCGGTAGATTGGCCGACCTGATTCTCGCACTTCTCCATACAAGCATCCATGTCCGATATACTCGGTTAATGATATGTCCATCGTGGCAAGGCCTTGGTACCGGAAGCCTGGTTGAGCGGGTGCTGTACCCGGATACAAGCACGCCCCACTCTCGCCAACACGAAGTGCGACACACGACCCGCGGCTCCACAACCTTAGATCTTCTAGAAGGAGTCTATATCAACGACATGTCGCCGTCGTCGGCTACGTCGCCTAAAGTTGCAGTGGACATATCCTACAGTATAGTACCATTAGCATATGTCGCGTCTCATGGCACTCACGACGTCAGTCATAACCTGGAAGTTCTATACGAAGTTGGATGCATGCTATCAGTCCGTCGCAGGTTGAGTGTGAGAGAGATACTTTATTCGGTACTAACTGACGCAATTGCCTATGCGATAGCGCAAAGGTGATCGACAACGCTACATCGCCACGCTACGAGGGTGTACAGGCGTTGTCGTAAAGGCCAAACCCTCACATTGCCTTACCTGCCCACGCATCATACGCATCATGTGTTCTAGGATGATCGATATCCAAAATGTCCGTATACGGCTGAGTTGCTCGCAACATCATCCTCGTAACAGGTACGCCGACAGCGACAGTACGGCCGAGGATGTCTCTTTGCTCGCCCTTGACGAAACACTGCTGTGGAAGCGGAATCACAAAGTCCGCATCGGTAATGATCGCCTCGACCGTCGCCAAATGTCCAATGACCAAAGCATCTAGCTTCGCGCCTGCTCCATTCAAATCCCCGAAGAGCTGGTTGGCGAAAGTTTGCAGCTGCATAGACAATATCGAGGAATCCCACTCAGCGTTGGAATTGTGTTCGCTTCTTCCCAGGCGATCGCAGTCCGGTACGTGGAGGTGTAGCAGGCGTAGCTGTGGAAACCTTCTCAAAGATTGCTATTCCGACGTCAGATATCATTTTCATAATTCAGTTTGTATAAACATGCGAAATCGTGTGCACTCACCAACAGTGTAGCGTAATTGTTTGTCGTGTCTCCACCAAGCATCGCTGACTCGCCAAAGTACACTGCGAGCTGTTTCACTTTACTCAAGGAGCTTACAGAAACCCACTGTAATAGATCCGAGGCTACTCCATCCCATTGGAGCGTCTCGAACTCATCGCAATAGATGCTCAGACTCTGTAAGTTGTGATTGGAGAGACTGAGCGCCTGCAAGAAATCCAGTAGGGTGATCTTGAGAGGGTTGGTTTCCGGGTAACGCACATGAAAGCTCTCGATTGGGCCGCAAGCGGTGATGATGAGTTCGATAGCATCTCTGAGGTCGATTGCCTGGCGCTCATCAAGATCGGGCACAAACTCGATGGCAATATGCTTCAGGTGGAGCCTGTTCATCTCTCCACTGCCAGTATATATGCTGTTGGCCAGGTCCTTTATGAAAAGGTGAAGGCCGCAGCTCTCTACCAGGAGTTCGAGGCGAATCAATCGATGGAAATCGATGATCCGAGATAGCTGCTCGAATGTATCTGAGAAGTCCATCTTAGATAATCTGAGCTCTTTGAGTCGAGGTGTATAGCGGGTAAGGTCGTTCTGTTCGCCCATCGCCCAGGCATACAGCTGATTCTCGGTTGTCTGGGGATCTGCTGCCGTCAAGGATAAACGCTTCAAGTTGGCGCCTACGACTTCCATGTTATCGAATAGAAGGGCGATATTGGTTGACTCTGTCAGATATAGGTCGAGACGCTGCAGACCGCAGAATATTCGTGGGAGTTGCTCAGGCGTTTTAGGATCAGTATAAAAGCTTACTTGCAGGTCTTTCAATCTGTGCTGGTATCCATTAAGATGCGCTTTCACAATCGGTGACAGAGAGCGCCGTGAATGGTAACTGATCTCATAAGCTTTTCCAAGACATCAGCTCATACTCGGCGTAGCTTACCACAAGCGCTCCAGTTTGTTATGATGCATGGTCTGCAAGAAGGAATAGGCACTATCGTCTTGTTGAGACTCGGTGAGATAGCGGTTCCGAGGTCCACGATCTGGAGCGGGTAGGCGGATACGGCCGGTATGGATCGATCTGAGTTCTTCGCCAACGGGCTCATCTTCTACGATGAGCTCCTTCGTGTACTGAAGGTTCAGACCCGCGCCTGCCAAATTGCAACGCTGCAGACACTCAACCGCTCGTTGACTCCATAAACGCAAGTCGATGCGTCTATACAGTATCGGATTGGCGAGGACACGAAGAGCTGAACAAGTCATACACAGCGATTTGAGATCTGTCTGTGTTGTGACCTGTCGCGGTCAGTATGAGCGACCGGAAAGATTACCCGCCACGGACGTACATGTTCGACCACTCTCTGCTGAAGCTCCCCCGGGAGGTCTAGGATAAACATTGTGTGGAGTATTGTGAGGTTTTCAAGTTACACAAGACTCTGACGACTGGAAAGATGTGCTTGCTTTGATCAGATTTTAATGATGGTTATATATTCAATCGATGCCGACAAACTCGATGCCGCAAGAGCAATGCGGCAACGATGAGGTATGTTTCTCTGCATGATCAGGTTCCGATCGAGCCATCGGGAATGGCCCACTTCCTGGACCATAGGAGGGTTCATCCTAGAGAAGTCTTAGGTCTGACTTCGGTCGATACGCGCAGTCGCTTCGGATCTAGCATAGAAAAGCTGGGGACCAGTTGAGGGTGAGGCGAGCCAAGAAGCCCGTTAACGGGATGAGTGAGCTAAGTTGAAAGCGCAGTGCACTAAAACGTGGCGCTTGATTACCTACATACTGAGAACTTATCCTACGCTTGCGATTCAGATAGACCTGATATACTATGGCACGAAGAAATGAAGCCAACATCCTGCAATTCACTCTCTGGAGCTATGCCATTATGCCGTGGAATGTGGATATTGACCGGAAAGTTGCAGTGAATGCAGCCCTACAAGGTTGCGCATGAACATCTGTGGTCGGGGACGTGAGGCGGGGAAACCGCGTTCCTTATCCGCCCCATTCCCCACCCTACCCCATCAAGTAAGCACTTAACGTCACGGACCATGAAACAGAATGCATCTAATGCCTGAGAGGATCATCGCCAAACGATATCACACAAGAATTGTTCTAGTACTCGGAATCTACACCCCGCATCTCACTCCGCGCATCTGGGTGCTGCAGGTGACACGATCGAGCGGAGAAACTCAGCTTTGCCTAGGAGGTAGCAGGGGTTAACTTGACAGCATCATTGTAGTGCACACCCCCAACAAGATTGCGACTGCTGAGCGTCGCGTAGCGGCGGTTGCCGCTAAGCTCGAATTGGATGGTGTTGCATCTGTCTATTTCATGACGGCCCGATGAAGAAGAAACACTTGCATACGATGGACCGCAATATGGCAACGAGCCGCATTGTAGCGACCCATCTTCCAACTACATGGGTCCTCCATGGGAATCACATTCGGTGACTTGCCCCGAACCTATCGCAATGTTCGGAGACCCGGCATCATGGAAATCATCACGGGAAGTTATCTGACAGCGGTATTTGACCTGCTTTATGGGCTTCGCACGAGCTCTTCCTTCGGCGACGACACCCAACCTGATTATGATCTGCACGGTCGTGTAGCTTTCGACGCTCTGAAATTGACTATGTCCCGGCCAAGAGTGCCTGGTACCCTGATCCGCATCTCAGCCTCCCTGGGACACTTTTCATGATAGGTTATTGCAGGGGAGGGAAAGTTTGTGCTAAGGCAGGGAGGCAAGAGCGACGCGTGTCTGCCATGCCAGCTCATCTGTTCTGGCCTCCCCGATCGGCTGATCCGTTCAAGACCGCAAGTACACGAGAATATGTGAGATTTAGTATCTTACAATGATAGTCGTACGCTGTCTGGTGTCGTGGACGATACGACAAGCATCGTCATCAAGCGCCTACTGTGGGGCTAGCAAACGAAGCGTTCGAAGCGCAGCGGCACTATATCGAACGGGACAGGAAACAGAGAAGAGCTCGCTCAACACCGGATAGGTCCCAGACAGACCCAAGCTCGAATGCCGCGTATCTCATCGGCTTCGAAGTCGGACCCGAGGTCTCGTCCTCGTTGGCTAGAGACCAGCACCTGGCATAAGAGCTGCAGAGGCTCTCGAGATTAGTGGCACTCTTCCGACCATAGGTACTTCGCAATAGCTGTATTTCCGGCGCACTACGTCCCGTTCGGAGCGCTGCCGCGGGAGGTGGGCCGTTTACGATTACTATGGTAAGACGGCAAGCTGGACATGGGTTACCTTGTTGTGTTCTCTAAAAGATGGCGTGGGATCCCCCTCGTGTTACGTCGGTATCGTGATCGAATATGGGGTGGGGAATCTCGGTGATGTTGGGGGAGGCGAGGAACCATTGGCGTTAATAAGTGGATCAGCAGATCAGCGGGTATCCAGGGAAAGCCCAATTGACAGTCTACCGAAAGAATACTCTCTACGCGAACATCGCAAACGCGAAAAGATCACATCACGCGGTGTTACTTCGGTTTCTCCTAGCTTGGCACTTTGTCGCACACCTCGAGATCCGTTAGTATCATAACGAAGCGGAGATGCTAACGCTGCTCGGAAAAGCGAGGGCTGGGGAGATCCATTCCATTGGGAAGCACTCCATGTTTACCAGCTCTCCGGTAGCGCATCACCGAAGCTGGAACTCTACTGCTACATTGTAGCATTATATCGCCTTCCGAGTCTACCTTGGCCTAGAGCTCGTCGTGGTACTTCAATGACATGGTCAAGTCAAGAACATGCTAGCTTTGCTTAGGGAGGCGAGAGATTGTGTCTAGCCAATGCGTTGATCAAGTCATTCGTCGCCGCAGTCTTCGCATAGGCAAGAGTCGGCCAAGTTTGGAATATACCAATTTCTCATGAGGACAAGGAAGGTGGCTTTAGGCTCTGCTGGAGGTCTGATATAGTATGGCAACGATCATTGGGTCTTCACTCCTCGTATCGTGTGGAAAGTACCAACATTTCTCGAAGCGAAGAATGCAGTCTAGCAGATGAGATCGAGAACCAGGGTACAAGCATCGGAAGATATATCTCCTCGCGGAACAAAACGCCGCTCCACCAGTATCCACTCGCTATACGAACCCCATGCCAAGGCCATGACGGACTCCCAAGGCCCTAAAGCATGTCACACTCATTGTCATATGTATCAACGCGCCGTTCATCGGATTTTCGCTTTCTCACAGTCCGAGAAGTTGGTCTACTAGGCCATACCTGTAGCATCTGCCTCTAAGTCTTCCTTGAGACTATAGCAGATACCAAACCACAACACCAACTTCTTCCCCTTAATACTCTACAAGTCGGCACTGAAACAGTTGGTGTCTATATCGGATCTTATAGACTGTGTGATAACGCTTTACAAGCAGCTTTTATCCCATTTTTCAAGCCTTTACAAAAGCTCAATCTCCGTAGAGCATGAATTTAGCACCCATCTCCGAGCCACTACCAACATCTTCTGTAGGCAGCGAGTAGGTGCCACAAAACGACAAACTATTGAAATCCAATTTTCTCCCTAGCACGAAATATCGTCGAGTTCACAGTCCGTTGAGAGAGACCCGGCCCCAACTTTCGCGACTCTGATCAACGGATAGTTATCAATGAGCGTGTCTTCAAATTTGTTCAACTTTCCATCAATTGACTAGTATCAATCGGACCTAGTTCAAGCGTGATGCTCAGGTAGCCATTTGGCGTAGAATTATTTGATGTCAGGGTCAGCGCTCATTGGCACATATCGCTGAGCGGAGCAATGACACGCGGGGAGTGCGCCTAAGAATCAGCTGACATCGGCACGTCAACGGAGACATCAAAACGATGTATCTTTTGATTTATCTTGATTTGGACGACGGTTCCTCGCCCATATGAAGTATGACTTGGAAATTCCGCCCCGACGTCGGTCGATGTTTCGGTTGATTTGAGATGCGCCATCGATATCTCGCTATCGAGAACACGAATTCTAGGGGCTCCTTATGCCACATCATTTGCTGTTCAACTGAAAACGTGTCGTTTTCTTCCCCTCAAGGAACTATTCGATGAACATACCCACTTCAAGCCTACTGCCAATCTCGAATCTTTGTGTAGAACGACGTAGAAATCCCTCCTCCTAACCACAGCCAGTCTTTTTCCACTGTAATCATCACTAAGTCAGGCCATTTCGTGAACTCTGCTCAACCATACGTCATAACACCCCATTCAAGCGTAGAACAGATCCGCAGCTCGCCGATAGCGTCGCTCATATTCCCGCATCTAGACTGCAGTCAATCCCCAATCCATCTAACGCGCCCCATCTCAAGTCCGCCGTAGATTCTCCAACCTCATCGTCCCCATGCACCTGAAATGTGGCACCAGGGTCCTTTCGTGCTCTATGGTTCTATTCAGTATAGAAATCACGAGATATCAATGGACCAGAACGAAAATCTTGATTACAATCTGATAGAACATCGATTCAGGAACAAGGAACAGGAATGAGGGTGGATACATCTGTTGACGACCCCGGTTTGATTGGGGAACAATAGATCCTTGTTGGCAAGGTGCAATTTATGAAGAGAGAACACGACGAGGCAGCGTAGCTGCCGTACACGAATAGGAAACGATAAAAAAAGCGGGGCCTCGCTACCCTGCAGCTTCGAATGGCTTGAAACAATGACTGGCTGGTAGCCGAAGCGAGCCACGAAAGGTTTTGAACAACGAGTTGCTGGAGGGTACCTCCAGCAACAGTCCACGATATCTCCAATGGGCGGGCAATGCCCATTGGGAAGGGCAAGGTGCAATGAAGATTCAGAACATGACCTTCGAAAACGAACCTACGACCTTGGGAGCTTCTCTGGGTCCAGACGTTGCCAGAGGAAATCGAGAAGAGACAACAAGATGACCCTTGGAAATGCGACCGTCGCATATCTAATGTGTATATCAGACACGACGTACTCATTTTCTTCTCTTCAGAGTTCTTGCTTGGATAGAGAAGCGTCCTGGTGTGCCTGGAAGTGTTCATACCATCGTCGCGATTTACATGATCAAAGTCTGCACTTGTTCTGGAGGCAGACAGAGAAGCAGTCCTCCATCAAACGCAGCTTCACCGACTCGATTCGAGTTTCCTCCCACCTTCTAATCCGACAATTAGTTGAGCGTATATCGTGTTAATCGGTGGCTGAAAGCTAAGCTGCTAGCATCGTTTGACATCTCAACACCCCGCTCAGGTAGCCACGTTTAGCGGCCCAATCACAGCGGCATCGCCCCGCTCGATGCCGTCACGATACCTCCGCCGCCAGCCCCTTAGCGACAGTAGCGTGAAATACTAGAGAAACTCAATCGAACAATCTTAGACTGTCGTTGTGTAGCGAAATCGTATGATCCGAGAACTTGGTACGGAGAGCACCTAGCCTCAGCCACCACCCACGATTACGGCACCACGAGACGGCCAAATTTGACCGCGACCATACTGCACACTAGAGAATGCTCTCGATCATTAATGGAAAAACTCTAGTAGGCAGCAATGTGGACTAAAGGTGCTTGCACTTCATCGCTAAGAAAGTCTAGCTACAGGAAGCTTCAAGCGCTACATACATATCTGCCGTGATCATGTAAGCACATAGCCCTTCTCGCAGAGTAACTCCAAATTGTCTTGATATTTGTGATTGTAGATCCGCATCGACGTACCAATATCGTCCAAGCTAGACACCAGCTCCACCAGAAACTTCCTAATGGCTTCCATCCAATGTATGCCAATCGACGACGACAACGGCAAGTCGGTATACAAGTCGAATTTGGAAAGGCCAAGATACTTAGCAGTTCCAAGCATATAGTTGGCACTTTCCCGCTGCAGGCTCATGAGGACATGTGAGGGGACGTTCGTAATCCTGAGGACCTTCAAACTCGCTGGGAAGAAAAGTTCTGGGAAGATGATATGTTCAGGGAGTATAATATGTAAAGCAATAGCGTCTGTCGATGGTTTAAGGTATCGGTAGTCCAGCGTAAGTTCTTCCAGTTGCATCGATCCCCGGAAGCTGCCAAATGGACTTCTCGTTCCAAGGTAAACTCCATTCTCGCCTATCCACTCGAGTGTCTTCAGTGTTGGGAGGGACGTCGACAAGAGTTGGCTCAAACGTCTATAGTCGTAAGTTCCGAGAGTAGTGCGGCCAATTCTAGTCACCTTGAGGTGTTTCATACTGCGCATTTGAGGCAGTGATATCATCGTCTCGAGATCATCCTGACTTATCTGGAGGTCTTGAAGTTCAAGACTGCACATATCTCCTATGGCACGAGGACCATTGTGTGGTAACCAGCAGAGACGGCTGTAGCCCTGACCACGAATCTTCAAGCTCTCTGTAGGTGTTATTATCGGGATAATTGCTTTTGTTCCGATTGACAACTCCATACTCTTCAAGTTGTGCAATGGGTAGGATTTTCCAGATGATCTTTGATTGGATCCTTTCCATCGTTCCCAACAGGCCTCATGAGGGATTCTATTTCCAATATTCTCCAGCCGGAGATGTTCGAGGTTGGTTGCGAGAAGAAGTATGATCGTAAGTAAAATATCTAGTGATTGGCCAGTACCAAGAGCATTGGTGAACCTTTTCAGCGTAAATTGACGGCCGCACAAGGGGCCCGCGAGATCTTGTATGATTTTCTTTACCTCTGGTGACTTTGTGAGGAGTTCTTCGCGGACATTCTCGACGCGATCATTAAACAATTCAGGCTCCAGATGATTTGCTTTCACCAATCTCAGAATATCAGAAGCGCGTGCTCTTACCCTATTCTCACGGGTATAAACCAACTCAAAGCTTTGTATGTGCCGAGCAAGCTCCTTACGGACGACTAGGTTCAAAGCAAGTCGCGCCATAGAATATATGCTCGTATCGCGTACCTTGATATTCGTGTATAGATATGGCTCTGCCAACCCGCGGTAGTACTTATTAGTGAGCGTCAGGGCGTGAAGTGCGCATTGAGGTAGCTGCTGTATGATGAGCCCGTCGAGTTCGGTCGAAAGCTCTGAGAGCGACATGATGGTGCTAGATTCAGAGGTGCTTGTCTGTTATCGAGTGTAGAGGATGTGTCGTCTTGTAGCTTGCAATATCATCAACGTCAGAAACCGCAGATATTTTTAGGGTATATATTGAGAGAAGAGAGCAGATGGGTTAACCTCCTAATATATATGCCTCTTTTACACGGCTAGGTTCCAGCCGCAGCACATGACTGAAATAAACCATGGTTGAGATATTGTTCAAGTTCAGGCAAGAGCCAAGTTTGACGGTATCCAGCCCTGGAAACGAGCGAGTGAAATGGTTTCTCCAACCATACGACTTTGATAGTACGGTAGTGTGAGTGGCTCGTTGTCTATGGGTCATGGCAGTACCATGGAAGCCATGCAAGCGAATCACAACTTTACATCAGCACCACATGATGAAAGAAACTGAACGTGTTTGCCTAATGTACTTGCCCCACTTTCGAGGTTGCCGTAGTGAGGTGAGAGCAAAAACACGTGTCGCGAGGTCCGTGCCCACAACACTGCAGACGCGCCTTCTTCTCTCTGTTCTCTGCTCTTTCCAGATTTCTAACGTTGCCCATACCCGATCGTGCGATCTCAACCGCCCGCCATGAACCGTCTCTCAACTGAGATAGACGAGAACATCACACAGCGTTTGGACAAGAAAGATCTCTCGGCTCTCCTGAAGACTTCGAGATATCATCGCACGATAGCAGAACCATACCTATACGGCGAACTCACCTTCTCGGACCAACAGCATGCTAGCATAAGCCTACTTCTCAACACCATACTCGATCGTCGAGAGCTGGCGGGGCGTATCCGTTCGTTCACTTTGACCGACAAGGAGCACACAAACACTTTTTCGAGCACTCACAGCCCTACGTCACTCTGGCCGAGGCTGGCTGAGGTCAAACTTCTACTTGAAGAGTTCGTTCCGTTGTCGTCGTCATCTTCGTCGTCGTCGAGGCTTCTAGCAAAGCGATGGCTCCAACAATTGTTGGCTTATGCGCCGGTCATCGACGGTAAAGTCGCGATGATCATTTGTCTTGCGAAAGAAATAAATGATATTACCCTCAGCACCAGTCTGCTACAGATGCCAATAATGCGTATCGTCATCGGTTGGCCATGGATCGAAGTGGACGCTATTGCAGAGGAGGATCATTTGACCTCACTAACCTTGGAAATATATAATTCGAGTACCTACCACACTCAACTCGATGATCCTTTTCCTCGGCATCCTTCTCCCCCTTTAACAGACGCTACCGACAACGGAAAGAAAGAGGGTGAACAGGCTATTCGGACGCGCGACACATACCGCATGAAGCAAATGGACGACCGCGATGCTCTTTATCCGTTCCACAAGTTGAAGAGGTTAAGTATTCATGACCCAAAACGTCTCGCCAGCTACAAAAGTGTTTTCCGGTCCGGGTACCCTAGACGGCTTTTTCAAAGCTTCGAGTCACTTTGCAGCTTAACCACCCTCACTATAGACGATGAGCTTATCGACTTAAAATATCCAAGTCTACTCGTCGACATACTCACTTCACAAGTGCTGCCAACCAGATTGCAGTCATTGAGCATTACCAGCATCTGCTATGCGCGACTCGCACAACTATGCCAAAAGCACACAACAGGTGAAGAGCAAGATGTGGCTATAAAGTGCATCGTCAACGCAGTGACAGCTTTACGCCTAGAGAGGTTCGAGTTACACACCAAGGCGTCGTGGCATGTGCTTTGGGCCGATTACATGAGGGAGCGAGATGAGTCGATTCATAGAGTCGTTCCTGTTATGATTGATGCTTTGAATCGCTGTGGAACTACGATGCGCGTTTGGCATCAGGGCGTATCGGGACAGACCTTATGGTACGAGCCCGGTTTTGCGGTAGCGGAACAAGACTGGGACTAGAGCTTTGACTCCAGGAGCTGGTCAGCACTCTAGCTTGAGTTGTCTGGGCAGTTTGTCGCGCCTATGCTCAATACTGCTACTGTTACTGTCGAGGACTGCATGTCACCAAGAGAATGGAGATGGTGAGGCTCGTAAAAGGAAGAGAGCAGTATGTAAACAGCGAAGGTGTAATGTTCAATGAATCATCTCAATCCCTTGTTAGATCGTGGATAAGAAAGAATTACAATCTGCAATCTTTAACTGCGACTTTCTCTCCAGTGCAAGGTGATCATGAAAGACATACTTTTGGTAACTACGTCATTGACACTAAGATCTCACGGGGCGGCGATCTCCGTGCCTCGGTCATAGCGGGGTTAACTTTCTTGGGCTGAGCTGCGCAGTGGCTAACATACGCGTCAACGTCACCAGTGTAGTACATTGTAGCATCACCTCCAACGCCATGGAAGAATACAAAGCAAAATATGCCATACACGAAGCCTGCCGAGAGGGCCAAGGTATCTATAATCTACAAGTTTCCCCCAGTCCACCAACTCTAACAACCCCAGCATCCCGCGTCGACTCCCTGCTCGCCGCAAACCCCAAACTCGCAAGCCTCCGCGACCCAGACGATCGTCTCCCCATTCACTGGGCAGTATCCTACAACCACCTCCCTATCGTTCAAACTCTCGTGCAGGCCAAGTCCTTCGACCCCGACGTGACAGATGGTTCCGGCTGGACGCCTCTCATGATGGCGTGTTCCCGGAAAGACGCAGAGGCCATAGTCGACCTACTGCTCTCCAAAGATGCCGAAGTAAACGCGAAGAACAATAACGGCCAAACTGCCTTGCACTTTTGCGCATCGAAAGTCAACCTCGATATTGCGCGGACATTGCTGGCACAGAAGCCACCGGCGAGTGCGCGGACAAAGGACAAGAGGGGCCAACTTCCACTACACCGAGCAGCGGCAGTGGGCAGCGTACCGATGATGAAGGCGCTGTTAGAAGCAAAGAGTCCGTTGAATGCTACCGATATGGACGGCATGACAGCGCTGCACCATGCGATGAGCGAGGGGCACGGAGACGCGGCGCTGCTACTGTTGACCATGGGTGCAGAGCACGATAAGAAGGACAATGATGGCAATCTGCCGCTGGATCTCGCGCCAGATGCGAAGACCAGGAGCTTCATCTTGCAGGCTGCGGAGAGGGAGGGTATAGATCTGCTGTAGGGAGACGATATACTCATGATGTGTAATGTTGCATTTACGGAGTCTATACGATACCCAGGGTCATGGCGCATTCATCTACTATATGAATTATGAAAATGTTCGGAACGGAGTTTCTGTCTACAAGTGGTACTGGTTACTTCCGTTATGCGTAGAGCTGCCTGGTTGGTTGGGTGGGATGGCACTAGCTCATGATCAGCCCTCCCGGCCTCGACATTCTCTCCTCTTACAGCCCCTCACACCCCGCGTGTTCTGCACTTCGGACCTATTGCGCAATCGCACTCATCACCTGCATTAGCCCCCATTCTGCCGGCATGTTATCAGCAGCGGGGTCTAGCGTCTACCCGCAGCGATCAGTCTACATTCAATGCTTCGAGTCTGCGCACCCGGACACGCACGGATGCGAACTGAAAACTGTAACATGTATACACCTCTGTGAAGCACGCGACAAACATGTACAGATTCTGCAATCGCAATGGTAAACGGATGTCGTTACTTTGGTACCTGATGCGATGCTAATCATGAGGATAATTCGCCATCATGGTGCCCGTCGTCACCCATCATGGTCTTCACTGATTGACTATATAGTATGCGTGGGACCATTTACCTATGCCGAGGCCTAGAAACGTGCGGTTTACATCCCCAAGGACCTATACAGCAAGTACGACTTGAAGTGCTCCTACCTCAGAAGAGCCACAAGTCGCGACCATAACGATACAGCTGCTGGTCTTCCTCCTTACCTCTCTTCAGCACCATACTCCACACAAGCATACAACCACTCTTTTATCTTGCACTTCACACACTTTATACTATAGCACAGCATGGCAACTCTCCCCGATCCATTTCCCTATCTAAACTTCTTAATTTCGCCACGAATTCCTCCTGAACTCGTCTTAAAGACGATCCAACACCTCCCTTTCAACGACGGCACGCTCATAACTGCAATACGTTCTGCTCATCCCCGTCTCCGCGCCATCTTCAAAAACTACGAAAAGTCCATTACAGGCAGCTTTATGCGCAAGGAGCTACGGCACGCGGAAACCGACTTCAGTCGCCAAGATGGGAGATTAAATGTTGACTGGCTAGCGGACTGTGTGAGCAAGTACGACATTGTAGACGATGTCATGGACGCCCTCTGCTCCGAACACAACTTCAATGCCGTTCTCCGACATAACATAAGCCTTGCGAACGCAGGGTTACTGCTATTATACAAGCTCGTATCGATTGGTCAGTCACACATGTTCCACTCGACAAACCTTGTCCTTTGTGACCAACTCTCAACTAACACGCGGTCATCTCTTTAGCATCCCACACAGATCGACTCACATATATCAAGAGTCTACCCCAGGACCCACTCACAGCAATCTACCTCATCCTCCACCACGCCACCCTTTCCGCCCGCTACCACGGCTCCGGCTGGATAAACCAACGCACATACGGCCGCTTCATGGACGCCAACCAAGTCTCGCTGCGCTGCGAGTTGGAATTCTGTTTTGCCGAAGCCGCCTTAGTTCTCGGTCCCGAATTCATCTCAGACAGCCTGCTGCACCACGATACGAGTGATGCGGAGACTGTGCTGCTCAACTTTTATGTCGACCATGGGACGCATGACTGGGCGTGGCCTTGTTGGGGGGATGGCAAGGGCGAATTTGAACCGCCGAGAGCGCATGGACCTCAGCGGGAGCCGGGCAAGGGGAGAAGCCTTTTTACGACGCTGTTGGAGAGGTTGGCCGAGTGCATGGGGTGTGGGTTGGGAGATGTGAGGACGAAGGTGGAACGGGAATTGGAAATTCGGGACCACTCGCTCGCGTATCTGAGTTTGGCAGGCAAGGCAAGGTTGCTGGAGGGAAGGAATGTTGAGGATGGAGATGGGAAGGTAGGGCGTCAGAGTTGAGTTTGAATCTTGCATTGTCCGTGTTGCATACGAAACGGTCATTCTTAGCGGACTTGTATACTCAATTGGCCCATCATAGAGCACTTGTGACGCTATACCATGTAATTTCCACCATTTCAAAGCGCTGCATAGACATCCGTTCTCCTGTTCAAAGGCGAGTCCTTGCGTAATTGGTTCACAAAATCAAGATCAATCTCGGCCGTCGCAATCTCACCCTCATCCTTCCAACTGCCTCCCTCGCCCTCATCGCCCCCTAGCTCTGCAACAATCTTTCCCCACGGATCCACAATCATACTGTGTCCCCAACTGCGCCTCTTGCCCTCTTCATCATGCACACCCACCTGCGCAGCTGCAATGATGTAGCTCTGCGTCTCAATTGCACGGGCTCTGATGAGAATCTCCCAATGTCCTGCTTTGCCCGTAGGAGTGGTAAAAGCGGCGGGGTACAAAAGGACTTGTGCGCCCCGCGAGCGCAAAGCGAGACCAGGTTCTGGGAATCGCAGGTCGAAGCAGATTTGCATGCCGAGTTTGCCTACGGGACTGTCGAATGGATCGCCTAAATGTACGCCGCGTTCTACTCCTGCAGACTCTTGCATTTGAGGGCCGTCTTTGACGTCCATGTCGAAGAGGTGGAGTTTTTGGTAGCGGTATTTGATCTCGCCATCAGAAGTGATCCATATTAGGGTGTTTTTGACTTTCTTTCCATCGTCTGTGGGCTCGTGGATGCCGACGGATATGGGTAGGGAGTATTGTTTTGCGGATTCTTGGAGCCCGAGTACGAATTCGGAATCTTGAACGGATTTGCAGAGCTTGAGTCCGCCAGATGTGGTTAGGTAGTCTGCTGCTTCGGGGAGGAAGAGGGCGGCTGCGCCTGCCTTGTGGGCTTTTTGGCAGAGTTCTTGGGCTTGCTTGAGGTTCTCGGCCATGGAGGCCATTGAACGCATCTGTCCGACGGCCTGGTAATGGTTAGAGTTGGTAATTTGTAAATCATCTTGAAACCACGATTCGAGAAACGGTACATGTGAAGGATGAGAGGATGATACTAGACTGGAGAATGACTTACGGCGAGAGGCATCTTGAAGGTAATGGTGGATGATTGTATGTGGTGGAAAAGATGAATGAAATGAAGCTATCTGTGTACTTATACGACGACTACCAGGCAGAACTAAAGAAATGTTATTGTCGTCGTCAGAGACGGCAGAACCGATGCCACTAGGGAGACTAGTTCAAATCGAGTAGCCATCGTAAGATGCAAGTGCATCTGAATTTGCATGTCTAAAAAAGCATAACGCATGTACCCGCCATGCCAAAGTGAAGATATGGCATACCTCGATTCACATGCGGAAGCGATGGCCGGGACCCAAGTCCCCTGCATAAGTTGTGGTGGTGGGAATTGCGTCAGGGCGGAGTTGCGGCAGAGCGGAAGGCTGGCCAATCGGCGTTTGTCTGGCTACGTGCTACGGCATCCGTCATGCTGAGGGCTTGCGCGGCAGGAATCGTGAGGACACGAATACGACGGGGGCTATTTCGCTTACACGGGCATCGTCTAGCTGCGACAAGCAATTTCGAGTCTCGGACATCGACTGCATTCCACGCATGGTGGTGGTTATTGTTGTTGTTGTTGTTGTTGCCAAAGTCTTAGCCTGCAACTCCCCGCGAAACCTTAGCTGACCGCGTACCACGTCCAACAAACCAACCTGGCCTTATGCGCAATTGAGCTATGAACAAATACAGGCGGAGAACGAGTGCACGGTGAAAGGTAGCAAAGCTCCACAGACGAGGAACAGAGTCGCCACACGCAACAAGGCTGTAAAGGCACGATGAGTGGGAAGAACTGGTGGAACAGCGCCATCTCGGGCTTGGAGTCGCGACTCGACACGATACTGGCCGAGGATGGCACCCCAAAGTCAGCAGGCGCGGGCCCGGATGCAGCTGCCAAAACAGAAGGCACAGACAAGGCGGCGACGGACAAGAAGCTCGCAGTTGAGCCAGGTGGGTAGCCTTGTCAGAGACATGGTACCATAGCCCTTCGCAAGGCTAACAGCATAGAAGCCTCGCGCAACTCGTCACGAAGCCGACCCAACTCCCGCCTCCAGGACCGTCTAGCCAAGGCCGTGAACAAGGGATCCGAAGCAAGAACCTCGTCGGATCTGGGGTCAAGGCCAGCAAGTCCTGCCGTAAATGCCGTCACCGCATCGCCGAGGGCAAGCATAGATTCAAAGGCGCCAGAAGAAGCTACAACAGTGAAAGAAGATGAGGCGACCAAGTCAGATAGCAGTAAGGCCGGGGAGCCTTTACAGACACCACAACCCGCTGTCGAAGCATCTGCGCCCATAGTCTCTCCCCCAGCGACTTCACCACCACCTACACCTCTGGTAGCCGAGCAACCAAAATCGACGCCTGTTCCCACCATGTCCATGCCCTCGATACCCTCAATTGTCACCCCACAGACATCTTCCCCACGCCAATCTTTCGACAGCGACCCGTCGCGGCCCTCTGTCGACGCCATTACCCCGACACCGCCTCCCGAGGCTAGAGACCCCGAGGAAATACAAGTCGAGCTATCTCTACTCCAGAACACATACCAAGAGACGTTAAAGGACAACCGCGAGGAGCTCAACGCACATCTAGAGCGAATTGATGCTCTACAGTCCAAGTTGACATACATGTCTGAGCAACTCGCTGCATCTGCCAAGGCTGCCAAGTCTGATTCTGGAGCAACACCGGCAGACAAGAAGCTGGCAGACAAGGATGCTCAGATCGCTGCACTCATGGAAGAGGGCCAGAAGCTCTCAAAGACGGAGATGAAGCATCTCACCACTATCAAGAAGATGCGCGCCAAGGCTTTGGAACAGGACAAGGAAATTGCAACTCTCAAGCAGCGATTGACCAAGGCGGAGAAAAGCATCACTGATCAGTCGGAAAGGGCACGGCGCGCAGAGGCGGCGGAAAAGTCGGCGCAGGAGAAATTGAAAATTGTAGGCAAGATTGAAAAAGACATCGAGACTATTAGAGCAGAGCGCGAGGAAGCTGGACTTACAATATCCGAGTTGCGGAAACAACTCAACGATGCGCTCTCACGGGCAGAAGATGCCGAAAAGAGGGTTCAGTCTGGCGCACTGGAAGCAGAGAAGAGGGCCACTGCGTCGCTGAAGGAGGACATTGAGAACGTGCGGATAGAGAAGAAGCTTGCCGAAGACCGTGCGAAGAGAGAACTTCAAGTGGCCAGAGATGAAGCAAAGAGCCAACAGGAGAAAGCAAAGGTCGCCGAGCTGGAGCTGCGTGGCGAGATCGCTGTGAGTGATGACGAACCTTTGCAAACACATGTACACTGACATGGGATTCAGAATCTAGAATCTAAGCTAGAATTGCTCCGCAGCCGCACAGAAGAGGCATCTTCATCAGCGGCTGGCGATTCACAGGCTAAGCTTCTGCGACAGATCGAGACGTTGCAGACTCAGTACTCATTAGCTTCCGAGAACTGGCAAGGTATTGAGACCACTTTGACATCTCGCGTCGCGGCTCTTGAGAAGGACCGAGACGAAACGGCGAAGCGCGAATCTGACGTCAGGCGGAAAGCAAGAGACGTCAACTCAAAAGCACGTCGACTGGAAGACGAGCTCGAGAACATCAACGAGCGAGCCCGAGCATTCGAGCACGACCTGACCGAGCAGCGTGCTGCAGCCCAAAAGCTGCAAGCTAGGCTCACGCAAGCAGAGTCTGCCGCACAAGATGCACAGGCAGAACTCGAGCGAGAGAAAAAGGTCTGGGAGGCCGAGCTCCAACAACGAATAGAAGACGAGAAGAACAAGTGGAAGGTGGAAATACAGACACCATCTCTAATGGGCGAATCTCAATACTTGCGGACAGACTCACCCTCTATAGCCCAACGAAGGCATTCGCCCGATCCACTTGGTATCTACAACCGCCGCCCAAACCCACGTTCCATCACCAGCGGCATGGACCTACCCATGATGTCCCCCATGGACCGCATGTTTGACGAAGCCTCGCGCCGCCCCTCGAGCTCCCGCCACAACAAGTCCAACAAAGTCCGCACCCCGGAAATCGGGACCCCTCAACGACAAGACTCGATTCCGTCCAGCATGTCGAACCTCGCCGGAGGCGTCCCAGACACACCCTCGATCCACACAGTCGACCACGACAATGACCCCTTTGAAAACACATCCTCCCCGCACCGCACCATCAACGACATGATATCTGTTTCCACCGCCGGCGCCGGCCCCTCGGTCCAACTTGTGGAGCGCATGTCCGCCGCAGTCCGCCGTCTGGAATCAGAAAAAGCAACACACAAAGAGGAGCTTGCGCGCCTCACCGCGCAGCGCGACGAGGCGAGGGAGGAAGTCGTAGCACTCATGCGCGAAGTCGACGAGGCGCGCAAAAACGGTGATAGGGTCGCTGATCTCGAGAAGCGCATGGATGAGATGCAGGTTAGAGAGGAGGCGGCATTGGATATGTTGGGCGAGAAGACGGAGAGGGTCGAAGAGCTCGAGGGCGATGTGAGGGATTTGAAGAAGATTTATAGGGAGTTGGTTGATACGCTCAAGTAATGTTGAGGTGTATGTGTGGGTGGTAACAGCATTGGCATGGCATGGCGTGGCGTGGCGCTACCGTGGGGTGCTTTGGAAATTTCCAACGGTCATATTATGATATACTCTTGAGTAATTTTTATCAAGGTTTTAAGAGATTCGCATTTCAGTTGATTTGATGGACGTGCTGACGATAAGACGCAAGCACAACGCTGTCGAGTTACACTGTTTGTATAGCAGTAGAAGTGTGTTACCAAATACCCGGCTTCACTATATGCAGCTGTATACAGAAATTTGCGTTCCATTCATCTACCTTGGAATACCATCTGGAAGTTTCATTACCCGCCCAACTCACCAAGCCACGTGATGATTACTGCAGCCTTGAGCGTTCCTGCCCCACTACCTTTTGCAGCGCTTCCCCTCTCTCTTCTCACCTTCTCCGTCAATAGGAAACTATCGCAACCTCTCTGCATACCCCTTCTTCAATAGCATTGCTTGCTATTCGTAATTCCGTACAATCTCGTTCGATGCGTCTTCTACGCCTCGACCATGACGATGAACTCAGCCTCGTCGAGCGTTACGAGGAAAGAATACCACCGTACGCTATTCTCTCACATACGTGGGGCGCGGATAGCGATGAGGTCACTTATCTCGACGTTGTAAATATGGCGAATCTCCATAAACTGGGATGGAATAAGATCCATGCATGCGCGAAACAAGCCAAAAGAGACAACCTCCAGTACTTCTGGGTGGATACATGTTGCAGTTAGTTTGCGGCGAGATTATTCTTCACATGTTCGCTAACGTGTCTTCGGCTCGTGATAGTAGATAAGTCTAGCAGTGCTGAGTTGACAGAGTCAATTAACTCCATGTACAATTGGTACAAGAAAGCAAAGGTCTGCTATGTTCTCTTAGAAGATCTTCCTGCCCATCTCGGACTAGAGGATCAAATTGCTAAGTGCCGCTGGTTCACTAGAGGTTAGAAATGTCCCTTTACGAATTGGATATGAGACATATGCTGACCTTGTATATCTATATGTTAGGCTGGACACTACAGGAACTACTTGCTCCATCAAACGTAGAATTCTACGATCAAGACTGGACGTTCAGGGGGAGTAGAAAGGACCACACCGACACTATATCCGAGTTCACTTCGATTCCTACTGAGGTCTTACTCAAGCCAAGAACAATATACATGGAGTCTGTCGGTGCACGGATGTCTTGGGCTTCCAGTAGAGTTACCAAACGTACCGAAGATATAGCGTACTGTCTTCTTGGTATATTCGAGATCAATATGCCATTGATATATGGAGAGGGCAAAAGAGCATTCCTACGTCTTCAAGAAGAGATTATCAAGCGCAACAATGATCTCACTATACTAGGATGGGACAGTGTGTCATACTACAAAAGGTGGGATGGTCTTGTTGAAGTCCTTGCCGGTTCTCCGGCTGCCTTTGCAGGCAGTGCTAAGCTCCAAAACATCTCCATAGGATTAGGGCCCGAGTTCTCCATCACAAATCGAGGTCTTCTTCTCACTGGGGACTTCAAATTATCCTATCGATCATCGCGCCAGAAGCCGGAAAAGTCCACTTACGTCCTTCAGATTGCGACTACGGGCGACTCTGCGACTCGTGAGATTGGCCTTCGAAAGCTGGCACCACATCTGTATGGTCGTTTGCGAAGGCTCCCTCCATCGGGGTACTACAATGCGTCCTCTGGCTTTGACGACAGTGACTACATAACCAAAAGTGACAACATAACCGAGACACCAACAGATGAAGATACGATCTACATAAGAACTGACTTCCGCCATACCGATGACTTTACTCACCTTGCTGCTTCCCGGAATAATGCACTGCATATTCCCAAGCAAGAAGATCTCGAAATCCTTCAAGTAACTCCACGGTTGTTGTGGGATCACTCGGACGCCGTGTTCCTACAGACGAGACAAGGCACTCCTTATCCATATTACTCCTCCGTAGTAGCTGTTCTATTTAAATCTGGGGTTGGAGGATACAAAGACCATATATTTTTGGTCTACGAAAGCGGTGTCGTACACCCAGTTTTACATGTTTTCAGCGAGTCCTCTGCCGAGGAACATCTTCAAGATATTGGGAGGCTGTTTCCAGCTTGGAGTGAAGAACGCAGCCGTCGCCTGCGCGGGAGTGACTACCACGACCCAATCCCCGAGAAGGACATATCGTGGGAGGATATAAGAAAAGAAGCACCGTGGATCTTGAAGAAGGGTGACTCGGTCGTTATGTCTGGCTCTCAAGGCAGGTGCACCATACGGTTCTTTTTGGAGTCTGACATGCTCTACCCTTACAATATTCCAGTCATAAGCCTCAAGCCATCTGTTACTCACAGTCAATCTGGGATTGATACAATACAAAAGTGAGTGGACTGCAGTTTACCGCTCGGACGCTTATGTCAAAGACTAACGTCAGACTTAGCGACGTTGAAGTTAGTACTCAACTAGCAGATACCTTTCTGGCAACACGCCTCCAATCTCGAGCCGATAGTCACCATAAGTTTTATTCTTCAACGAGCGATACAGGCTCAATAGATAGTACCAAAGCATTGTATCATGTCCACATACACTAGCTATGGTCTGAGGACAAGTAGTGGCATATTTGGTATCTTCTATCTACATGCTGTACTCGCGATGTTTATGTACGTGGTCAACGCTATCAACCTTGACAACACCTTTCCGGAAAAAAACAGCTATTTCTTCGCATAATTCAGCTCCAGAACGCCCAAGCCATTCAACTCTAATTCGGTTCTTCTCCCCTCATGCAAAATCGTCATCTTGTATCCTGTTCATCCGATCCACCCCGACCTTATATGCCCAGGTAGTACTTTCCCCTCTCATACGCATAAAAGCTCACCGCAGCCATCGGAACAACCTTGACATAGCCAATCGTCAGCCCCACAAAAAAGCCCTTGTATCCTCTCTCCATGTAGATTCTCCTCGTAACCTCCGGTATACTAAGCCGATGGCCATCACCAACGACACCACCAACCTGCATTCTTCGTCGTATAACTTCCAGTGGGTAAGACACTGTTTGTGAGAAGAAGCCAGCGATACCGCCGCTAGTCAGCTCAGCCCAGTAGCGCAGTTGCGCAGGTTTGTGGCTCGAGGTGCTGGATTCTTCGCGAGAGGTATTGGGTAATGTTGTGTAAGGAGCGAGGATGGGGATACGCATGAGATCGGACATGGAGTCGTGGGCGAGAAACGAGGCGCCCGCATAGGGTATCATGCCGAGGAGCGTGGGTGTGAAGCCGCGGAAGAAGTTCGAGAGGCCGGAGCGCGGGGTAACGGTTTCGACGACTTGGGTTGCGGTCGCTGTGATGGGGTTCTTTGGTTGCGATATCCGTGGTGCTTGTTCGCTGTATATTTTTCGTACTATAGTCACGAGACTACTGCGGGCTTCTTCCTTTGTCTCAAAGGCGAGGCGCACGCGAATTACCTCGAGGGGGTATGTCAGGAAGACGCTCATCATGCCTGCTAAACTGCCCGAGATGAACCGTCGGCCCGGGGTTTCTTGCGCTTTGTTCTTTATTATGCGACCGCGTATTTGCTCGTAGGCGAGGAATTTAATGCCGGCGTAGGGGAAAATGCGGAGGAGTGTTGCCGAATGGCCCTTGAAGAGACCACGTACTCCTGTGCTAACGTAGATGTCGCGGATTGCCGTGGGGAAACCACTCCAAGAGCCGGCATATTTCGCGAACTGGGGGTTGCGGGTTTGGAAGAGGATTTTTACGCGGTCGAGGGGGCCTACTACCGTCTTTGCCTGTTGGGCTGTTAGTACTTGTACGTCTAGCGGTTCGCTTCATGCGATGAAATGTGTCTTGACATACAGCACATCCGGCGAACCCTCCTGCCACTCCGCTCTTGATCAGATATTCCATGCTGTTCTTATCCATCCTCCTCTTCCCAGAGGCTACGGCTGCGCCGCCTTCCTTCTTCGCTGACATGGCCGTGTCATGGTCTGGTATTATGTTGCTTGCGCGATTTGTTGGCGCCGCAGTCGTCGTCATGATATTCGATTTGTTTCCGTCATAGCGGAGGAGATCCGTGGACATTCCAGAACTGAGTTGCGTGGGGTTACCGCGACATGAATTCAGTGAGATGCGATATCCTTGGCGTTGTCGATTCGCGTGGCTACGACGAGGAACGTGGTTGAGAACGTGGAAGGGGTCGCGTGTATGGGGATTAGAAAGCAACGCCGTTGTGTGGTTTGGTGTTTGACATGCAGCCACGGCGATGACGTTTACCGAGGCTGATCTGCTGCTTTCGGCCGGCACTTGGCCCAGATCATTTCATCCGACGCTACCCATCGGAAATGTTTCCCATGGCTCCCTCAACACCACAAGCGCATCGTGAAGTCTGCGATCAGGACCTCGTTATCGTTGGTCACGTGCATGTATGAGAATATGTGGTGAATGCGTGAGTGTGGTCTTGGAAATCGCGAGCAGGAAGTAGCTGTGACGTAAGACTAGAATTGGTAGGAAATCTTCCATCATTGTCCTTTCCTTTCGATTACTTCCCGTCATGACTTCTCCAAGCCCCATCATCTACCAGAACGTGGAGGGGGACATCACGTTGATCGATATACCAACATCTATCGCAGCAGCACAAGGCGACCGCTCGGGAGTGCTGCTCTCTACTCCACCCTTGGATACTCCCATCGAACCGAAAGAGGACTATCGGCCCAAGACACAAAAGTCTAGAACGAACAAGACTCAGGCACAAGACACGACGACCACGTCGCATGCGACAGTGGCAGAAGCCTCGAACCATGACTTCCTGTCGTTGCATCTTGATGACCAACGTTACAAAGTCCTTGCTGAACATGCACTCCGCCAAATACGTGCACAGGTCTCAGGGCCGTGGTGCACACAGCGCAAGCTAATGACCCAAGAGCCAGTCCGTGGGGAACAACAGGTCACGAATGTAGACGAAATCTCTGAGAAAGAGCTCGAGGCCCGGATGAGGGAGTGGGCAGCGTCTGGCGAGACGAAAGAAGATGATACCGCATTCAACCTGCAACAGATGATGGCTTCGCTCGGCGCAACTTCCGAGGTTGCGGAACCGGCCTCTACGGCACCACAGTGGACAATGTCGTACCGTGCTGCACGTGAGACTACAAGTAGCACAACGCAGGCCGCTGAAACGGTCTCTTCGGACGCACAAACTGAACCATGGACGGGTACCTTTCACAACCCCAACCACCACTCCGTAGCACTTGCGATCGCCACAAATACGTCGCAATCTGCTCAGCCGGGTCCAGAGTATCGTTTCACAATACCACCTCGCTCCACATTCTTCCTTAGCGATTCCACTGCATCGGACGCTTTCCGTACCTCGTTTCGTGAGCTCACCAACGAATACACCCTTCCACGACACTTTGATCTAGTGCTGCTGGATCCGCCATGGCCCAATCGCTCAGCCAAGCGGAAGGGCGCATATGAGCAGGTTGGCGGCATGCCGTACCTCAAGAAAATGCTACTGAACATGGATATCGACAGTTATCTCGAGCACAATGCCCTTGTGGGCGTCTGGATCACGAACAAGCAGTCACTGAGACAACATGTGCTCGGGCCCGGCGGACTCTTTGAAACGTGGAACGTGGGCTTGATCGAGGAATGGATATGGATCAAGACGACGACCAAAGGCGAGCCCATGTTCGACATTGATAGCACCATGCGCAAGCCCTATGAAATTCTGCTGCTGGGTCGTGCGGCCCCCAACTCGTGGACGACGATGGCACACGCGCCAACGGTCAAAAGGAGAGTCATTGCTGCTGTACCAGATATCCACTCGCGGAAACCGTGTCTGAAGACGCTACTCGAACCCTATCTGGTGGATTCGAATGATTACAGTGCGCTTGAGGTCTTTTCTCGGTACCTAGTCAGTAAATGGATGTCTTGGGGTAACGAGGTACTGAAATACAACTGGGATGGCTACTGGACTCCGGCTTGAAGTGCCGTGGCCTCTGTGACGAGAGTTTTGACCTCTCTGGCACATGGCATACCGTGGTCATATATTGTACGCGGTGACCCAGAAGAACGCACTGGTCCCGGGGAGTGATGGTCCTTGGAATGGGTGACTTACTACCCGGCGACCATCATTCAGTTCTTTCTCGGGTGGAGTCCATGTCGTCTGTTCGTTTACCCAAGACCCAAACATAGTTTGTAGTACTCTGCAATGTAATCACACAATCAAGGCACACAACCTTCAGCATGGTTTTCTATGAATGTACACGTATTTTCGCAATTTTACTCCATTCACAAGCAGAAAACGACGCACATCGCACCGCGATATCGAGTCATGTGCTAAACTCACCCTCCATTCATGCGAATCCAAGTCAAAATAATATCCGAGTTTCCTTACTTCTGCAATTACTGCCACGTAAGCAACACGTTCACATCACAGTCACTACATCTCTATCACTTCCGTTCAACTTCACATGCCGAACACCATCATGCCTAAATACCCACTGATCACCAGCTCTACTTCGACTTGTAACCACGAAGACCCATTTGGTCTCCACAATGACGCAACCTCTCCGCCAGCTTCTTGTTACGGAAGATGCCATTCCAAACACTGAAAACCGGTGAAAGGTACATCAGGGTCTCGAGAAAACCCACAGTATCTCCACAGCACGATATGGAGAATGAATGGAGCAAGAGGCAAAAAAGTGTGTGGACTGTGGAGGGCAGAATCCACAAGTCTTCCCCACCCCGGCTTTCCTAACTCGGTACCCCACGTCCCGTCTAAGACAATGACCGCTATATCCTCGGGAAGCGGAGCATTCTCGTCTTTGATCCATGGTAACATGAGCAGGATAACAAATGCCGAGTTCATCAGGATGGATCGTGATAGCCGCTGCAAGCTTCTAGCCATGAGGCAAATTCACATGTCAAGTCGTGGTGTGGCGTGGGGATAGCCAAGCGCCCTCGTGATGAACACTGTCTGCCCCGCGTGGGGTAAGGCTTATTGGAGCACCTAAAACAGTGACATATGCACGACATACATCCAGGCGGCTAGTCTTCGCCTTATCGCGTAGGCGAATGAGCAACGAGATACTGCCACGCGAGGGCACTCGGGGTGGTAGGAACAACAGGAGAATTACCACGAAGCGCCACTGTCGCGGCGAAAGAAGTTGAACGAGGCAGACAATGACCGATCAAGCTACTAGCGAATCGTATGCGTGGTCAAATAGACATGTAATAAACTTGATTTACCGTGTAGGCGCTAACAAGAGAAGAAAGTGGAGGAGTGGAAGGCAGTAGCCCTTCTTATGACTCCTCGGGGTAACAACTGGGCATAGCCCTGCTTGCTCGCAGTTATTGTCCATCTGACAGCCTTCAAGCTCGACTCCGACAGCGGAATTCAAAGGATCGGCATTCCTGCATTTTAGGTGTCGCACTGCATGAAGTACGATATGGAGGCGAGCGGTGTTGGGAGCACAGTGGTCAAGCGGTGAGTCACCGCTCGCAGCGGTTTCTTTGTCTGTTGCGATGTTGAGACGCTGTATAGTCTGTCCGAGGATCAACATGTAGGGGACTGCAAGGAGGAAAGGGCCACAAGGCGGCGAGACCTTTCCCCTTGACTTGTGACCAGTGCCTGGTGAGTGTGCATCTGTTGGAGTAGACTTCGTTAATGCGTACCAAGAGGCTCCGTTGAATCTACCCCTCCATCACAAGACTTGCATTTGTGCAGCAACCTCTGATAAGATATCGCAAACAAGGTCAAATATGGTGTGACACACTATCTGGTGGTATTATCCTGTTACAGTAGGGATGCGACGATGTAGTCGTATCAAGTGGCAGCTCTCAGAGCCTCGTAGCTGCGTTCAACGCGAATGCCCGGAAGCAAGCTGCCAAATGCACGCTGCAAATCGTTTATCAGTGAAACACATCGCCTATTTCGACTGTCACAGATGACAGTTCGGTAAATACCATCTCGCACTAGATCTTGTGTGCCCAGCGTGCATCCCCGCGTCTGCTCCTCACGATCCATTAATTCTCCGGTTTTGATCAGCCACCGGAATTTCTCCTCCCCTCAACTGTAAGCGGAAAAATTCCAACCGAGAAGAATCAAATGTTGTATACTGTGTACACAACAACGGATTATTCCTTTTAGATGCCATTTACCATGCACCTGCCTGTCGAGTACCTAGTGACATGCAGCCAGACGCAGGGCGATTGCTGATCTCAACGGCGGTCTAGGCCGATAATTCCATGGTACATCTGCACGCTCTCAAACAACCACACCGGCGGTTGTATCTCCAAATGAGGAAAGTACAACAAGTCTGGTAGTGTGTAGGATCTGGCTCTGGATTTCTGGCGCGGGCGTTCGAGAGCTTGAGGAATTTAACTTGTGAAGAAATCAAATTTTGAAATTATCTGAGGCGTTCGAACCGCTCAGACCGCGGCCGTGAATGGAATTTTGAATCTGTATCCACTCACCGCCACTGCACGGTGTGTGTTGAGAAGTTGCATGAAACTGAGGCTCCAACACCTGCTCCACAGCCACAGCACCCGGCCGGTTTTCGCCAGCACCCATGAATCGTGGGTTCGCAGGACGACGAAAACACATCGGATGTATCTCTCCTGGGACTCCACATCGGAGCGCTGAAATTTTTACCCTTTCAAGCATCTTTATCGTTTGGGTCCACATCGGACATTCCATGTGAAAGGGTGACGGGCTTCTAGTTGAAGGCTGTAGCCGCACCATAAGCACGATGATGCTACCGATCCACTCACGTGCATTTTCACCGAGATGAACTTCGTTTACTTCGTACTGGCATGTGGATATCATAGCAGAGACTTTTTGGCGAGGGCGTCAATTCTGCAAAAGGTGCATGAAGGAATAACGCCGTGCCGCCGGTTTAGTGCGGCTCTGCCGCAGGACGACGTCATAAATGAAGTTTGGTGATAGCATCGAGGCAAGTGATACGGGTGTTGACATGGGGTCAGATGGGGTCGTGATGGAGACGGCGGCATACCTGCTGCGTCGGGGTGTTGGCTGATGTCGTTTGTGGGACAAACGTCGTCATGAACAGGTGCTGTTTCATGGGTCGGCAGACCCTGCATCTTGAGGTTTGCGCAAAACAGGCATGTGGTTCCTTGCATGCGAACTTGCAAACAAGGGAACCCTTTGTGTCAGCTAAGTAAAGTTTGTTCACACGCGATTTGGAACCTTCCAAGCTCGGTCGCCCACCCGCATTCTGTGCAGCAATAGCGAAGGGGCTAGGAGTAGCGGCAACGTGGCCTGGATGCCCGACCGACCTTCTGACCGAGTCGGCAACTGAACCAGAACTTTACTATGGTACTGGTTTGAGTGTAAAACAGAACCTCGGCAAAGGCAATATGGATGGTTCGTTCCTCGACGCGAGGAGTTGCGCACGAGCACTCTGGAACGGTAGTTCCGCATGGAAGGATGGAAGAACCTTCCATGCTAGGGCGGACGGACTCACGATCCCCAGTTTCCAGAGCAAGCACAGACAATTTCTTGCCTCCGACCCCAGATTACCGGCAGAGTGTACAGGCAAAAAACGGGTCGCGAAAACGTGGAGATGAAAGCAGGGTGCTTTATTCCAGCATTCACCCGCACGCGGCTGCACACAATGCAAGCGACAGGGCTGATCTTTGTGCTCCGTTTCCTTTGTGGTACTTGCGAATTTATAGGCACAAAGCGTTGTATTTGCGGAAACCGTTGCAGTAATGGATGCGCACGGGAGGGTGTGCTCACTGCATGCGACGCGGACATTACAGATCTCTACTCAGCCTCCCGCGCACCGCAGGTCAGCCGTGAGCATTTGGGGTTCCGTACAACGCGAACGCAACGAATTCGGAATTTGATAACGAAAGGAAAGGTAGCTGGACTTTGTTCGGGGGCAGCACGGATCCGCAGCGGCTGCAAGTATGACTCCTGTAAACCGTCGCAGCGAGCGATAATGGCGGTTGGAAGAGTATACAATCCATGCCGGGCCGAGATGTACCTCGCTACAACTATTGGTGGCAATGCTACCTCGCTCCACGGGCTGTAAAGTACCTGCCGGCTATGGAAGACTACTGGTGGATGAGAGTTGTGAAGAGGACCCGCAGGCTAGAAATTGTCTCGGAGGCGACGAGTGGGGAATGTCATCCACTGGACCCTGAGATCATCTTCGCCGAATGCATGTGATGGCGACTAATGCACCCCATGTGCTTGACCGGTTAAACCTCGATGCGAAATAGGAAGTTCATGATCCGAGGCTTTCTTCAGACTTGAGGAAGCTTTGTGGAGCGGTTCCGTTTCGAAACGGCGAGGATCTGCCTGTGGTCGGGCTGTGTGTCGGCTTCTGTGGTCGGCTAGGCGAAGGGTGGCCAACCTGCGACACTCAAATCACGTCGTCAAACAGCCAGATGGACGGTTTGGGCAGCATCCGTAAAAACAATCGCCATTCATTTCATTATTGCACATGGCGCACGGAGAGGCGGACAGCATCCCGGGGCATGCGTTTGCATTTCCTTTTGCGGATGTCAGATGCCGCCGGATGAAAGCGTGGGGATGCCACCAAGGGTCTCCCTATTCATCCCCGAGATGATCTTCTGACACTAAGCTTACTGCATTCAGCTATGCAACGAAATCTTATCCGCATCGATACTCGCGGAGACGGGCGTGGCGTGAATGAGTCGTGGGGTGTGTAACCGCTGTCACTGTCACATCCCTTGTCCAGATGCTTTTCAAGTCTTCAGGATTGCAAAGCAACGTGTGGCTACAGTGAGGACGCCTGACAGTGACGAGGCAGGCTTAGAGAAGGCAGCGAAGCGTGCTCGCTGGCAGCCGACAGTGATTGATGGCCTTGTGGACGAGTCATCGTTGCATTTCGCATGTGCGCACGTCGATAGGGCAAGCGACCGGGCCAGCGATAGGGCAAAGGATGGGCTGCCATGTCACGGTCGAGGTGCCCCGACAGCCGGGATGAGCTCGCAGGCGCAGCGGAGCAGACGGGGCTGACGGCTAGGGTAGCCAGAAATGGCAGCCTTTGTGAAGGGGCGGTCTGAGCTGCGTGGAAGCTCCGCCAACCACAGTGCACCCCTTCCAAAGAGCGGTCGCTCACCGACTCATAACAAAAGGCAAATCATAGAGCGCCAAATAAAAGCGTTTCATGCGGACCGGAGCGAGGCGTGGAGAGTGTATTGTTTACGGCGGAAGATATATGGAACCCTCCCCACGGCCAGGCCTTCATCTGATCTTCATTCGAGACACACGCAGACACACAGCCATTGCTTCTGACTGACTCGAACTCCTGACCCTTGCTCTAGCACCGCAAGAGTGACCCCGTGGCTGTTATTTAACAGACGCCCCCGACCAGACGACCAGATCCAACGATCGCAAATCTCCCGTATCGCTTTTCGAGACGCTGCCCGACGCTATCGGAGTAGCACCCGCAACCCTGTTTTTCCAGCCAGAACCCACATCGGCGTCATACATCATCAACCCGCCCCTGCACCTCGGTCTAGTTGCCGCGACACTAAAACTGACGAAAAAATCACGAAAACACACAGCAATCCTGTAGCGCCGAAAGTGCCCGCAAGTGTGTATATACAATAGCGACCCACCCCGTACGCTATATCCAGTTCACCATATTCACCTTCACAACTATGCACTTCGAATCATCACCAGGCTCATCTCCATCAAAGTCGCTGCCCATCAGCATCTCGCCTAGAAACAACATGTCTTCACCAACTTCCTCGTTGTACAGCAACTACTCTACCGAGGCTTCATCATCTCGTGGCTCAACATGTGCTTACCCATCATGGCCTACCGGTCCATCGCTGGACCACCGCAGTGCACCATCCTCTTACATTAGCGATGCCGACCTCTTTGGTGAGGACTTTGACGACGACTTCGCTTGCCCATTCCTCGACAAGGCTCCTGCTCCACCACGCGTCTACCCCATGGCACAGGCAATGCCCGTCTTGCCACCACTGTACGCGCCCAAAAAGCCAAAGAGCGAGCGCCGCCGCAGCAGTGGCAAGCAGCGTCGCACTTCCAAGCCTATGACTCCTATCTCCGAGTCACCAGAGCAGGTTGAATGAGCGCGCAATCAAGCGATAGCATTCGTGTTATTGTAAGTCTACCGACCCGACAACAAATCGCGACGCGATACTAACAGCCGTACCAGTAACTTATCTTGACAACATCAACGTCACCATTATTAGGCGCGCGCGTTGGCATCCGTCAGCATCACGTTGGCATGGCTGAGTCACATGAGCTGTCAGTCAGTCACTTGCCACAGTCAGCCTCACTCATCATGTCCCTCACCGGGACCTGAGTGTACCGCGGCTCGCGCCTCAGCCGACCTGGCTGTCAAGTCCCGTTGCATCTCACTTCAAGCACCACGAGATGCAACTGGAACGGGTGGATGCAACCTCCCCCGCATGTCAGCCTCAGTCACACTGTCATTCTTGTCAACGGTGTGAACGTAGACGCCTTCGTCTCAACGTCCACCACACGACAGACAGCCTTCAAGGCGCAACGCTCCCTTGTGTCGTTCGTTATGTCGTGCTTGCGCACCCGCATCCAGACCGCGTTCTTGCGCAGATCCTGGCGATCATTTAGAAAGAGGAGGAACTCCAGACTGGCTTGGAGCTGGATGAAGAAACGGATTGGAGGATAGCATTTGTGACGAAATCCTCGCTTTTGCAGGTTTCGTGGCGTTCTCTTTCTCTCGATACCCCCGCTTCCGCAAATCGGAATGCCAATTTTGTATGCGCCGCTTGTGTGCGCAAAAGGAGCGAGAGGCTTATTTGTGGCTGATAAGCTCCCTCGCTCGCCTGTTTTCCCTTTACTTGATACCCCCACCTACCAGCCTTAGCATAGCATAGCCATCGTTTAGATAGATACCCCATTTGCAGAATCTACAGCATCATATCCTACCTCAACAACACTTCCTTACCATTTCCACACATGATAGCGCTTTTCGTGATGATCATTCTAGATTAGTATAGGTGTGTGATGAGGATGTGACGGGCGTCTTAGTCGAATTTTGAGGTGTGATTGTTGAGATATGTGGCGCTCCAAGAGCGAGCTTCGGTAGTTGCTCCCATGTTTCTTTTGCATGCAGCGCATCTGCATCCACCCGCATTCGTGATGGGAATCGCATTCTACATGCTTGGAGTCGCGAACGAAAAAGCAATTTGCTGAACGACCAGTTGGGCGTTGTTGAAGCGACGTCACCGTGCCTTCGGTTAGATATTTGATAGTGTTCGTCGCCGAACAGACCTACATTTTCTCAATTCGGCAATCCCTCACTCTGCGCAACCTTCAATCATGGTGAAGGATCCTTTTCTTCCCGTCCCCTGTACATCGCCGGATATGCCCAAGACAAGCTTTTTCATCTTCTCAAATCTTGCTAGAGTTGTTTTCTGGTACTCGAAGCTCTTGTACATTGTGCGGGTCCGTATATTGGCCACGCTGTAACACGGTACGGTTTGGGTGGACCCGCAGCGTTGACAGCGATGCATGTTTTGACTCACATAGAGTGGTACGCACGCTTCTGTCCAGGAACGACACGCGATTTGTGCGAGACTGCTTTGCAATTTTTGCATCCCCCGCTGTTTTCCTGCCAATGCGGTGGGGGAAGTATACAGCACTGTACTGAGAAGAGGGGCAAATGCGCGTGGCTGGTAGACGGTGTAGAAGTAACTGGGATACAGCTCCTTAGTCGGGCGCTTCGCTTGCATCGATGAAGAAGTGCGAACAATCCATCACGGAACTAGCAATGCGTGCCCAACTTCATGACACCCACCCCCGTTCCTGCGATACCGTTGGGTATAGCTCGAACGGTGTAAGACGCTGCTGAGAGCTAATGACACGGCCTGAAGCAGTTTTGCTAGATTGTTTCTTCATGCCGAGCCGGGGTTCTTGAAGAAACACGAGGTTTTTGTAGCCACTATGGACTGGCATGCATATATCACGACCGGGGAATGAAGCTCGCATGCCAGATCGGCGGAGCTTTGACTTTGCTTGAACCTGACGGGGCGGGAGTAGATCGATTGTGCTTGGTTAGCGACGTGTGCCTCTATGTTTCCTGCGTCTGCAGCGGCACGTTATGCTCTGTGCTTGGTTCAACAACAGAATCATTCCTGGGCCGTATGTAGGTCGTATGTAGGCCTCATGTAGATATCAACACATTAGTCGAGCATGGGTTGCAAGACGTTACAATGGCTCCGCGATACAAGCGGCTGGGTTCGAATATGAAGTCGGAACTACCATCTCGTGGGGTTTCCCACGTCGTGCACGAGGTTTTGATGTTTCTTCCGGGACGGGCCATGGCTTGTGCAGGATAGTCGTTCACGGACCGTGACCTTTGTGCCACCAACTTACATATCCGCTCCCGAACGCTGCGGGTTGAGTCCGTTGCGCAGAAGCTTGGGCACGATGCGCTAGCTGCGGCGACGACGGACGCTTCAGTATGCGAACGGTTGACCAAGCGGCAGGTGGAAAATTGTGAACATGTCGTGATGGCGCTACCGTCACCGTACTTTTGAGAAGAGTCATGGCAGCGTCGAGAACAGAGAGTCGTTATATGCATCGAGTCGACGAGGCATGTCGCATATTTGAGCACGTAGGGATCATCCTTTACGGGCCGGTCCAAGGCGGCCGTACCGCTTGCTGATACGCTGGTTTCGAGCGCGAAAGTGTGATGATTGTGCGGTAGGCACATGAGCTAGCCAATGAGATTAGCCAACTCGTGTGCCCCTAGGACCCCAGTCTTCCGCATCTTCGTCCCTGTGCCGTTCAGCCCTCTGAGAGGCTACTTTCCAAACCCACGCAGGCACGCCGGCGCGAACCTAACCATTAATGTGCGGTGTCACCAACTTGGCTTCCAGGATTGCAGGATGCGTCTGCTTCGTTCGTCGAGTCCCCGAAGGTCCAATGTCGACCTTTCACAGTTGGCGAGCGAATGAGGCTGCTCAACCCCAGCCCGTTGACGCCTTTTCCTGCCGGGTATGCTGCTCGTTGGCTGGACGGCACCAACCGATGCTATTCGTACTATTTCGAGCGAGTATCAGTCGGGCTTTGGAGCTCTAAGCGCCGTTAGTGATAGGCGGGCGTCCACGCGCTTCAACTCACACATCGCCTGCGCAGTTGTCGCTTTTTCTCTACCTTCTCACTGTCTTGCTTGTTCGTCTGTCTCTTCAGCTGCAAGTTGTTGTACCGCCGCATAAGACGAAAAGCGGTACCCAAGTTCTGTTTAACCGCCTCAACTTTGATCCCTGTAGAGACCGGGGCGGGGCCAAAGGGTACCCTCCTCCAGACGCCGTGGAGCTGTCAGCGCATTGTTGTTTAGCGCGCTCTTGCTCTCTGCAGTGAGTTGGATTCCCCTGACGTCTTGCAGTTTCATACTCGCCTTTATGGAAGCTCCTGATTGCACTCCTGTGCTCCCAAATCGCCATTGTCTTCATCGTTATGCGCTTCGCGGGCCCTTGCGGATTTGACCCGACTGACGACCAACCCAGATCCAGCCCTCATCATGTCGACTGGACTAAGACAGCGCGCGAATTCGAACTCGATCAAAAGCAATTCGGTTCGAACTACAGACGTCAAACTTAAACCCCCAACGCCGGGCCAAGATGAATTCGCATTCGAGCCCTGTGCGGCCACCGGCTCCTTCCTGCTCTATGCGCAACGGAACGTGATCTTATGCCTCCATCACGACACTTTGGCAGTAGAGAGACGCTTTGACAGGCACCGGGAAGATGTGTCGTGGATATCAGTCGACACAACAAGCGAACGAGGAGCAGGTCGGTTGGTCGTCTCCTACGACGCCGGCTCGACTGCAATTGTTTGGGATCTGTTCACCGGCGACGAGGTGGCGAGGTTTGCGTCGTACGAGCAAATTAGAGTTGCGACGTGGATGAGGAACGGCAATGTTGCTTTTGGTGAGTGTCAGGGTCGGGCAGTCGCCATTGCCTGTTTCGGTGCTAACATATGCATAGGAAATGCGCAGGGCAACATCATCCTGTTCGAGCCTTCCACCTCTGAACACCTGTCCGCGAGAACCATCTTCGACCCCATCACAGCATTAGCACCAGCTTCAGACTGCAGAACATTTGCCATTGGGTACGTGCAGAAGAAATGACAACGCATCGGCATCACCACTGACAACTCTAGATACCTCAATGGCTCCATTCTAATCGCCACCCTGCAGCCATCCTTCACCATCCTGCACACCCTCACCACCCCGCGTAACCCATCGCCTATCGCAGGTCTAGCCTGGCATGGCTCTTCATCCAAGCAAAAGTCGGAGATGTTGGCCGCCCAAACATCTGACGGCGACCTCCGGGTATGGAGCGTGCCAAAGGCCCAGCATGGCAGCGATGCCCCTTGCGTGATTCGTGTTCTTAACCAAAAGGAACAGAGAGAACCCGGCCCCTGTTGGTTTGCATGGTCTAAGAATGGTAGAATCGTACAGTACACCGAAGGGTACGTCGCTTGCTTTGTATTCCCGATAGGTCCTTCGTACTGACACGTGACATCACAGTCAAACCTGCGCATGGGATGTCCGCACCAAGAGAGTGTCCTATGAAACCGTGCCAACAACTGATGGCATCGCTGCCATCTGCAATTACGGCCCTACTGCCACCCTCTTCACCATTGGACGTAATTCCAGTATCCAACAATACGACATTAACCCCAGCAACGGTCCCGCCACAATGGTAGCTAACGTTCAGCATGCACCCGCCAACACACCCCCATCACCACCCAGCTCTCTCGACGAACAGAAGCAGCAAATGGAGACACCGCTAACTGCTCTCCCATCAAAGTCCAAGACAATCCCGTTGATGCTTGCCGAATCAGAAAGCAGTGCCGATGAAGGTGTTGCCATGTCGCCGCTCCAGAAGATCGCTATGGAAATGGACCAGCTCGAAGAGGAACGCCGCGATCGCGTTGGGCCCCTCAGTCCCGTATCAAGTCGAGGCTCTCAAAGCTCCCGATCATCTGGCAGTGGTCGTGCTCCACGCTACCGATATGACAGGCCGTCGCACGGTTCGGCGTCACAGCGGTCAACTAAATCGAAGAGATCAGAAAGCTCAGGTGGCTCTGGTACCATCTTCTCGTCCGGAACATCTTCTATGGCCGGCACTTCAACGCGGGAGAGCGTTTCCATCCGATCAATCTCATCAGCTGCATCCTCGTCTCGGTACGGTTCTTCAGCTCTGCGGAAGGAAGTCCTTAGAAGTCCCGACGAATCCAAGAAGAATCAGCACATGGATCTCTTTCCTTTCACTAAAACCAGGCTTAGTGACGTACCCTTTCGCCCTACAGATCTTGGACCAGAACGTACCCCGGACGATCTTCGACTGAACATGCTCAAGGTTGTGTTCGGGTGGGAACAAGACATTGAGGATTTGGTTCAGGACGAACTGGCACGTCATCCTCCTGGGTCGGCCGCTGCTGTACTTTTGTCAAAGTGGCTCGGCGATCTTGGTGCTGACCTCATGGCTTCTATGGTTGGATCTGAGTCAATGACTTCCTCTGACTGGATGTTGCTGGCTTTGAGCAACATGGGACATGGTTCACAAAAGAAGGTCGGTGAGGCCTTCGTGCAGCGTCTTCTGGAGAAGGGCGACATCCACCCTGCCGTCGCAATCTTCCTCGGACTTGGTGAACACAATGACGCTATCGAGGTCTACGTGTCTCGCAAATATTACATGGAGGCCATTCTACTGACCTGCTTGACATTCCCAACTGACTGGCAAAGACAATCCTTCCTGGTCAGGAAATGGGGAGAGCATGCAGTATCACACGGCAAGGCAGAATTAGCAGTGCGATGTTTCTCGTGTATGGGTCTCGAAACTACTGAGCCTTGGTTCTCGCCACGTGCGCAAGATGCAGTTTTCTCTGCGCAGAAGCAGGCGCTCCTTGGCTCCCAGATGAGTCCGCCATTGTCGCCCCCTAGTGGCAGTGTTGGCAGTAGCCGAGTAGCGGCTAGGATGGCCTCGCTCAAGCTCGTCACTGACTTCACTCGCGGTCCCCAGCCTAAACAAATTGTCCGAGAAGAGGACGAGAAGACACCCATGAACGCGGGTGTCACGCCTATCGCTGAGTCAGCTATCAGTCCTGCTGTAGGCCATCACGGCTGGCTTGGCCGTGCTGCCCGCGATCCCTCCCGAGAGCCTTCTTCCGCACGAACTGCGACACCAGGTTCATACGGTAGAAAACGTTTCCCTTCGCGATCTGATACTGGCCGCAAAGCTACGAACAACGAAGTCCTCGCATCATTGGCCATTCCGGACCGAGGCCACCGTGGTGAGTCGCATCCGAGAACCGCTGTTGACAACATCGGCCGTGAAGCTGAGACGTTGCCATTCTCAACGCGTCGAGCAACAAGTGGCTCCAAAGATTTTGTTCTCTCTGCAACAACGTTCAACCCCGGGCAATCCAGTGACCATCTACCTTCACCAGCAGTAGGGGTGTTCGATGCACTCAAGGAGAAACATAGCGAGTCTCGTGGTAGCTCTCGAAGTCGGAACATTCAAGAGCTCCATCTGGACATGACAGACAATGTAGTCGAAGTCGGCCCGGAAACAGGATATACCAACAGACTTAGCCCACCTCTGACCGGAACAAGCATTAAGAGTGCTAAGGCGCGCAGCATCGACCAATACATCAGCAGCCTAGACGAAGCTAATCACTATGCGCAGAACCGCTCTAACTCGCGCAATGAGGAAAGGCCTGCTTCACGCACAGCGCGCACTCGCAGTCGCAACCGCGAAGAATCGCAGAACCGTGGGCGGTCAGGTATCCGCTACATCCGCCCTGCAAAGCGTTCTCCTTCCTCGCCTGTCCCAATGTCTCCAGAGGATGCGGGGATCTATTCTGTGAACAAGAAAGAAGCAGGGACTAGCACGGAAGATTTCGATGATGAGAGGTTTTATAAGATGAGCGTTGCTTCTCCAGTTGTTACAGAGTCTGTCGCCAGCACCCGCACCACTCGCAGCCGAGCAAGACAAGGAGTAAGCAAGACTAGGTCATCCTCCAAGACGGCTACACGCCGTAATGAGTCTCCGGAAGGAACCACGCGTGCTCGAAGCAAAGGCACCAGCCGCGCATCAAGTCGTCGCCCAGCTGAAGGCCGCGGACGAAGCGCTGTTCGGGGCGAAAACTCTCCTGTATCTCCTCAACCCATGCAACGCGACGACAATGAGGGATTTGTCGACTATGAACCTGTTCGCCCACGGCATCGCAGCGGCAGCCGCAGACCTTCAGGAAGCGGTGCAGACAGTCGCCGAGAAGCCTCCCCAGAGCGCCGTGTGCCACGGGACCGATCAATGAGTCGTAGACCTACGCCGGCTCTAAGGGAATCCAGCCGAACAAGGGGTCACGGACGGGATGCTTCTCCTGAGTCGTTGACTTCAGGACGTTCTGGTGTATCGCGCATGCGTCCTACCACAGCTTCAAGAAAGGCTTTAGCTGCTCGTGAGCTAGAAGAACGCAGGCTGTCGTTGGCTCGGCGTCCATCCGCTCCACTCATCCCTCATCCTGGAGATCTCGCATTCCGACCAATCTCTCACGAGCGGTCTAATACTGATGACATGCTGAACTCAATGTCGATGTATCGTGATCCCATTCAGAGAAGCCAAACGGCGGACCCGGAGATGACTAAGAGATATTCACCTACCAACAGGATGGGTGGTGCAGGACCAACATCGACAACATCTGTACCCATTGGCCTTCCAGCGAACCCCCGCGCCATGCGTCATCCCCGATACATGACCGCCGACCCGAACGAAGAGGATGATATCCCTGCGGTGCCTACCATCCCTGACAATATGCAACACCAACAATCTCAGTCCGGCGAGACTGACGACATTGGGCCTCTCCTTCCTGCAACCACTTTTGGTCAGCCAATCGCGCCCCCCTCACGATCTGTGTCAGCACCTCCGCAAGACATACTCCCATCCAGTTCATACAACTCGCCTACCTACCCTTCCATAGGCAGACGTCCCTCTCTAGGTGGATCTCGTGGTCATGCTCGACAGAACACGATGCCCGATGTCCTTCCTCAGACCAACTACAAGCGTCACAGCCCGCCTCCGATCACAGCTAGCATTGCTGAGACGATCCACGAAAGCCAGAATCAGGACAACCAAGTTATAGTTATCGACGCAGAAGACCATGGTCGTGCACCGCCTCTACTATCTCAGCTCCAGCACCTAGCAACCCCACCGCCGCCACCTCCACCACCGCTCAACCTCGGAGGTGGCAACGGCATTGGCATGATCAACATTGCCATTGAGGGCAACAGCCCAGGCGAGAAGCCCTTGGAAGTCTCGCCCACTCAAGCTTCTGCTACTGGATCTCCACACGCTCACCGACGGGGTCGCGGCAGCGTGAGCGAAAACCTCGGTATGACATTCAAGCGCGTAACTGAACGCATGCGTAGCACCAGCCGTGGGCCCCAGCGCGCCAAATCTCCACCGGTCAACCGCGCTGAGCGGTCTCCTTACGAGAGTGTTCCTGAATTCTCTTTCCCACGTGGACCAAACACGAGATCTCCTCCCGGTGATAACAACATGGGTAACCACCATGAGTCGTACTTCAACCAGATCCCCCCTCCGCCTCCACCTCCACCGCAGCCTATGGAGCAGGTCATCCCTCCCACTGAGAATGGTCAGCCATTTTATAGGCATCCCAAGGAGCTGAGGGCCAACATGCCACCCAATACGTTACAAGCTGGCGTATACCAGAGCGGCGAGCACACACCCATGATCTAAGCTCTCGATTTCGAGTAGCCAATGCTGCACACACCATGTACAACTGAGACGGCCTATACATTACGACATCTTCGCATCCTTCTCCACCATCCTTGGCAACATATCCGTTGTTATACTTCATCACCATTTCATTTAGCATCTTCTTTACCGAGCGTCTTTTTTTATTGCATTGCTTTATTTGTTTCTTGTTTCAGAGTACCATTTAGCGGGTCATTGTATCTTGAAACCAAAGACTTGGATCTGGGAAAACTATCTCCACCTGTTCTCCATACGCTTCGCGGCGGACATTGTCGATACCCTTTTTTTGTTCTTGTTCGCTGAGGGAACTCGGTTATATAGCTTATCTTTCTTGTGGGTAGTTGATTGAGGCATCTGATTTTTTGCATCCGCAGGGTAGGGGTATTCGCATCAGGTGGTTTGAAAGGGGAGGGTAAACCGGGGTAAATGTATCTGACGACGACGATGGAGCAGGAAGCGGTTGGTTAGATGGGGTAAAAGAGCTGGAAATCTTTCATCTTCAAACGTTAATGTACATGCTTCATGATTGCACTTCTTCTCTTTCTTGATGTCTGCTACATTGCTGCTGCTGCTGCTGCTATCTTGTGTCTTTTGTGTTCTTTCCATCTCTTGCTACATCCCCCTCCCCCTGCGGACCCAAAGCGCCCATATCACTGTTCCCCTGAAATTGCCTACTCCACTCTGAAACGTCGTGTCCATTTCCTTACCATATACCAAAGACAATCGCCTCACGGCACCAAAAGCTCGATTTCCCATGGGAGCCATTAGGCTACCCTGATTGTCTGTTTTTCTTACAACACTCCTTCATGTTAACGGTAAGAGGGCTGGTGTAATGAGGACACGTTTAGTATAGTCAAATTTGAACCGAATCCACTCTCTACCCTGCTTTGCGCAAAACGTGTGACCTTGCCATAGACTAAGTGCACAGGCTTAGTGTACCCGTAGCACAACGAGCGTGGAGCGGAAAATACAAAGAAAACTTGCCTGCAAGGGTGATTCCAACAATACTCGACAAGAAGGGGAGATATGACCGAAAACACGAGTTGCCTTACGGCCGGAAAGACACAAACGAGCACGTTTTGTTGATAAAAAAGTCAATAGAGAGAAGTAGATATGCACGTCTCATCTTCATATCTTCTGCTACCTCGCTAAGCTTCTATCATGCTAACCTCTTACTACGTGCCATTGCCTCATACTCATGTCCATGCAGTAGACGCGCGGTATCACATACTCTAAGTTATATCACAATGCCTCGTGATTGATCCATCTGTGACGCCATATACATGTCTCGTATGCCACAGTCTCTGTTATCGATAGTAGGAAGGCCATGTAAGACGAAGAGTGAGCATAGACATATTGTGGCGTATTCAATGTTGTTGGTACCGCAATACAGGCGGCGATCGTATCCGATGGCTCTGTCGTCAAAGTGCTAATGTTTCATGTCTGGTACACATGACCATCATTCCGTTCACGTAGCAGCGTTAGCACTGGCAACAGGTGCCGGAGCTGAAGCCGACGCAGCAGCAGATGCATTAGAAGCAGCTTCGCCAGCACCTCCAGCATTCACAGGGCCAGCATGCCCTCCTCTAGCACCACCTCTGCCGCCGCGTCCGCCCCTCGGTCCAAAGCCTCCCCTTGCACCGCCACGAGCAGGTCCAGTCGGGGGTCCGTTAAACCTTGGGTTTGGGCCCCTAGCAACTTTTTCTTTACGCTCAAGAACCTGCACAGCGCCTTGAGCAATCTTGATAGGACTGGCAGCCATAGCTTTGCGTAAACCCTCTGGCTCAGCAAAGTCGACGTAGGCAAAGCCCTTGCGCTTGTCGATCTCCACTTTATCGATGCCGCCGAATGTCTTCATGACTTCTTCGATGAGGGGTTCGGTAATGCCTTGGCTGGGGTTGGCGTGCTTGAGGAAGGCTTGCTTGCTTGTAGGTGCAGGTACGGGATTGGCTGGCGCTGCTTTTGAGGCATTGTTATGTGCCTGCGCAGGTGCAGTCTCGGTCTTGGCAGGAGCAGCGTGCGATTGTGTTGGAGCGGAACTGTTTCGGGCAGCAGCAGGCTCGGTTGGTGGTACCCGCGAGGCAGCTGGACCTTTAGGAGGGTTCGGTGTTTGAGGCTTCTTGAGAATTTGAGGCGCAGGGGTCTTGAGTGGTGTCTGTGGCTTCACATCGCTGGCAGTGGCCTTGTCACTGGATTTGTCGCCCTGATTGGCCTTGAATGCGCGCCGTTCCGCTCGGGTTGGGCGTTCTTTTCTGCTTGTTTGTGAAGTCTTGTCTGGAGTTGATGCAGCTGGTGACGCAACAGGCGCTTCCTTGGCCTTTTCATCCACTGCTTTGGTCTCCTTTGCTTGAGCGTTCGCATCGGGCGCAGCTGCACCAACCTCGCGCTTCGTTCCGCGTCGACGGTTGGGAGCAGGCCCTACACCAAGGTCACGCTGTAACATGGACTTTGCGAGTGCGACGTTGCCGCGCTTGCGCTCTGGTGCCGGACTGGCAGAAGACTTGTCTGCCGTCCCAGCAGTTGCCTTGGAGGACGATGCTTCCTTGTTAAGGATCTTGACGGCGTCTTTAGTTGCTTGAGCCTTGTCAGCCTTGCTCATCCGACGATTCTTGTCATTCGAGTTGAGGGCGTTCTCCTTGCCTGGCTTGGCGAGGATCTTCTTCTCACCACTATCGTCCTTGGCCTCTCCACGCCCTCTGTTGCCCTTTGCGCTCGGTTTGTCCCGGTTGGCCTTCTTCTCCCGGAGCGCTTCGATCAGAGGCGTAGTCTTGACCTTTTCCTTCTGGCCTTCATTTTCGGCAGCAGGAGGCTTAGTGATGGGGTTCGTGAGGCTCTCGAGGAAATCCTTGAAATCTTGGTCCTGGTCAATGGTGCCCTGGCGGTTGTCGTTCCTTCGGCGACCCCCAGGCATCTTCGGGTAGGGAGCGTACTCGAGCGTGGGGGGTCCGACGAGGGCGGGGTCCTGCCATGATTTGGTCGCATCGTGGAAAGTGACTGTGCGCACGTGGTCGCCGAGTGCCTTGACATGGTCCTGTCTCGTAACGTGAATGTATACACGCGCTGGCTTGGACGGTTTGGCGGCACTGAGGTGGTCAACATACTGCCCAAGCAAACAGGTCAAGAGGGACATACTCGGTCGATATCTTGCCTTTCCTGTAGTTGATCCAATCAATCTTGCCAGCACCCAGTTTCCATTCGTCGCCCAGGGCCTCCACAAACTCGGCCTTGGTGAGGCCCGGGGGCAGTCGCCGACATATGAGCTTCAGGCGGGGCTGAGCAGCCTTTGGGCCGCGGGACGTCTGGACTTGGGGGTTCTTCTGGAGGAGTGTGACGGGTAGGACGCCGTTGGCATTGGTCTGAGGAGGGGCCATGGAGGACGCGATTGTTCTTGTGCGGGTTGAGTTTGTATACAGCTAGAAGGGTTGCAGCCCTGGCGTATGAGTGAGTAGCTGTATACCGTAGGTAATTGCAATGTAGCCCTCGGCCGGGTGATTTATCTCACTTGTCGTTGAGTTGGGGCGAGGTGGAGGAGAGAGCGACAGCTGCTTTGGGTGAACATGAGAGATATCGGGCAGGAAGGTAGTACCAAGCGCGGCGACTGTTTTGGATACTCTGAGAGACACGGCGACTTTGGCAATGACGCAGCGACAATGGGCGCGCCTTGACGAGGCAGTGGGCAAGGGCAGGCGCGAACGGCAAGCGCCGAGGGGCGGCAGCTGCCCCACCGAAACCCGCACCTCGACTGCACCTCAACCACGACGGCACATGCCCAATCCCCGCCCTCTCTAGCTGCAGACGACATAGCCTCCTCTCGCCCACTGCCTTTGCTTTTACTGCCAGTCATCTTGACCCATGATACCCTACAGCCGACGCCTCAGCACCGCCATCGTCACACGACCAAGCTCCTTCCCGCCGCCATTGTCGCCCTCCTGCATCTAAACGCACCGCATCGAGCCATTCTTGTTGACTCTGACCTGGACGACGACTGAAACATGGGGAAAGACAGCGATGTTCCACAGCCAGGGCCTGCGCGCCTCGCAAAGGGCGCAGGACCCGATGAATGGCTGGAGCAAGCCAAGCAATGCAAGTACTTGCCCGAGGCAGACATGAAGCGACTATGTGAGATTGTCAAAGAATGTCTCATGGAAGGTATGTGATTTGGAATCTCAAGACTGCCATGTCCGAAGGAAGAAGACGAGGTTAGACGGTGAACAGAGACTAACGCCATCCATCAGAATCCAACATCCAACCCGTAAGAACACCCGTCACGGTATGCGGAGACATCCACGGCCAATTCTATGACCTTCTCGAGCTCTTCCGCGTCGCTGGTGGCATGCCCAACGACTCCCCTGCCGCACCCCTCGCGCCGCCAGTCACATTACCAAGCACAATTAACCCCGCCGATCTCGAGCCTCCCACAAGCATAACAGATCCCAAAGTAAAGCGCAAGATGAAGAGGCGCTTCCAGCGCGACCCCAATTACACAGGGCCTGCGAGTCCTCCTGGCGGTGATGGCGATGAAGAAGGCGATGACGATGAGGAGGAGGAACGAGGTCGAAGCAGGAGCGTCCACGACAGGCGGAGTATTGGATCTGCATCCGACGCAGACTCGGCCAAAAACACAGTTGGCGGAAATGGCCAGCAGAATTTCATCTTCTTGGGCGACTTTGTCGACCGAGGATATTTCAGTCTGGAGACTTTCACTCTTCTCATGTGCTTGAAGGCAAAGTATGCATACGAAATCGGAAAAGCACATTATAGATACTGACAGCGATAGATTCCCAGACCGCGTCACACTTGTCCGTGGAAACCACGAATCGCGACAAATCACCCAAGTCTACGGTTTCTACGAGGAGTGCCAAACCAAGTACGGCAACGCTTCAGTATGGAAGGCCTGCTGTCAAGTCTTCGACTTCCTCGCTTTGGCCGCCATCGTCGACGGAAAGGTACTTTGCGTACACGGCGGTCTCAGTCCCGAAATTCGGACATTAGATCAAATCCGCGTCGTAGCCCGCGCCCAGGAGATCCCCCACGAGGGAGCCTTTTGCGACCTTGTGTGGAGTGATCCTGAAGAGGTAGACACTTGGGCAGTCTCGCCTAGAGGTGCAGGTTGGTTGTTCGGAGACAAGGTGTCTTCAGAAGTATGCATCCACCACGTTTCTCCCTTCATCCTCCAGCTAACATATTGTTACAGTTCAACCACGTCAACGGTCTCCAGCTTATCGCCCGAGCCCATCAATTAGTCAACGAAGGCTACAAATATCACTTCAAAGACAAGGACGTTGTGACTGTCTGGTCAGCACCCAACTACTGCTACCGCTGCGGAAACGTCGCTTCCATCATGAACCTGGGCGAGGACCTCAAGCCAGAATTCCAAATCTTCAGTGCTGTTCCCGATCATAAGCGTGCTGTCCCAGCTGGGAGGGGAGGTCGCGGAGAGTACTTCTTGTAAACAGCGTGTGGTGGTGTTTGCTTGTGGATAGGGAAATGGAAAAAGGTCGCTGGTTGCACGACGAGACGGGCGGATGTGTGTGTATATGCATTCTTACGATATGATGGAGAAGTGGAGACTTGAATGAATACCCCTGGGAAGATGAACGACCGGAATGGAATGTATACGGATTTTGAACATGGCTTGTACGATATGCGCGTTGACGGAGTCTTGTTGGTAGTAGTATTATAAACGGTATGAATACGTTTCGCATATCCATTCGCCTTTAGTCTGGATATCTATTTACATGCAACAGAGAAAAGACCCATGATCTGGCTATTAAACAGTTCCAAAGCACCCTACCGTAGCGCCATGTCGTGTCATGCATTGATAGTGAAGATACATTGGTCGATCTTCATCGCTACGTTGGCGTTCTGCAAACGAGTGGTTGTGATGTTGGATAAGCTCATGAACATCGGTAAGTGGCCTTGCTATGTTTCAAAAAGTTTGAATAGACACGGGGAAATTTAGGAATCCACTCCAGTGTCCCTTTGTCCAGATGTGAAAAACCAAAGCTAGCCATCAGCTCCTGACTATAGTGACAGGCACAAGTAGTCTGACACGATTGCCCGGATTGCAAGATCTACGCTAGCCTGTATGCTATGAGGGGACTAGTGATGAAGTGAGGCCCACTCAAACTGCTGCAAGACTGGATCCTGATGAACCAGTGCGATATGAGTGTAGTTGTAGCACGTCGTAGTCTACACAGGTTCAATTGATGAGACGAGGATATCCACCGGAACATCTTTGGAGTAGTGCATGTGGAGTATGGCTGACCTCAGAGAAAACCCTACTTTGTAAGTACGTTGCTCCAGTTTTAAGTTGATCGAGCTCTTGAGAGTTGATAGTCGGGGTGCTTGGTTCATCAAATCCTTCCACGATATGCCCTCATTGCGGACTCTGCCTTGGAACAACAAGTCTCTTTCTGCGGCATATGGCTCCGATTTAAACGTCAAGATACGATGCATTGCAGATCCGCCGTCATGGACAACAACCATCATAACCTCGTGCCCATGTACAGAGACGCAGACTTCAGCAGCTAGTACTGTTGTATAGGTGCTTGTACCATGGGGCTTCGATCGTAAGAACAAGGCATCGACCTGATCCCAAAGTGCCAATGGAGCAGTGGAGTAAACCTTGAAATCCCTTTGCCCGCGAGGAAACTTAATCGCGCTGTGACGATGTGGGGACATAAGTTCGAACATATCGTACCCATATCCATATCTGGGGATATCGGCTAAGATGTAAATCTTGTCGTCTTTTTCAAGCATCCACCCAGGAGAGTCCTCAAGCCTGCCTTCATTATATACTAGTGTCTGACTCTCGATACGACAAAATGAGCCGGGTCCCAGCTTTCGAAGATAGATTCCTTGCTCCCTAGAGTCGGTCGTTTTTCCAACAATGAGGACATAATGTGGAACAATATCCATTTCTCCAATTCCAGTATGAGGGCCTTGTAGTTCTCCAACTACAGGATGATAGCCGTATAGTTCAAAGTGACCAGTGAGTAACAGGCCTCTATTTGTGAGTGCAAATTCGGCTGTCAAGGATTTGTGAGGTTCGAGGTCCGGACAATCTGCAAACCCGGTCGGCGAGCTGGCAAAAATTCCCACTAGGTCATTGGGAATTTGACCTGGCGTGCCTATCCACGCGAAGATGCTGAGGTCGTTGTGTCGTTTGATGATCTCTTCTTGTAGTCGTCGAAAGGCTCTTACACCCTCTCCATATATCAATGGCATGTAGACATCGAATATACCGAGGAGACTGTATGCAATGTCTTCTCTTCTTTTCGTCTTACGTTTAGATGCCCACGACATTCTCGTGGCAATGGTTTCGTCAAAGATTTGTTGGGGCCTGAATAACACGCCTCGAGGTATACGAGTAATCTTAGAGATGATATCGGCGTGACGCTGCTTGGTACCTACACAATCCCAGGCATGGTTGTAGAACTCCACTTGATTCGGAGCAAGCAGTTCTTGTAATGTCCAGCCTCTGCTAAACCAGCGGCAACTTGGAAATCCTATCTCGGGTTTAATATCGGAAGCAAGGTCGTCGAGCCAGACATAGCAGACCAGTGCTTGTTTGTACCATTCGAACATGGAGTTGATGGATTCCGTCAACTCAGCGCTACTAGACTTGTCGACTACAACCAATCACCCATCCGTTAGCGAACATCAAAATACTGACAGAAGACATGTGGATGTTCTCCGGGGGATCTAGCTTACTGTGTTCGTATCAGCTGCGTCCTTGATGTTTTCGTGCCGATGACCAACCTGCAGCATGTGTCAACCCAGAAGTACTCCAGACCCTCGCTTAAAACCTGCTTGGCGCAGAATTGGATCTTGCTATAACCTCGCTTATGCTTTCCAGTGTCGTTCATAAAGTCTTGATAGTTGACTTCTTCGCTGTCGAGGCCCCAGGTATGTGAGAGGATAGCATAATCCGGAATCTTGTCATCGAAGAATTCCTGGAGGCTAAGGCTGCGGCCGTCGTCTCCAGCGTGCACAAGGCGCATTGCCAGTCCGACAATGACGTATGAGCGCTAGGGCGAGATGAGCATAAATCGAAATTCTCTGGCGAAGCGGCGATGATTTCACGCAACACGACGAAGCAAGCTGAGTGGAAGCAGGCTGAGAGAAGAATGGCGGGGCAGGAACGCACAAGGCTGAACTCGCCACCACGTGGCAATGTAAGCTTACTTATAGCGATATTCCCAAAAGGTATGGAGATTGACAAGACTGAAATGTGGAAGCTGGAAGTTGTGCAAGCGTAGAAAAAAGTATCTCAGCACCACGGCATATAATCTCCGGCACCCGCGGCGCGCTACAAAGCACATTGCTCCTCAAAGCTCGCTCTTCCATGAGTGATCCTCCGGTAAACCCAATTGTCTCCGCTGCGCATTCAAAATGTGCTGCAAGAACACTGGTTTAATGCTCAGCACACCAACAAGACTCAACATCAACATCAATACAACACCCAAGACCACACCCAGGGCAACAGCATCCTGCTGCCTGCTCACTTTCCTCCACCACGCCTTGGTATCCTCCAACGCGATATTCTCATCGTGGGATCTACGCGCACTCATCATACCCGGCAGCCCATCAAGCGACCGATGATTGTACTGTTTCTGGTAATCGGCGAGCTCTTGCTTCTCCAGCGTCTTACGCGCCCAATTATCCATGGTGTCACGTTGCTTGAAACCGTTCTCTTCTTCCTTGTTATGGTCGTGGTCCACATAGGTGATAGCGTCACTTGCTGCTGCTTCTTCTTCCGTGTCTGCGGCCTTGCCGCCTGCGAGCTGAGGCACGCCGAATCCACAGCTGGTCTGGACTTTTTGAATCTTCAACACAATAATGGCACGCGCACCGGTGATGTCAACCGATTCGCCATTCTCTGCTGCCATCTTTGCGCGCAATTGGCCATAGTACGGATCCCATTTTTCGACTACACGTCCTTTGCAGAACAGACGCATAATCTGGGGAGAGGGTCCAAAGGAGGAGAACATTACGGTGACACGGCCATTTTCGTAGACGTGGGAGATGGTTTCACAGCCGCTGCCGGTTGCGTCTAGGTATGCGACGGTCTTCGGGCCGAGGACAGAAAAGGTTCTTGATGGGTGGCCTTTGGGTGAGATGTTGATGTGGTCTCCAGCCCAAGGAGCACTGGCGACGAAGAATAGAGATTGGCGGGAGATGAAATCGATGTGGTCCTCGGTGAGAGAAGGGTAGAATTTGACCATGTTGAAAGAACTGGGTATGAAAGCAAGTAGCGGTCAAGATTGAAACTCTTCGTCTTTGGAATGCGATATAAAAGGAAGAAGCCGGCGAAAGTCTTGCTTTGGATCAACCGATATGTGCAGGAAAGATCGACGCAAGTAAAAGAATTTGTTTGGAATCTGCGTCGGATAGTCCTCTCGTTGGGGACAAGGAGACTGAAGGTTTAGGGCCGGATTCCGATAATGAATCGATGAACGAGTATGATGACAATAGTTACAAACAAAACCTCAGTAAGATGAGAAATATGCGAATCCGGTAATATACAAGTTGTGTATGTTTGCAGATAAGCAAATGCGGTATTAAGATTTGGACTGCAAGAAAGCTGCAATGCACGGTAACGCCGCCTTGCCCCATCAGTATTAGCTTAAAGGCAGCTGGAAGGCTAGTGGGGGCGGGGCGCATCATCCAGAGACGCAGCGAGTTGCGACACAAGCTTTGTAACGCCTATAGCAATTCTCAACATGGTGCTCGCACTAGCATTGAAGGCCGAATTGAACGGGTGAGTATCTTGTACCCCTTTTCAGGACTTGGTTAATAGTGATTAGAGTCACCGACCTCCGCCCAAACGACACGGAAGACGCGCCCTTTTTCTACACTTTCAAAGTCCAATGCACGTCATGTCGCGAAGTACACCCCAACCCCGTCTCGGTAAACCGCTTCGAGATGAACGAGCAAAGCGGCAGCAAGGGTGAAGCCAACTTTGTCTGGAGGTGTAAGAACTGTAAGGTCTTTCTGCCCTACACCCTCTTCTCCACGTCCAACCGCTGACATGGCCTGTAGAGAGAACACTCAGCGAACATCAAGGCCGCGCCCGCATCCTACCCACAAAGCGACCCGCCCAAGAAGATCAACATCCTCGAGTTTGACTGCAGAGGCCTGGAATTTGTAGAATTCAAGGCTGAGGGAGAATTCCTTGCGACGGGCATAGAATCTGGCACCAAGTTCTCGGGCATCGAGCTGCCCGATGGCGAATGGTACGACTACGACGAGAAGGCTGGCGAGGAAGTCAGCATCACAAATGTCGAGTGGGAGATACGTCGCGCATAGCATGTGCCCAGTGGTGTTAGATGAAGGAATGTGCCACGAGGCTTCGAGAAGGGCACAGTATGTGTTACCTGAGTGAGCTCATGCATGAAGCACATAAGAAGGAGAGAGGACATGGGAAGTCACCATGACGAGACGTTGTCAAAGTGTGCATGTGCACATGTGAGGTGAAGAGGATGCGAGTGCTGATCACATATATAAATGGACACATTCGTCAAGACAGACTTCTACCAGTACCACTAATCCAACATGATCCGCAGCTCAATTCATGCTCTGATGCCTCCAGCGAAACCTCCGTATCTATACGAGTACCCAAGTTCAGGGCTTCCAGCCTCCCGTTCTCGACCTGAACAAACCCCTCGGATCAACCTCATCCGCGACCCTCTTCGCCAACGCGCGACTCTCAGGCCTCAGTCTCCCAAAGTAGTCCTGCCGAAAGAATCCATAGTTCATAAAGATCGGCAGATATGCTTGCGGCAACTTGTCCTCTGCTTGCCACGCCAAAACTCTGTCTCTCACACCCGAATAGGTAGCTTCCATTGTATCGGCCATCTGCTCATATAGTGACTGCGGTGTGAACGCGTAGTTCATCTCGATGATGATGCGGTCTACATCTGCATCGGCATCGATCAGGTCGGGGCTGAGTTCTCTTGCCTTTTGCGCAATCTTCTTGGGAAAAGGCTGCCATGCGATGGACGCCACAATACCAGGTACGAGAAGTGTGGTGCCGGAGACGTTTCTCCAGTGATCATGCAGACCCTCCATGACCTGGACGGCGTTCGCACTAGACGGCAAGGGGATTGTCTCTGTGGCGATGTCTACAACATTGCCTTTGATCACGACCCAGTTACTCAGTGCCATGAGATCGGCGTAGGTGCGTGTTCGTGTGGTATCGAGAAGAGGATTGACATCGGTAAAGTTCTTGAACAACCCAGCTGGAGGCGTCGGACCATCGTAGAAGAGAAAGATGATCCACGAGTCGACTATGTTGATATTGGCTCGCTCTGCTGTTACTATCACAGCAGCCTTTTCGTCCTCGTTGTACCCTGTCCAATCGCGAACGGCCTGGAGGAGCTGCTTGTCCTTCTTTGGCGTGCGCAGGTACACCAGGTTGCCACCCCAGATGTCGCCCTGTCGATGAGCTTGCAATTTGTAATTTGTTACTACACCATAATTGTTACCGCCTCCCTTCAAAGCGACGAAAAGGTCGGGGTGGTTGTCGTTCCTGATGTGACCGATTGTGCCATTGGCGAAGATCATCTCGTACTCGAGCACGCTTGAAGCAGCCCATCCATACTGCGTCGACATGTAGCTCAGTCCTCCGCCGAGCACTAGCCCACCAACTCCAGTGTTTCCAATGCGACCACCGACAAAGGTCCAGCCTGTGCCTTGCAGTTTGGAAGCGATGCCGTCGAGCCGATTACCAGGGCCTACGTCGACGATACCCGTGCTGCGATCGAGCTCGGCCTGATCGAAGTGCTCCATAGCAATGAGTGGGCCTCCGGCAACACTGCTCCATCCATTGTTGGGATTGTGGCCTCCAGATTTGACGGCAAAAGGTTCGGTGGTGTTGGCGAGGATCCGTACCACCGTTGAAACTTCTTCTACTGTTTTTGGGAAGATGATGCATGATGGGAGAAGGGCAGAGCATGAAGTTGACCAGTACTGAGTTTGCTCTTCGATATAGGCCAAGTTCAGAGCGTAGGTGACGTTGATGTAGCCTAGAGAAGCAACGGATGAACAAGTATCGCCATATGCCAAAGATGAAAATAGCAATGTAGCGATGAGACGAACAATTAATCGCAACATGATGGACCGAAGACGAATGGCTTGATCGTGATACCGTTAGCATCATCGTGATTTGCCGTTCCATTTATACCCGTCACCAAGGTAATACAGCTATTGATGACGTCGTGCGGAATACCTTGGAGATGGAGAATCTGATGTGCTTAAAGTCATGCCTGTGCGTGAAACCACGGCCAGGTAAGCTCCACGTCCAAGAAAAGTCCGGTGGGATATGTCAAGCTGTACGAACGACGATCATAGCCATGACTGTCATACCAAGAATCGTTCGAGATAGTCAGCAACATCGCTTGCTCAAAGGGGCAATGAAATTGGGACCAAATGCTTGTATTGTACTACAACCAAGGCGGGGTATCGCAACGGACATGTCGAGCTGGAATACCGTCCTTCTATGCATGACCTCTTCCCTCTCGTGTCTGATTCGTGTGTGTTCAAAACGACTGTTACCCATGATTGGCGCATCTTCTTTGCCCCCTGATGGACCTCTCGAGTCAAGCAAGAGCATCTGCAACTCCGCTTACACAGGAAAATTGAATCGCCAATGCCGGCTGCAGTCGGTAGCCTTGATCGAGGATTTGCAACGGGATCTGGAAGACCCCAAGAATCGTCGAACCGAACGAGGAGTATGGAGGGTCGCGTGTCAATAGTTGTTGTCTTGGTCCTCGTTCTCGTAATGTCGTTGTATAGGCTGAATACGTGCAAGCTCGCTTCGCTGCAGGCTGTCACACCCAGAAGGCATACCCGCTGCAGCTGTAGCGCTCGATACGAGATTAAGAGTAACACGAAATCAATTCCAGGACCTGCTTTCATTAGCGTAGAATAGACTGTCCAAAAGCGGAGCACTTATGAAAAAAGAGTTTGACCATCCCGAAGGACGGTCAGGAAACCACCCACAGCAACTCCATACTACGCCCTCCCGTTTTCGCACCAATGACACCACAAAAGCCCACACCGGTAAACAGGCGACGATGCATCCAAGACTATGGCCAAGAGAGCATTGCGAAGAAGGGTGGAGATATGACCGCGAAGCCTAGCTGGATGGAGGAACGAAATACCTGCAGAAACTTGTCGCAGAGGATGACGACAGACAGGTCTAGACCTTGAGCCTCACTCTAGAGAGGTCCTGTCTCCATCTACTTGTTCGAGAAACATTGCATTGTGGCATTCAGTGTCCGCCAGCGTACTGTCATCAGTCCTCCTATCTTTCCTGCGAAGCTCTCTTTTCGTATGGTCAAGCCTGAGAAAGCAGATCGATGTAGCCGAGTTTGTGGGCCTTGTGAATGCCATTGAGTTTCCACAGAAGGCGCCGTCGCATCTCCAACGATAACAGTTCCTCTCATCGTCACAAGATCTTCTTTTCCGTGTTCCAAGCTGCTTCAGCAACAACGTCCTAGTCAGTTTCGCACAGCAGCCACGCAACACTGACGATTGGACGCATTCATCGTTGGGTGTCAAGCCAAGATGCTTCTCTCTGATTGTGGTAGCATGAATTCCTGAGACTAGTCTTTGTTTCCTCTTCGCTTCCATCAGGAACGAATGGCATGATGATACGGACAAAGGACATCCTCAAAAGCCGCATGGTCGATCGCAACAGCGAGAGAACTGTTCGGTCGGATGGGTAGACGCTCGTCAACTCACACGTAGGCTGAACATACGTGTTGACAATTAACGCGACTGGTCAGATATCACTCTGGAGTGACGAGTGCCGAATAAGTAAAACATGCACCGGCTTCGGAACGCAGCAGAAAACGGCAGAGGTTGGGGATCTGATCAGGGCTTTCGTCCTTGTGGGTAAGATGCACGGGTAATCCGTCGCCGTGTACTAGTCGAGCTCGAAACGATTGTCGCACAGTGCGAACGCTACGTACTTGATCCAGCGCATGTAGACCCAACAGAATGTTCGTGCGCGAAACTACAAGACATCAGATCCGGAGCGTGACGGTCCGCCAAATTGGACAATACCAACCTGCGGCGTATCGAGACCTCGCTGGGCTTTCTGTCTTGTATTTCACGAGACTGCCTTTCCGACGAGTGGATCTCACGCCAGCCGAGACCGAACAGGTTGGTACGTCTGTGTGTTAGGCTCGACCAATGCCGAGACCGCGCTCTTCTTCTGTCTGGTTGCTGTGCGTACGGTGTCTGTTGAGTACATGTGATCGTTGGCATCAAGCATTGCAGCTCCCGTACGACCCTCGGAAACGAGAGATAATGTTTCGGCGCGATGACTGAACACAAAGTCGATCCCCACGAGAGGCGACCGGCATCTTACTTCCGAGCCCTCCTCTTCGCGTTATCGCATTTGTTGTGAAGCTATCTTTCGTGACCAGAGTCTGTTGTACAGATGAGATGCCGACGTGGTCCTCGTAGGAGGACTTTAATACCCCGACAGGCACATGTCATCTCAATTTGAGCTCCCGCTCCCGTACCTCGAGCCTCCCTTTTGCACACGAGCAAGACGGTCCACGTGAGCAGACCTATATGCAGAGGCTAATCGGGAGGTCGGCGACATGACCGCGATGCTATCCATTGTGCTAAAAGCACATCGGACACCAAAAGATGATTAGGGTTAAGATCCGAGCCTGCCCTCCTCACACACAACCCTCGTGTTGCCACTTAGGCGCACAAGCCGGCATACAAACGACCCATCGAGTCCATACCAAGAGGCTCGGGTGTGTGCCAACCGTACAAGTGCGTGAGGCGCGGACGAACCGCATTCCAGATGGAAGACAGACATCGGTAACTGTGGGGGAATTGACATGCGCCATGCTTGCAAGCAAGCGAGAGAAGAAGTTGTGTCTAAGGAGAGCGTTACGCGACTGTCCCACCGCAAATGACATTGTCAGAAGATGTTGAAGACGTATGTATGGACACGGATCCAATCGAGATGCGATGAGAAGTAGTAGAGTTTGGACAGAGATCAACGTCGTGTAGTGCTGGGTGTGCTGGGGTGGTTGTTGGATTCTTGTCCGTCAGAGCTGGCGAGATGGCGCGTTGCCTCACGCCAAGAGATTCGCGTCGTTCACGCGTCAGATTGACGTTAGCACGTGCGGCCCACCCTACCCTTACTAATCAGCAACATCCATGTCCATCTGTCCATAGCCATCGCATCTTTTCGCCTAATCGACGGAGAGGAGCATCAAGATCTTGGAAGATAAGTCGATGTCTTGTAAGCTTCTCGAGTGGAGTCAACCATATTCATCACAGGTGGTCCTGAAGCTCGGGCGGACCGGTCGCATTCGTACTCACAGCCGCGCCAGCACATACAAGAAGGTATCGCGAAACGACTGAGCACGATGGGAGCGGTTGAAGATGCAGTTGATGCGGCAGCTAACTTTATTGGCCCTTTCGTCGACAAAAACCGCAAGTATAGTGCCGACGTTCCTACTGACACTCTTGTCGAACAAGCGCTTGTTCATGTCCAGGCCATCAATACTGCAGACTTAGCCGCAGATCCCAATGCCCCCTACGATGCATCACTCGCTGGTGTTGTCTATGGTCTCGTAGACCTCATTACAATCCTCGCTGTCATTCCACGTTTGTCTGCTGGTGTTGCATTCAGCCAACGACCAAGATCAGTTCTGACCGCTGTAATCTTCACACCACCAAATCACGATTTGGATGCGTTGGCAACTGTCATCGAGATTCTGTTGCCTATGCTGGAGCAGAAAGGCTCTGGTGTGCAACCGCTAGTGTCCCAGAGGATCCTTCCGGACATCATCTCTGCACTCGTCGAGCTGTCTTACTCTCCTGCTTCGTCCGAGGAAGTAAAGTCCAAGTATTCAGTAGTATACGAAAAGATCATGAAGGATACTCCGACTTCTCGACTGCTCCCAATCTTGACTACGTTTCTCCAGCAGCCTCTTCCTGATTGGCTGAAACCTGCCATCACCTCGGAACTGTCTTCTATTCCTCTGCGAACACAAGGCGTTCGCCACACCATCGAGTTTCTCTCGCTCTCCTACTTGTCGAAGAATTCACACGTACCTCAGGGCGCATCTGGGCCGCAATCACAGATACCCATTCCCCTAGAAGCTGTTTCGCAAGCTTCAAAACTCCTCGTCTTGCCACCGTCTGGAATCAGCCAGGATCAATGGCTAACAAAGCTTTCACCTCAACTGCTACATCTTCTAGATGGTAACGAGGGTAAGGAACTTAGTCGAGCAGCTGGGCAGATTATCGCTGGTGGAATCCTAAGTAAGAAGACAACTGGTGCTCCGGGAACTGTGGGATGGGACACGTTCGCAAAGCCTTTGTTCCAAGCAATCTACCCCAAAAATGTCAACGCATCAGGAATTTTGCAACATGACACTGGCCATACGATAATACAGGAGAGCAAACTCAAGATAGCATTGAGACGAGTCAAGACGATCTTGTCATCATACTCTCATGGCGGGTTGATCAGACGTCTCATCCACCCTATTATTCTCCCACTTTGGGCCTTGCTCAACTATGCCAAAGACCGCCCCTCGCTAGACAAGGAATGGAGTATGCTTCCTAGCCTCATATTGTCGCGGTACATGGAGATCGCCTGCGATACAAAACAAATTGACAATATCGCAACCAACCTTTTTTGGGATGGCGACAATGCTTGGACACTCGGGCCCGGGTCTCAAGGCGGCGTCGAGATTCGCACTCGTTCGAAAGACAAGACTAGAGGGATAGATGCTATGGGCAGCATCTTTGGACGGATAAGTGACCTAGATAATAGAGTCACTGTTCTCGTCACGCTCCTTACCGAAGCTAATGTCTCCGATGACGCAGCTGGCTCCATCTTCGTGAACGCTACCAAGCGGTGGCTGGTACCAGAGAAGCCCATAACGAAATCGCTCACAGACGACGACTCTGACACCGATCCGTTATCGGCACTTATTGACGCAAAGCTATCGGAAGCTCTGGCGCATCGTTTCCAGGGGAAGTTTGCCAGAAGTCCACAGCATGTCATCGACCTTATGGCACAACTGGTATCAAGTCATGTGAGCGGGCACAAAGCACGAAAGGAGAAGTCAGTCAAGCTGCGTGCATCCAAGAGAGCGATGCTGAACAATATTGTATCGGAACGTGGTACGATGAAAGATCAGGAAGAAGGTGAGGCTATGGATGACGACTTGGCGACTTTTGCATTAAGCATCCTGAACACGCTACTGGCATCGTCAGAACTAAAGAGGACGCCCGCAGTGATGGAAACCGTACACGCACTTCTCCCTTCGCTAGCCTATCTTTCGCAGCCACAATCGCAGGCCCAGCCGCCCATATCGTCTACGATAAGCAACTCCGCCGCCACGACTCTCCATCTCATCGCTCCCACTCCTACCGGCCCAACTCCAGCAGCAAAACCAACGACTGATCCACTAGCCGGGCACCGCGATACGTTGAAAACATGCCTTACCGAGCTACAATCACCCGACCCTCCAAATCGCACTTGGGCTTTGAACACGGTGCACAAGCTTCTCAAGAACCCGGCTGCGTTTCCCGCCCTCGACATACCGTCTCTTACACATACGCTCCTTTCGGCTTCACTAGCAGATCCAGAGTCCTACGTCCACTTGGCCGCAATACCCGTTCTCGTTACCTTGGCGATACGCGCTCCCAAACCTGTAGTCGGCATACTAGTCGATGCATTTATCGACATTGACGAGCGATCGCTAAAGCTAGCGCGAGGTAAGCAGACAGACGAAAAGGAACGAGAGCTCAGGAACGCCTTGGATTTCAGACTGCGTGTCGGAGAAGTTCTCAGCACAGTTGTCGGCGGCGGCGGCGACGACTTCTGGAACGCACGCGAAGATAGTGGACTGCGGTTTCGATGCGCGAAGCAAGTCGCCGAAGCCTGCCTTTCGCTGGCGAGTCGGCGGGGCCAACGCAACCAAACACTCTCGGCACGAACCGAAGTTGCGGAAGATGAGAGGAGGCTCAGAGAGGAAGGCGAGGCTGCTTGGGGTGGACCGGTACCCAACATCCTTGAGCCTGAGGGCGCGAACCCGCAGGAACAAGCAGAGTATGAGGCGCTGCAGAAGATTGTGAGTGGATGGGAAGACACGGGGATTGAGGAGGATGTTCGCGTTCGTGCTTCTGGTCTTAGTGTGCTGTCTGCTGTCCTGGAGCATCGAATGGATGTTTTGCGACAGTCTATGATCGATGCGACTTTGCAGATGGTGCTATTGATTCTTGCCATGGAGAAAGAAGAAGCTAAAGCTCTGTTGCGGCGCTCGGCCGTGCTTGTCATCCTGGGTTTGCTACGTGGCGTTGACGCGGAGATGGAGAGCGGGCGGGAAGGCACGGTCGGTCTGAATCTGAAGCAGCAAGAAGAGGTGGAGCGAGTAGTGGAATGGGTACGGGATGAGGATACAGACGAGCTCGTAAGAGACCATGCAGCAGGTGTCGTAGAGGGTTTGGAAACGATGAGGCTCAAGCAGCTGTACAAGATCAGAGACGAAGGTGTTAGGCTAGGACCTGACCTTGGGCTAGAGGGAAACCTTCGCGGACTCAATGTGCAGCCTCGAGCTGACAATGAACAAGGCAAGAAGAAGACGATTATAGAAGAGATAGAGTAGTCGGATGCGGCTTGAATAGTTGATAATATTGTAGCGCCTCACATCCCAAGCTTGGTATCCTGACTTTTTACCCATTCCAATTGTGCGCCTATCTGCTTGGTGGTATCTCTAGTGCGCATACTACGTGGAGCGCACCTGCTGCCTTGGTGCTACAAGCGCATCTGGAAGGTTTGCGCTACATGCAGTGTCTGCGTGCCCCCAATGGGCGCTCGTCATGGCGATCGACGTCAGTTTGTGTCGCGCATCGTCTTGTCTGCCCTCGTAGGGGTGCATCAACCACTCATGGCCGTGTCCTTGGTCGCCTTGGGTTCCACCTCTTCAGCCTTTCCGATCCAGAGAACGTTGTTGCACCTTATGAGGACCTGGCCGAGGGTGCCTGAGCTGACGCCGCCTACGAATTCTTCCGTGTTGGAGAGCTGGATGTTCATGTAGAGGTCGACAGAGACGAGTCTGCCCTTGTACTCGGTCTCACCCCACTTCAACCTGACGACAATGTCTTTGTCGACTCTGCGCATGTGTTAGCGCGTGCTCTGTGAGGAGGGTATGCGACGTACAAGCTTTGGAGCAAAGGACGCGGGTTAAAGGGTGCCACTGCCTGATTGGTGTTAGCTTCACGCATGACTATCGGATGGAGAAGAGAGCTTACAGCCATGTTTGCGACTCCAGTAATGGGCTCGCTGGTGGTTGGAGGTGAGTTTGGTGGTTACAACGGTGATAGTCGCGGTACCATGGCGGCCGTGCCTGCAGCTTTGGAAAGTCATCGGCAAAAGGTATCGCCGATTGGCCGAGTGCTTCACCGCGGGGAAGCCGCGCGACACAAGATCAAGCTTGGGTGGATTGATGGTGTAGCTGAGTCCAGTCCTCTCACGTGTGTTTCACATCATTGCCGAACAAGGGACGCATGGCGTATCCAGTTCTTCTCGCCTTCCACAGCCATGGCAGTACATGGCTCAAGGTGTAGAGCAACGCGACTAGTGGGCGCGCTAAGGATTTATTCCATCTTTGTATCATCCAACCATCTGCACCACCTGCGACCGGCCAGCATTGCACCCTCTTAAGACGACATTTCTACCTACCAGCTCTTCGGCACGACGCTAAAGCCGCCCACCATCAACTACACCATCGCGCCCACCACGGTGCGCTGTCTCGCCCTGCCGCCCGCGACTCGCTTCTCCGTCGCCCCTCCGTTCCTCGCGCAGCATGCCACGGTAGCAATGCGAGCCATCTGGTCCCGGGCAACTTCGAACCCGGGTACCTGCAGATGCATATCGTGTGTCTCCAATACCACCGCTCTCGCTACATGTGGCCGAAGGACGGCTCTTCGCGGCTCATGGGCAGTAGGCACACCCACGTCGACCTTCGTATATACGACCATATTTGCAGCGGGTCTGGCTATCGATGCGAAAGCAAAAGCTGCTAGGAACAAACAATGGGACAAGGCATTCTCGCAGCTGGCCGGAAGTGCCCATCATCCGTCTTCAGTAGAAGATTTCAAAGACGCAGAAGCCGCGACGGATGCTGTTTCCCTACCCCATGGTGATCACGGCTTGACCTTCGATGATCTACCCAGGGACCTGGACTGGAATGCCCTGCAGCGCGTCGTAGGCATGGAATTGGAAGAAGACCAGGTGTTGGAAACTCAAGAAATCCAGTCGCAAATTCGAGATTACGCCAACTTGGCTTGGGAAGATCTGCAATTCGATTCTAGGTTTCCAGGCGTTCAGCAGTTAGAATGGCCAGCAAACACCGGCGCTGATCTTGTACGCAACAACTTGCCACCACAGTCATTATGGGCGCCAGATCGAATGCGTATCATAGCGCTACGAAGGAGACATACCTGGAAAAAGCTGGCCATGCAAGAGCTGTCTGTTGGGCTGCTCATACACGATCTGTTGTATCACACCAACGCAGCCCGCTTCTCTGGAACTCTAAGTGATGAGTTCGCCAAGTTATCACATCAGATCCGGGACGCCATATCCATGACCCAGGACCAACGCACGGAAGCACGTCTGAACATATTAGAGGCCCTTGAAAACCTCGAGAAGACCCCGGTCGACAGCGAAGTGAATGATTATGTCAACGCCCGAATTCAGGCGGACCACCCAGCAATTCCAAGATATTATCAAGACCCTGACGGGGACTTTTATGCCATCACAGACCAGATGAACCAAGGCATCCAAGGCTTACTCAAGGAAATTCCCCATGGTAGTGATAAAAAAGAAGCTCTGGCCGTTGCGAAGATTTGCCACAACCTCCTTGTATCCTCCGCTTCCCCTGATTTACAAACATTCAACACCTTACTCATTGGCTTCCGCCGATGGCGTCGCCCAAAGCTAGTGGATCGTGTTGCAGCTTCCCTGCTGGTCAGCAAGATCCGCCCGAACGAGATCACTTGTCGGGAACTACTCAACCATTATGCTTCTGCAAGACATGGGTACGCTGACGACTTCTCGCGTTTCATAACGAGGATGAGAGGGTTGGACGATGCACTAATGCTCGCAAACCCCAACATCTCCATTAATGAGGCCAGCCAAGGCCGACTCGTAAGGGTAAACGAAGGGAAGATCTACCAGAAGGTCTACCCCACGCCCATGGTATTCAGCTCCTTGATCACTGGCGTCATGAGATTTGCTGGATTCGACCGAGCCCTTGATATCTACTACGAGATGAAGACGGACGGCTGGGGTCTCGACGTGACGGGGCTAACAAGACTTTTAAACGATTGTATCCGCCGTGCTGATTGGGAAGGCGGCTTGTACGTGTGGGGCGAGATGAACAGCATCAACAAAACCAGAATCAAACCCCATGACATGGCCAAAGCATACTCCAACATGCTCAGCTTATGTTCCATCACCGGCAACACTGTTGCTTTCAACCAGATTCTGAATGAGCTGTCCAAACAAGGTTTCGATCGCGGGGAAATCCTGGCTGCTGCTGCCAAGGCAACGGGTGTAGCGCGAAAGAAGAAGGAATACCTCGCTCCTGCTTGGGTCGCGGACAATGTCATGATTGCTGCGTCCGCCTACGTGAAGGACGCGCGATCGTCAGGGGCGGAGGGACCGCTTGCACCCGAGATGATGGATGATGATAACACCATGTTCTCTCAACACGAACCTGATGCGATGGGGGACATCGAGCATAGTATCGCTGAGCCTGATCCTAAGGAACTGTGGGCACAATGGCTGGAACGTGAATTCGGGGAGAGACCAAAGGAACCTGAGCCATGAGCCAAAACCGACCTGTACGATGCGACATCGTGTGTGTATACCAGTGTATATATTATAGCCCTAGAACGGCTTCTTTATCAAATGTACATCATAAAGTTCATTGACAGTTCTTTGGCGCAGTCAACCACAAAAGAGCTCACGGATGCTGGAAACAGCGCTCACCCATTTCACTCTGCGCGTTCGCCCGCTGTTGCCGTTACATCCGTACGTTGGCACAATGACGGGCCTCTTCCATAAAAACATTATCGTGTTCGAAATTCACAATGTCACTCGACCGTTGCTTTGCCGGTTGTCTATTTAAATTAAACGCATGGGCAGCTTCATTTATCTTCTCGCTTCTGCAGCTCCATCACCAACACCAACGTGACTCTTTGGCAAGAGATATGTTGGCACGGCAGGTATTTGCTGCCAACTTCTGTTGCGGTCTTGGACATTTTCGACGGGGATGCGTGCGTAAGTGCAACCTTCACTCCGCTTTGCTGGCATACTAGAGGAACATCGTGTTTCTTCCATCTAGAAGTTTATGATCAATGTCTGCAGATGGAAATTTCATCTACGTGAAAAGAGAATTTATGTATGCAGCTTCATTCTAGCCGAAAGTGGCAGCTGTTCTCCGATAACGTTGTTTGCATATCTGAAAATAGATAGATGCACTATGGAGATCCTGTCAACGGCGATCTTACAGCAGGGATGCGCAAAGGAGTCGTCTACTGCCTCTCATTTCCCAATCGGCTGTACGGCTACAAGCATCTTCCCCAGACTATGCATGTTGATGGTTATGGGTTAGGAGTACTTGCGTATGTATGGTCTAGACTTTGGTCATGGCCAACTCTATCTCACAGTCGCTCGAGTGGCTAGGCATTCACCTATCCTACTGTCTCCAGATCTTGCCTGATCTAAACAATCATTGGTTAGCCACGCTAACGTCGCATTCAAGGCAGATGGTACCTTTGCCGAAAGCTTGTGCGATGTAACAACAACGCTGATCAGAATAGTACAAGCCTGCACGATCGATTCCTTGCTTGCTTTGGAGAATCATGTGCAGGGTCTTGCTACATAGAAGCCGTTCCATCCTGCATACACATATTAAGGTGTGGGTTGGGCTAGAACGTCCTTTGGAAGTTGGGAGCCTGCGCATCTGTGCCCGTGGTGCTCCCGAGTCATTCTGGGGATGACGGCTGTTGTGGCGCAAGATAGTGTCCTCAATGTACTTGATTCATGGTGATAGTCTCGATGGACCGACTTCGTAGCTGCACCAGAGAATACTGGATGATCGTTCCTGTTGCCTGTGCATATTTCAAGACAAGAGAATCCATGTAACAAATAGGAGAGACGAAGTGTGAAGGATACGAGAGTCCTTCATAGTCCTGTAATGTAAAGTTGACGATGTGTCTTCTCTATATTTGTCGTATTCGATGGCTGCAGGCACGATGTTCAGAGCGAATACTAGTAGCATCGACCAGTGTAGTACTCCAGAACATCGTATATCTCAATCTCCCAATCACCCCACATTTAGAATCCCAGTCAAATATACCATCCAATCTGCATACTCGCTTGACGCTGGCTGGACTGAGCATTCCCTAGCCAAAATAGGTAACGCAAGTACTTTACCCAGAGTGCCGCTTCCGTATCCAACAGCCTCGAACACTGACTATTCGCCCACCATCTTGGGCAGCTAGGGAGTGGCAACATCACGAATGGGCTGTCTGAAGTTCGGTTCAAATGATGCGCATAAATGAAGTATGCCGGGTGTCTCCATTCTTGTGCCTCGTCCTTGCTATATATCGGCCGCGCAGACCCTGAGATTTCGCCTTGCAAGCGAACCCCACCCATTTCTTGTCCTTTTCCAACAATAGCACTTCACTGAATAAGAGAAAACACAGAAGTTAAGATGCAGTACCGTTTAGTATCAGTTCTTGCTGCCGGTATGCTGGTTGGTGTTACTAGCGCCGCACCTATGCCTTCAGCTGAGGTTCGTCATCACCATCTCGTCAACACGCCTTGCGCCCACTAACGTACCCTAGACGCAAACGTTCGGTAACGATCCAGCAAACACAATCGAATTAGGCAAGCCTTCGACTATCATAACTTGGGGCAAGCGCGACGACTCGCACACCAACCCAGACGACGTGCAGCTCGGTCCACCAACATCAGAGATCATCTGGAGCAAAGACAAGAAACGCAGTGTCTCTTTCGGAACACCAAAGGACACTTTCACCATAGGCAAGCCCACGACGGAGGTAACGTGGGAGAAGAGAGACGAACCAGATACTATCGAAAACGGTGCACCGACGACTGTTGTGACGTGGGGAAAGGAGAAGCGCGCCGAAGTTATGCAACCTGATACTATCGACTTGGGAGAACCTACTACTGAGGTTACGTGGGGAAAAAGGGATATGACCGCTGCTGCTGATCCCGCGGATAGCATTGAACTTGGAAAGCCCAGCACGGTCATCACCTGGGGCAAGGAGAAGCGCGATGATCCTCCCGTGTTGGGTCAGCCAGATTCAGAGACAACGTGGAGTAAGCGTGATGCTGAGAAGCCAAAGGACGTCTTCAAATTGGGTAAGGCTACTACGGTTGTAACGTGGTCTTGAGTGTGTCATCCGGTTTTGTGGTGAGTCTGCCATCGTTGCCCTGATTGTGAATAAATGCTTATGGTATTACAGCAGCTAGACAATGTAAGCTTCTGATTAAGTTTGTAGAGTTTGGAGGCAGATCACACTGTCGCTACTTCGATGAATTCTGTAGCTGGGGTACAAAATTCCGCAACATGTATGGCCTCTTGGCTGTTTAGTTGTTCCAATATATATTTGTTCAATAGCTTTGTTTGTGTAAAAGACTTGGTGACGCATTGCATTATGTGGAATCTGCTGGAACTATCCGGATCGAAAATCCGGTACACATGAAAGTGCATGCGTGCTAGTAGTATGGGTATATCTCCTATCGCTTCTCATAGTTCTGCTGGAGGTTTCGTAATCTTTGTCAAATGATCCCCATTAAGCTCCTTCATGACCTTTCCTAGACCTTCATGACTATAGTCCTTCTCATTCCACATATCCTGTCCAAGATCAGTAGTTGCCTTCTGTCGCCACTCAAGAAGGTGCACACGATGCGCTACCCATGACTATCAACGTACCTTATGATACCGCACTTTACCGTCCTGATCCAGCGTCAAAGTGATCAGGCTGTTGACCTTCTTCGAGATAGGCATAGGCTTGGGTGTATACTCTTGCTGTAGCTTGAAAATAATCTCATCAGGCTTCGACGAAAGCACTTCCGTCTTGATTGTCCGGCTATTCTTCATCAGTTTGGGAATGCCTATCACCTGTCAGTAGAGTGACCTTTTCGCGCTAGGCTGTCTCTTGTCAGCTACTGACCATACCACTGGCCCGCGATCTTGTATCTTGTGTCGCAGTAGCTCCAGGGATCATCGTATACCGCTTCTTTGCCGTACACCATCATGTCGTCTTCGCTTGCGCTCCCGGAGTAGAGGTTGCATATCGATTGTACAATCTTTTCGCGCTCGGGATCTAATTTGATCGAGTTCTCTGGGTGAGGCTCATAGTCGACGCCTGAAGAGCTGTTTTGCGACTCATTAGCGTTGTGCGTTAGAGCCACTGGGTCCGGTCGTTTCTCGAACTCGTCCTCGAGGCGTGATGCGAGTGTGTCCTTTCCGGACTTTCCTGCCACTGGGAGCGTCATCTTGTTTCCTGGAAGAAGGTAATTGTACTTATGTAGTCGCTGATCTATGAAAATGCTGCTTTTGATGGACGCAATATCTTGACGTCATGGCTGACTGTGTTTACGAACGCTCCACGGACCACATAACTTGTACCTTGAACCGTCCAATAGTGGCCATGCTTTGTTCACAGCAAGCGTCGCATTTGTAAAACAACGAGATCAATAGTTCAGACAAGCCAAGAGAGCAATAAACGGTGTGCTATCCATCGATATGAATCGGCCATTTCTCCACAGCCTCATAGACTAGCATTAAACTACCCATAAGATAGACTGTCGGCGCCCAGACCAGAGCAAGTGCGCTCTGGTACTCGCACCATGTTGAACTACAGTATCCCAGACAAGCACTCCATACCCATCCTACACTGCCAACCAGGTTTGTCATTCCCACCCACCACCCTATCATCCTAGGAGTGGGCTTCCACCACTGTCTTTGGACTTCGAATATGTATAGCATCGATGCGATGAAGAAGCAAATGGCGCCCAGGAGGAAGGAGGGATAGTAGAGCCCGTACAGTGCGCCTTGTGGGAGGGTGTCATAAATACCCGGTAGGGCGAGCAGATTTGTAACCCAGTAAATGGCTGTCCCAACAAAGAGGATGAAATTGGCGTTGAAACCAATCTCCCGACGGTAGTGAATGCGAATATCCTGCCACGTAGGCCACCATTTCCAGGTCTGCTCGGGTCCCGACTTGGGACGAGCTTCGACTCTAAATGTCTTTGTGTGCATTATCCGGTGCTTCATGCGGTCAGGATTGTGAATATGTGTGCAGTTTCGAAGGTCAGGTTGGAAGTCAGAGCTATTTGTGCCCTTCTCTTCGTCGGCAGAAGCGCGGTCGACATTCTCGCCATCAGAATTCAGGGCTCCCTTTAGTGCCCAACCAAAACAGTCGCTTTGGTTTGCGTTTACGGCTTCGACGACGAGGAGCATGCCACCCAGCAGAAACAGCATGCCACGGATGAAGGATACTACGCCGCTGATGATGGAGGGGTCGGCACCAAATGACGCGTCTGGGTATGCGATCGGGAGCCATTGGAGAAGACCGGCCGTTATGGAGCACATGGAGCCAATAGAGAAGACGATGCCAATCCACCATGACACATCCCACCAGGCTACGACTGTAAGCATTCGGGCAAACGCTCGAAGGAGGCGTGTTGTGTGGGCGGTACGCGAGGGCGCTTGAGCGTGGGTAAGAAGGAGGATATGTCGACCTAGGAACAGAATTTGTTAGCATTCGATGCCTAGATCAGCAGGCATCTAGCCACGCACCTTTTCGATTCTCACGACTCCACCATTCCCATTCGGTTCCGCTCGCGTGCCCTTGCTCATCATTGACGGTAAACCGCCGCGAATTGGCATTTTGAAAGCTTAAGACTTGATTGGAACTGCCCTCGATGTAGTCGAGCTGCGGCAAAGAATCCTGAGAGGAGAGCTTGTAGTCGCTAGGCGCAGACATGTATTGGGTACGTTGATGTGTGAAGGAACTGCAATTTGGTTGGGCAAGGGAAGAACCTCATGCCTCTTGTCACCGCCATGTTTCCTGCCCCAATTTGTAACCCTGGAAAATCGACGTCTCGGAAGACTAACCTCAGGCCACTGCCTCAGAGATGATGATGTGTGATGTCATGGTGTGGAGAAGTTGGTGTCTGGGGTCTGGAGCTGTCTGGTAGCGTCTGGAGACTTCCCATGCCAAGGCAATGCTGCAAAGATCGGCATGACTAATGCGAGATTGGCATCTCACCTCTGAGCATCTTTCATGAAACAAACCAAGCTTCCGGAAATCGCCCGTATCAGTAATCCTCCATACGCTGCTGTAGTCTCTGACTCTTTGCGCGCGAATAAGATTGCAATGCAAGCGCGCGTGAAGGAGTTCGGGTCAATGCGATGCGATCCTTCTCGCCTAAATCCGGTCCTCATAAACAGTCCCGCACTCGCTGCGCGCCCACATTTATCAAGCGCAGAACCTTACATCTGCAGCTCCAATCATCTTTTCTACACAAACCATATGCTACAACTCTTGCGCAGGGCCGAACACAGGTCATGCCCAAGACTGGTGGGCGTTCACAACCCACGGGTTTACCTTGTTGGTAGTTTCTATATGGAAGCGCGACGCGTACAACATCTCTTGGCTGTTGTGTATAGTCTTCCAAGCGATGCCGTTAGATTGTTTCCGCTCTGAACTTCAATGGAAAAGTAGCGATGGCTTCATTTCGGGCGCTTGGTAGGACGGCTGCTTCGGCGCCGAAGTGTACTCATGCAAACAACTTTCCCACCAAACGGCACACTCCGGAAGTGTATAGGAAGGTAATGTATTCATCAGATATAAGAATGGCGATGCGCGCGCACTTGCAGACTGTAGAACAATAGTTCTTACACCAAATTCATACCACGTTCGTTCTCACCTCGATTCGCCATGGGTCTTCGCCACTCTTTCAAGCCCCAAGGTGCACTTCGCTTTTTTTCCAACATTGTCCTTGCTGGTTCTCTTCTCTCTGGCGCAGTAGCTCAGGATGATTCTACTAGGCTCCGAGACTGCTTGAGCAACACTAGCATCCTGCCCTCCCTAGCCACCTTTTCTGATGCCACAAACTGGGAGACCGTCACCTCCCCATGGGCCCTACGATTCAATCCTGAACCAGCCGCTGTTGTTGTACCTCGTAATAGGGATGAAGTAGCTGCCGCTCTAGCTTGTGCCGTCGAAGCAGGTGTAAAGGTTTCGCCATTGAACGGAGGACATTCCTACGGTGCCTACGGCCTTGGAGGGGTTGACGGCGCACTTGTGATCAACATGGAGCGCTTCACCGAAACCACATTTGACTCGGCAAAGAACCTGTTCACGTATGTCCTATCAATGCCAAGAACGAGATCCACTATGCTAACAATCGCAGTTACGGCGGGGGAAGCCGAGTCGGACCTGCCGCAACATGGCTCTGGGAAAACCATGGGCGTCACTTCCCTCACGTCCGAGCCAACTGGGTCGGTCTTTCCGGTTCGTCCATTGGGGGTGGCTTTGGTACCACCAGTCGTTTCCTCGGCACCCCCATGGACAACCTCGATAGTGTTGATGTGATGCTCTATAATGGCACCATCGTGACTGCCTCACGCACGGAGAATCCCGACCTGTTCTTTGTCATACAAGGTGCTGGCTCATCCTATGGTATCATTCTCTCTCTGACTACACGCACCTGGAAGCCCGAGTTTGAGGTTGCCACCAATTTCACAATCTCGCTCGGTGCTGTAGACATCGATACCGGTGTCCAAGCCTTGATGGATATCCAAGAGTGGGCCATGACCGAAGCTCCCGATACCTTCGCTCTTCGATGGCAGCTTGCTGGCGAGTGGAATGGCAGCGGTTACTTCTACGGTAACCCAGATGAGTTCGATGCCCTCTTCGCAAGCCTTGTCGAACGCCTCCCCAACACCACGACTACCACCAAAACAACTGCGGACTTCTGGGCCATGGAAAACTTCGCCGCTCCCCTGCTCAACGGAACCGCCGACACCTTCCCTCCGCGTAGCATGTACCTGCAAGCCCTTGTCCTTCGCAAGGACCAACCTTTCACATTTGAGTCCGCTAAGGCTTTGTACCAGTACACCACCCTCGCGTTCAACCGCACTGACCTGACCGAGTTCGGCTTCCTGGACCTCTGGGGCGGTGTCTCCCGCGATGTCGATGACTCCAAGCAAGCCATGGCATACTCCAACAACCAGTGGCTCATCCGCTGGGAGGGACGCCTCGCTAACGGCCTGACTCAGTGGCCTGCTGACGGTACCCAGTACATGCAAGCTGGATTCAGACCGTTCAAGGAGCAGCTGAAGAAAGAGGGTGTACCGCTTAGGGGTTTCGTCAACTACCGAGACACTGAGCTTTCTCTAGACGAGTGGAGCGTCAGACTCTACGGTGACAACTTTGAGAAGATGAAGAGAATCAAGGCGCAGTTGGACCCCCAGGGAGTGTTTACCACCCATGCGCAGAGCATCCCTTCATCGTGAGCAGTCCCCGATCAGCTTACGCAGGTGCTCATGGATGAAAGTCAAGGAGAGGTGAAGGACTGAATGGCAGTGGGAAGGTGTGTACATGTTTCGAAGACGTAGTTGTAAATATGTATTTGTGTCGAAATTGAGAATGTCCACTCACAATTTGTGAACAGTTGAATGCTGGTTTGGGATGTGAGTGAAAGGTGCCGCCACACCTGGTTGGCATTTTGTTTGATTATAAGTTATATACAAGAAGCTTCGGTACTTTTGTCATGCATCATATATGGTAAGCAACGTCCATTGGCGCTGACAGTCTAGCAAGTCAGGTCGAAGAACGGCGTGTTGTTCTCCTTCGGGGTAATAGCAAATGACAGGTCGGTTTGGGCAGCGTTTGCATCCTTCAGAGTGTACCAGAAAGTGTTGCGGGTGCCGAAGAGGGAGCAGCCAACCTCGTCCCAGTAACGCTTGGAGTTCTCAAGAGACGCAACAGCAGCGCCAGAGTTGGGACCAACTACACATCAGTCAGCATCATGGCGTTCGAACAAAGGTTTCGTAGTATAACTTACTTCGTGGCCATCCAGTCTCGGTGACCCACACGGGCTTCCCACCAGACACACCCTCAGTCTGTCCTACAGCGGCGAAGAAGTTCTCGCGAGCCTGGTCGATAGAGTTCGGCTTGGTGGTCTCGAAGTACGGGAAAGAGTTGTGGCCAAGCCAGTCGACAGTGTTCGCAACACCGCGGTTCTCAGGAAGAACCCAAGCAGTCCATGTGTCTACATGGCCGATAGGCTTGCCTTCGAGCGCAGTGCCACGGAGCCAATCGCGCATCCAGCCAATGTAACCCTCGATCTCAGTACCAGTTGCACCAACACCGGCGTTGTTTTGTACACCCTGCGGGCTGCTGCGGTACAAGTCTTCAGATCCCACGCTGATACCGATAACCTTGTCGGTGAAAGAGCTGCCGAGGTCCCTGGCGCCTCGAATCAAGGCGTTGAGTTCATTCTCATAGGCAGCACGTCCGGCACTAGCCCAAAGACCAACGAGAATCTGTGTGTCGGTATCGATGGCTGCTTGGAAGGCAGAGATGGGGTCGGCTGCGGTACCGCATTGGACTGAGGTATACAGGCGTGCTGTGTTGAATCCTGAAGCCCCAGGTAGACTCTTCGCCTCATTGAAGAAGCGCACAAAGTCGTTGTATCCACGGCATGAGCCATCTGCATTTGTGGCCCCATAGTTGAAGCCCTTGGTTTGCGCAACGGCGGTGGTCGCCAAGGCGACGATAGACGCAGCTTTTGCCCACATTTTGATAGATTAGAAAGTAGATATTAGATGGGTTTGTAGGATACCGATTCGGCGTGAGTACAAAGAAATGGGAAAGAATCGACACTTTATGCCTACATCGAGCCGGGGTTTAAAATAGAATGTTTGCCCCTGCGCATCATCGCTGGCTGCATGCCAACCCAAATGACGTGGATGAGGCTCGTACTTTTCGTTGCCAAGGGCTGTTGAATGTCGATCTTCCGAGTGCGATGCTGGGCGAAAAGCAATTCAACGTGCGTCTCTGCAACGAAGAATCGCAACATCGTTAAGCTTCATCAGCTATACGTTGACGATGTACAAGGTATGTTGCCGTGCGCCTTCATCTGAGAAAAGTCACAAAGTCGATAAGGTGGTCGAAGCCATTGTTAGTCCAGGTCATTCGCTGGGCGGGCTCGGAAACAGCTGTCACTGGGTGCCATGCACGCCGGCACAAATGGGAACGACTACTCGGCAGCCGGTTCTTTCAGCTGTGCGTTGGTCTCGAACGCGCGGTGTGGTGAGAATACGGTCAAGCTGCAGCTGCCCAGACGGAAGATGTGGGGTAGGGTTCTTAGCAGTGCGAGAACCACAGACCACGTTTACGTGGCGGACAATTTCCCGCCGCCCCTAACAGCCCCAGGGCTCTCACCAATCATGGGGTCTGTACAAATCGTAGCGTGGATCGAGCTTTGCTAGAGTCGAAGACTTTCGAAAACATGTGATATAAGTAAGCTGACTTGGGGCTTCTTCAAACGAACATTCTAGTTCGTAAGAGTCGGAGTATGCTGCTCTGAATGTAGACCGCCCAGGCGAGACTCACCGGTAGCCTAGCGCGGCACGAGCTTTTCCAGCCATCCCGCACGGTGCGACGCACATCAGGTTGCTTGTCTGGAGCTTCTTTTTGCTTTTCGACCGACGGAAACACGATGGCCGGCCCAAACTTCTTTCATCGTCGACCAACGGTGGTGGTACCGGTGCGTCACGTTGATGCCAGTCTGAACACAACGGTTCTGCAATAGTCTTCGACCATGAGGTTGGTAGAATACTTCGATGTTATCGATTCGCAAGTTCGAACATCCGAGAGTAAACGTCCTACAGTATATAATACAGCAAGAGTATTATGCATGTCTAGTGTAGCTGTTAAGTACGTGTACATAAGACAGAAAGGTAACGCAAGCGGATAGAAAAGAAAGATTTCACTCAGTATCGTATACTACTCCTTAATCAGCTAAAAATTATATAGGATATTCGTTAACACGTTAACAACAATGATCTTTGTTGAACGCGATCGTAGGAACTCGTAGACGCAAAAAGACACTATACTTTACCGGCACCAACGTAAAAGACGACGTTGTATATTCCACGGAAGCGCCGATACTCAACTGATCTCCAAAGAGCTGCAACACATCTTGGTCTCTCACACTACACGTCAACGCCAGATCCGCATCAACGACGCAAGCGACTGGAGCCTCATCATGTGTTTGAACCGTCGTAGGATCCGTCAGCCATACGTAGTGGAAATCGACAAACTGCCCAAGAACATCAACCACGACGCTGAGCTCTGAGGACGAGCCCGCGACGTTGAGACGGTAAGAGTCTGTGAAGAAGGACTGTGCAGCGCCAGCAGCGGTAGTGGACCTGAACTTGATGGAGAAAAGATTCTGGATTGCCGAGTCCATTTTTGCGAAACTGTTCGAGGCTGAAGCGAAGAGGGCAAAGGAGCTGGTGGAGGTCGAGCAGGCGCGAACAACGACGGTGGCGACGGTGGTGGCGATCACGACCTGGGTCGCTGTCACTGTGACGAGGGTTGTTGGTGTTGTGGTGACCTGGTTAGACATGTTAGGAACCGAACAGGTGGAGGGTAAAATCTTCGAATAGATAGACTTACGGTGCTGGTCTGAGGTGTCTCGATGCATGAGCAGAGCGTCTGCACGGCCTGCTTAGCTTCCTTGAGAAAGCTCGACCATTGCGCAACCAAATTTCGCTCTTCGAGACTTCTTCCAAGATGTTGCGGATGCTGGGGTGGATTGATAGCCGGTGTGGTTTTTGCTCGCTTGATAACCTGGGCGACCACAGTCGTTGTGACTACGACGGTAGTGGTGGTGAAGACGACGTCTGTTGTTATTATTGGAATGGCGGCCGCAGTGACTGTCCGAGTAGAGTCAGGAAGCGGGTACTTAGAGGTACAGTACTTATCTGCCGGTTAGTAGGTTTTTAGAAGAAGGACAAATAGTTTGTTAGCGCCCTAACTGCGTACATTGTTTATTGCATACACTAAGCTGATAAAGCTTAACGTTACAATAGCTGTGCACTAGACAAACTACGTCGCTAGTTAAACTACTCTAACAACCTAATATAGTTAATAATAATAAGCTATATAGCTTCTATAGATTATAATAAAATTATATTAAAGTAGACTTATACTATATATAGACTTAAAAGCCTTTTAGCTTATTTAGATATTTTATAAAAAATATCTTATAGTTTATTTTTATTAACTATATAGTAGAGTACTTTATATAATTAATATATCTTTTATAATAGCTATAATAATAATATTATATTTTTAATATATTAACTTTCTATAAGTAGACCTAGAGATTATATAAATATTATCTTTTTTAAAGAGTTAAGTCTACTTAGCTCTAAAGTACTAGTTTAGGTATAATAAGTAACTATACTATATATAATATAGCTAATTAGAGTAAGGTAATAAGTTTTTAAGTGTTTCTTACTTTATACTAAAATAACTATAATTATAACGCGCTAGTAACTTTTAACGTAGTATAGTACTATAAGATTTAAAGGATATAATATAGAGTTTAAATTTATATTACTATAACTACGTTATACTAAAGAGAAAAAAACTCTATTCTATAGTATTAATTTATAGTAAATTATAAGTAAAGAGTAAAGTACTTAATATAGCTAATATAGTATAGTATTGTAATAGAATAGTAGTATACTTAGAATAGTAGAAGCTTCTAGACACTTAATAAAGAAAAAAAAATACCTTTAATAGCTAATAGCTACTTTATCTATTATAGGTTTACTATTACTAATCTTTCTACTTAGAAATAATATTTATAACACTAAACGTAGCGCTTAGCGCTTAATACTTAAGCTTTTTATTATACTATTAGTACTTTATAAAATATTATATTACTTTATTACTAGTATATATATATAAATATTATAGATACTATTTATCTTTTCTACTAAATAACTTTGCTATACTAATTAATAATCTCTAATGCTTTTTTAAATTTTATATATATATATACTTAGTTATCTAATTTATTTAATCTATTTATAAAAAAGATAGTAAAAGTAAAAATAAAAGTAAGCTATAATAGTAGAGTAGTTCTATTTATAATATATAAGAAAGGTACTTAAATTACTTCTTAGAGTTTATACAGAACTAAAACTATAAGCTATTTTTACTAACTTTATAAGTATTATAGATATTTTCTAAAAACTATAGGCTATTAGCTTTTAAATTTAGTATAGAGAAGTATAGTAATATTAAAATCTATAATAAAGAATAAATAAAAGTATATATAATTAATATAGAGATTAGGTATTATAAATAAAAAGTTATAGTATAGTAACTAAGCCATAATTACGTAACTACTTAGTAGTAAGCATTACAAGCTAGACTAAGACTAAGTACTTAGTAGTAAGTAAGACTAGTAAGCTTATAACTAGAAATAATACTATATTACTTATTAATAACTACTTATACGCTTAGTACTAAGGCTAATCCTTATTAGTATATAGTATAGATACTAAACCTTTATAGCTTAGTATATTTTATAATATCTTTAAGTTTAGTTTCTAATCTAAAAGTTATACTGTTTTTTTTATATAGCTTTAAATAATATTATATTTATCTACTAATTATACTATTATACGCAATTTATTTATAATATTTACTTTTTTTAAAATATAAATTTAAAGTTATTTAAGAGTAATCTTTAGATATTAAATACTTATAAGATAAGTATTATTATAATAAATACTCTTACTAATTTCTATACCTCTAGAGAAACTAGAGTTTATACTAATAAGCTTAGTATTCTTATTAGTAAAAGCTAGAAGCTTAAAGTATAGTTACTTTAAGTAAACTAATACTTTTACATTAAATAAAATTAAATAGAAAAAAATAATAATTATATTATTTAGGCCTAGACCTTCTTCTAAAGAAATATAAAATAAGCTAATATATCTATCTAAAAACATATAGAGTATAATATTATAAATAGATATAATAAAGACTTTATTAGAGTTTAGAATATATTCAAACTTAGATAAAAAGATAATATTTCCTTTTTTAAGAATTTATACCTACTAAGTAAGAAATCTAAGATCTATAATAATTTAAATCTCCTACTATATATATAACTAAAGTTAAGTAGTACTAAATAATATTTAATCTAAATAATAATAATATAAGATAGATATACTAGTAAAGTCCTAAACTAGTCATAAATATTAAACTAATAACAAGTAGACTTAGCTTTTAATTGCTTAATAAATATATAAGTAAAGTAAATTAAGAAAATGATAAACTCTATAAGCTTAAGTTAGAAGAAAACCTATATTAATATTATAGACGTACTAGTAATAAAATATAAATATAATAATATTAAGTTATACTATATTATATTATAGAAGAAGTAGATTCCTAAATACTTATTTAATTTACTATATATAGCTATTATTATACTTATTTAGAAATTTTACTAATTATAACTAAGACTATAAATCTTATATAGTATTAAAAAGCTACTAAAAGGCTTAACTTTAAATAAAGAGCGTTTTTTAGAGCTTTATAAGATAAATAAAAAAATTAACTATAACTTAGTTATTTTTTTTTAAAGAGCTACTAATAACTATAGTTAATAATAAGTAACCTAAGCTCTAAGATATAAAATTTAAATCTTAAAATATATACAAATAGAAACTTAAATCTTTTTGTCTTAACCTCTATACTTAAATATTTTGTTTCTAATATAGACTTAATTATAATATAAAATAAAACTATTACTATTAAGCGCTTAGTCTTAGGAGACTTAGTAATAACTATAACTATAACAATAAAGAAAACTTAAAATTAATATAGTAATTACTTAGCTATTACTAATAAAGACAGCTTTAAGAGTAACTAAAAGTAATAGTTCTAAAATTATATATTCTCTTTTAGTTTTCTATATAAGTTTACTAATAAAGAGTTTAATTAGAAGTTTTAAAACTACTAATTTTTTCTTTAGTACTCTTCTTAAAATAGGTAGTAGATATAGAGGTATAGTAGATAAGTTTTTTACTATTTAATAAAATTATTAAGTATAGTAGTAATTATATAATATATACCTATATTATAAGATACTAACTAAAAAAAAGTATAAAGACTTTAAGTTATGTAATTACTTTAAGTTTAATAGCTTACTATACTTTTTTACTAAAGTTATCTAATTACTATTATAAAAATAATACTTATATATTAAGAGTTACGTACTTTAAAATATAAAGAACTAACTTTGCTTAAACTTTTAATACTTATACTCTAACTAAAGATATTAGTAAAGCTATACGCTTTAGATTTAAAGATAATATAGTACCTATAAACTTAAATAAATATACTTAAGTAATAATAAGAAGCGACTTAGAAAGGTAGAGTTTTAGTATAATAAAAAAAGTAAAAAGATTATCTTCCTATACTTAAAGTAAAAGAAGCTATATAAAAAAAGAGAACTAAAGCTAAAGTAAGATAATATTTTTTTTATTAAAGGTCTAAAAACTAAAACTCTAATAAGTATATTACTTTTCTTTACTAGTTTTATATATTTAGTAATAATAAATACTCTACTATATACTCTAAAATTATAAATAAGTAATAGTAGAAAGTATACTTTTATAATAAGAATTACTGTTATAGCTTAAACTTAAGCCTTATAATAGTATAAGCCTAGGAACTTAAAAGGTTTATAAAAAGTTATAACTACTATAATCTTACTCTACTTTTTAGCTTTACTTTATCTTAGACTACTTAAGTTAAAGTAAAAGACTATATTATTAGGAGGTAATAGAAGGTTAAGTATAGATAATTATAATTTATTTATACTATAATATTAATTTAATTAATATGCTAGTAATAAGACGCAGGTACAACGCTGTTAAGTTATACTATATTATATTATAGTAGAAGTGTGTTCTTAAATACTTACTTAGCTTTACTATATATAGCTATATATATTCTTATTTAGAACTTTTATTAATTACTACTAATACTATAAATTTTATATAGTTTTAAAAAGCTATTATAGAGCTCTTAGCTCTAGGTAGTTATTATAAAGCTTAACGTTAGATAAAGAGTATAGTTTTATTAGAGAAAACTATAGTTAATAGTAAGTAACTAGATTTTTAAACTATAGAATTGAAATCTTAAAAAATATTTAAATATAGACTTAAATATTCTTCTTCTAACTTCTATATTCTAATATTATTTTTAATATATTACTATAAATTATTATATGTAACTATATTATAGGTATAAAGCGCCTAGTTATAGAGGATTTTATAGTCTTCTTAATAATAATAATAATAACTATAGATACTACGCTAATAGCTGCCTATTAATATAGTAAAAATTAAGTTATTCTTAACGTAGACTACCTTAAGAGTAACTTTAATTACTAGATAAAAGCTTATATATAGCTAGTTAGCCTATTTAACTTAAGCGCAGAAGAGCTTAAGAGTAAGTTTAATAAAAAACTATTTAGAATTAAACTCTTTTTTATTAGTACTATTTTTATACTAGCTATAAAAGATATAAGTTTAGAAGATAAAGCCTTTACTTATACCTAAAATATAAGATTATAGTAGTTATATAATATAGTTATAGCTAAGAGCGCGAAGACTAATAAGTAAAATAAATACTTTTAGAATATTTATAAGAGTTAATTTAAAGGCTAGCTAAACTTTATCTATATTATTATCTATAAGCTAGAATAAGTATAACGTAGTAGATAGTTAATTTAGTAACTTAGATAGCTTAGGAGATAATAATAAAGAAATCTAGTAAGTACGTAACTAATATAGTTACTTTAGATAATAGAACTACTACTAAGCTATAAGTATCTATAGCTGCTTAGTAGTAATTATAATTATAATAGCACTAGTGCTTACTCTTATAATAAAGTAGTTACTATAATACGCTTAGTAATACTACTACTTAGTCTCTAAGTAGTGTTAGTAAT